CCACAACCCACTGGAGGTTATCCCACAACCCACTGGAGGTTATCCCACAACCCACTGGAGGTTATCCCACAACCCACTGGAGGTTATCCCACAACCCACAGGAGGTTATCCCACAGTCTACAAAGGGTTATCCCACAGGAGGGTTATCCCACAGCAGACTATCCCACAGGAGGCAATCTTAGAAGAGGTTATCCCAGAGGAGGTTATCCCAGAGGAGGTTATCCCAGAGGAGGTTATCCCAGAGGAGGTTATCCCAGAGGAGGTTTTCCCACAGCCCACGGAGGGTTGTCCCACAGGAGGCTATCCTAAAGAAGGTTATCCCATACGAAATCGTCCTGAAGATCCTACAGGAGGTACTGGCTAAGACTTTCTCGTCTTGCGGGCAAATAAAACATTATCCGCTGTCAGCAGCTGGCTCGGAGGATTTAATTTGGGGATGTTTCACCAAACGAACAGATCGCCAGGTCAAGGGACGAGCCGATAGGCTGGCATTTAGACTTTGAAAGAGTTGGGACGAACCCTCAGGGGTTCTTCGCGTTACCCCCACTTACCAGCTATACGTGTATCAGTGATTTCTCACTTGCGGCGCAGTCCTGGCAGAAGAGGATTTTCGCGCTCAAGTGTGGTTGGCTGTCAATGCCCGCGCCCGGGCTTGACCCTGTGTACGTTTGCTGCCGAGGCCGAGATCCCAGAGATGGCGCTCTGCACAGGGGCTGAGCCTAATAGATTGACAAGTCAAAGCTCTCTGCTTGGCCTGCCTCACAGACCACTAGGTCTGAACTGCCATGAAGTCCCGTGCAATTGGCGGTCTTGCAGAGGTCTTTTACCCATGTTTCTATGCACGTCGGGTGAGAGAAAGAGTCCCACACGAGCCCACTGAATTGAGTTGACCTCGACCATCCATAGTGGGTCGGTCGGGTGAAGCCACAGTTCTGTGGGCCATTGAGAATGAACGGTCTGGACGTTGAGCCTACTCATGTAGCCTCTCCTCCTTCCTCTCATCGAACCCCGCGAGGTGTGTGTGCCCCCTTTCTCAGCCGGACGCCTGACAGTGATTGGACGCCACATGACGTTGTGTGCCCTTATTTTCCCTCAGACAAGAGAGGAAGCCACCTAGGACACCACACCACACCATTCTGTTCTTGCAATCGAGCCAGAATTGCAAGATATTTCTTCGCGCCCAAGGCCTGACCGGACTGGAGGGCGAGAGGCCTGGCGGCCGCCGCCTCTGTAGAGGCACAGAATTTGGAAATGGACTGGATGAGACCAGGGCACGGCACCAAGCGTGACCATCAGCCCTTGAAACAACCGGCCTGCCTCTTGGAGCGCCTGTCAGCCAGCCACTAATTACTATGCAGTAGCAGGACGTTTATCTCCAAGCGGTCTCAATCTGACCTAAACTCCTGAGTCTACAGTACAGTCTATCCACGGAAACATGAAGCCTCACATGGTGCTGGTCCCCAAGGCGCGCGGCTCAGAGGCCACCACCTGGCCGCCCGCCTTTTGGCTGCCGCCCAACCCACAACTTTATCACACATCCAGTCCACCGTATCAGTCCATTCAATCCCTCAGAAGGGAATTGTTTCATGAGCTTGCTAACGGCGCGTTGACAGGGTGGGATGTAATCACGACCCAGTGTTTGGTACGCCAATCATAACCTTCATGTGCCTGATCCCCCCCCTCCACGTGCATGCAGCTCAGGGGTTGGCTCACAGGAAAGAAAAGTCTCCGTATGCCCCAAATGCTTATCTATCCGCTTTGTGGTGATCGGTATGCATTCCGACTCCTCCTGTAAGCATTTCCTATCAAGCTTACTCGGCTTACACCGACACTATTTACGTACCGGCGACAGCCGGGGAGAAAAAGACAGGACGCAGGATGTGATCCGGGTGGCGACCTGCAGGATGGCGGGTGCTATCAGGCAGGAGAAGCCGGTCTTTCTCTCTTGACACCATGGGAAAAGAGGCCAGGGTGCGAACCTCAGGGCGAGACACGACGTATCACACTCGCACATGGCCCAAGCCGCTCCTCGGGAATCTCGCCCAATCTCATCTCGCGGTACAAGCCTCCCGGGCCTGTTATGCAGCTACCCTCTCTGGCTCTCCCGCTGAGGCCACCCAGCTGTATGGGGTCGTGCAACGTGTCATGGCAGCCATCGTGTTCAAAAAGCACGTTTTGCGGGAAAAGAAAGCCCGTGTTTGAGTATGTCTCGGTGACTGCCAACATGCCGTGCGCCGTGGCGTTGGACTTACGCAGATACTCGGGTGCGCAGCGCCGACCAGCTTGTGCTTTTCATATCTTATTGAGATGCCATTCGTGCATTCGAAGCTCTCGTAGTGACTCCTCATTCATATCGTATATATGGCGTGCTCGCAGTGTTCTATATAGATCACCACACCAACACGGCCGACACCCAAGTATACAGTAGCCTAGTCTACACGTCGTATTTACCCATCTGACCTCATAACACGGACTCACTCATCGGCCTCATTCGGCCAGCAGCTACCAACCTCCAGCCTCCCACCATCCTGCGCCTGGAATGCCAGCACAGGCGTCCCAAACTGAAGCGGGTTGCCCTCCCACACCACTACGTCACCGCTCTTCTCCAGTCCCAGGATCTCCTCCACGTTCGTCGATACGAGCCGCAGAGCCTCGTGCTCTGACAGACCCGCGTACTTGGCGGTCCAAGACGCCTCCAGTGCGAGTGACTGGATGCGGCCGTCTCCAGGGGGCCCTGTGTAAGTCGCATTCATAAGCCACGGAGCGGAGATAGGGGCGTGGCAGGGGGACCAGGGAGAGGGGAGGACTTACCGCCGTCAGTGTTGATAGCTACCGCGAAGAGAACTCCAGCCTCGGTGAGAATGTCCGACGGGCTTCGACCGAGGGGCGGGCCGGGCGGCGAGTCCTTCTTAGTCCATGAGTCCGGCCCGGGCCTGGTGCCCGTGAAGATCACAGATATCTTGGCTCTGGCGATCTCATCTGCTAGCTATAGAGAGAGGAAAGGAAACACGGGTCAGTAATCCACGACATCTGGATCGAGGGATAAGAGCTGGATTAGACCTACCAGAGGTGCCTCATGGCCTCCCAAGATGACCGCGTTGACAGTCGGGTAGTCTTTCTTCAGCAGAATAACTTGCTGGATGTCATGCTGCGTGAAAGGGAATAATTAGCCTGGACGGTTCCCCAGCCAATCCATTGAGACGAACAGACTTACGTTGCTGTCTGCCTTGACGACCAGAGGCAGCGACCCATTAGCAACCAGCACCCACGGGTCTTCAACATCACCCTCGCTAGTCCCCTTCTCCCCCTTCTGACCACCCGCCCTGATCAGCCCCCTCAACCTCTCAATAGCCACACTCACAGCCCCCACATTCAGCTTCGCGTCCTCGCCGAGCAGAACATGCAAGGCCACATCCTCCTGGAATAATCCCCCGTTCAGGAGGGTACTGTCCACACCCGTCCTCATCCCCGTTGATACGCCCACAATCAGGCCACCCTCCGTCATGGGTGCTTGTATAGCCCGCGTAACGCCGCCCAGCCGCGCCCTAGCGAACGTCTTTGACTTGGCCTTGCCGCCGCCAAGGGTCACCCCGTACTTCGCGTGGTCGACGACGGAACTGCCACTGGCGCCGTCTGACCCGGCCATCTTCACAATACCATCACCCGTAGTAGGGTTCATGGCGATCTCCGCGATGCCGAGAGAGGATGTCACCGCGATCAGCCCGCGGCTGAGGTGGCCGTTGTTGAGATGGATAGAAGTTATTTGCTCGTCATTATAGCTTTCATGGAGCTTGCTGGCTGCTGCACCGCAGTCTGCGCTAGTTCCGAGGCAGGTCACTTGTCCGTCGGCGATGATCATGGTGAGATTGTCCTGCGCAGACCCTTGTCCATCAGCGGCGATCAGGAACTGAGGGAACTCCTCCAAGAACGACCTGGTGATGCCGCTGATCACAAAGCCCCTGCCCTGTTCCCGAGACCCAGAGCACAGGCGCTCCCTCTCCTCGTGGGGTACTGTGGCCCGCATGGCGGGCTTGCCGGCCCCCCGGTGCGCATCAATACCCTGCCCTACGGCCACACGGGCCGAGCTCTTCTCGACTTGGGCAGGGTCCAGAGTGGCTACGCCGTCGATGAAGACCTGCCTCGGCGTCGCGCCAATGGAAAGCGGGTGCGAGTCCCAGACCACAATATCGGCGTCGTAGCCTGCCCGGGCATACCCTATCCGGTTGTCGATTTCTAGAGAGGCGGCGGGCACAGAGGTGACGGCCTGGAGAGCCTTATCCGCGGGAAGCCCGAAGCTATGACCGACAGCGGACTGGAGTAGAAGATACTTTGAGTTAAGGTCCTCCATCGAGTGGTCTGACTTGTAGGCGACAGGTATTGCGTGGTCATTCAGAATCTTGCCTGCTGAGAGACTTGCAGCGTATGCCTCTTTTTTGTAGAGCGCGAACTCGGCGAACGTGGCAATTGTCAGGTTTCTATTGAGTCCGGGTCAGCACTTTTTCGCGTAATCGGGGAGATTTAATAGAAGGTTCATGAGGAAGAATGCAGAGCCGCAACTCACTCGCCATATTCCTTAAGCATTTCTGGGACCTGCCAGGCCGAGATAGCATGGTGGAAGGCCCTGACGCGGAACCCAAACTCGTGCGAGATACGGAGCATAGTCTCAAAGTCCTCAGGCTCGTAGCAGTGGTTGTGCATCGCGACCTGACCCCTGAGCATACCCGCGGTGCTTTCAAGTTCCAGCTCCTCGGGGAAGCCTCCCTTATCCGCCAGGAGGCTAGCCCTCTCCTTCGCAGAGGCCGCGCCGCTCGCGGCCTCGCACCACGCGTCCTGCTTGTCCACCAGCTCCCTTGCGCGTGCCAGCCACTTCCTCAATTCCCACGCGTTGCCCATGCGCGTGTGTTTATACGTATCAATGGGGTTCTCGCCACATGCCATCTTCATGTACCTACCCGTCCGCTCCGCGGCCGGTATCCCGTGCTCGAGGAGCATCTCCTCGACGACGAACTCGGCGTTGGGGCCGGAACGCCAAGCGTTCTTGACAACAGTGCCCTCGCCGCCCATGATGTTGGCGCTGCCGGGGATGATCAGGCTGGCGGTGACACCACCGCTGGCGACAAGCTTCGTCGCCACGTCGTACGCCTTCATCGAGTCCAGCACGCGCACGAAGGGCGTCAGAGGGCCCCAGCCGCCGAACATCTCGTTGCCGTCCGCGATGTCACTCACCGCCGGCCAGTCCTCAACGAGGTGGTGGGAGTGCATGTCCACGAGCCCCGGCGTGACGTACGCGCCGTGGAGCTGGACCTCCTCGGCGCCGGCCGGGGCGGCGAGGGCGCGGTGCGAGGGCGTCACGGAGGTTATCAGGCCCTTGGAGAAGACGATGTCCATGGCATCCTCGATAGTATCTGCGCCATCAAAGAGCGTCGCGTTGCGTAGGACCACGGTGTGGTTCTGCCCGCTGGCGGCGTTCCATCTCGGATTCTGCTTGCGCTCCTTGGGGTCGGATCTGGTTGGAAGCTTCGTGATGGCAGCGCATGCGGCTATGCCTGCTTGGAATTTCTTTTCCTCCAGGGCGGACGATTTGGTGCGGGATAAAAGGCTCAGGTATATGTTTAGAGAAATGAGGAATACGGAGACCATAAGGGCCACACCGACGCGCAACGTAAATATCCCGCACAGGCGACGTGTTGGCCGTGTCTTGGGATACGCAGCTGCTTCATAAGGCGGAGGTGAGGAGCCGGTCTCAAGATTGGCCATGGCCTGCTTCGGGCCTGTAACCCTCTTGTCTTTTGACGTATCCATAATGTGGGACGTCTATAGCCCAATTGACCCCAGAAGAACTCAGACAACTCCAGACCGAGACCAATTGGTGCCTCGAGAAGCTGTGTGGCCGAAGGCGTGATGCCGCTTTTTAGTGGTGAATCCCGCAGCAATCAGGCACCAGAGGTGCGAAACAGCTACTCAAATAGCCGCGGAGGAAAGATGAGTATACAGGTAATAAAGCATGACGAACTCTGCTTAATCAAAAGCGATAAGGAGCCCCATAAAACTCATTCACTTGGGAACTCACGAGAATTGCATGTCGGAGTCGGAGTTCGGAAGGTGACGATGATGGAGCTTATACCAGGGTCAAGCTCCGTCGTCTCATGCACTTTGACTAGTGGGCGTTGGTACGCTGCGGCCTGCTCATTTGAGCCTCCTCACTAACCAGCCTCACCATAGTGCCATGGCCAGGGATGCAGCTCCCTCGGGTAAAGGGTCCCATCAAGGAAACAGTCCAGAAGCCAGGAGGCCTATATTACTCATAATGCGCCGTCTTCCTCTTCGTTATCAAGCACATATCCTAGTCCAGGGCCCCCAACATTAGCAATCAACCTGCACAGCATTGCCTGTTGGGAATGACCTCCCAAAAGACAGCCTGCCACGGAACAGCATGCTATGGGATGACGTCCAGTAAGATAAAGTCATATGTTCCTTGAATATAAGAGACAAGCTCTCCGAAAGACTTCATGACCATTTTGAGACCTCCCGAATTTCTTGAGTTCATGGACGACAGCGAGCGACGAAGTTCCTGAGGATGCACCATGGTTGACGAGACGTATCAGAAATTGGATCTGCCTGGAGCAAGCCCACGAAAAGTATACACAGCTGCACATCCTTTTGCAAGGCCTGGTTTTCTCTAGAATGCTCAAAAGACTCCTATGATCATGCATCCCTCACAAAACAAGCCATCCCTCCGTCAACGCCCTGGCACTCTCATAGTCCCCGTTCGTAAGCGAGTACGTCCTCAAGTTGACCGCCGACTCATACACAAAATCCTTGATCATCTCCCCTTCCTTCTCACCCCCCTCCTTGTCTCTGTGCTCCCGCGCCTCGGTGAGAGCGCGGCCGTAGAACTCAACGGCGAGGTGGTAGATGCCGAGCAGATGGTAGCAGCGGGCGACGTTATAATGGGCCTCGAGGCGCTCGACGACGTCAGGGGAGGCGGAGCGCGCGCCGTAGTACTCGAACATGTAGTGCATGCCCTGGGCGATGATGAACTGCCTGTTCTCGGCCTGGCGCTTCATGGCGTAGTGCACGTAGGCGATGCCCGTGCTGAGGTTGACCATGGGGTTGCGCGGGTCCAGCGCCGCCGCCCGCAGGAAGTAGTTGAGCGCGTACGTGTAGCTCGTGCTCGTCAGCAGGATGTGCCCGTACAGCATCAGCAGCGCCACGTCCAGCGCCTCGTGCCGCGGGCCCTGGCCCTCCTCCCGCGGCACCGCCCGGTCCCACGCCCCCATCGCCGACTCGGCGATGTCGTGCGGCAGCAGTGTCCGGTCCATTGCTTTGATCTGCCGCAGGATGTACTTCTGCGCTGGCCCGCTCGCGTACCATGAGACGGGTGACTGGCAAACCCGGCACAACGCGCTGAATACCCGGTAGCCGTCCGTCGCCGCGACGTTGTTACGCATGAAGAATCGCGCCACCGCGACGCAAGTCTCCTCGTCCGCGGCGTACACCGCGCACGCAGCCCATGCCACGTGAATAAGGAAGGTGTTGTCGCTAGATTTGTAGACGATGGAGTCACGTGCGGATTGGCAGACGAGGTACGCCTCCTTTGCCTTCTGGTGCCTGGCGAGGCTGATGGCGTACTCGAGGAAGAGGTCGAGCCACTCGTCGAAAGGAATGCCACGATGCTCGTTGCGTTTGAGGGTGGGCTGCAATGAGCCATCGCCTTCATCGGGCGCGAGGTCTATACATCGTCAGTCAGCTTGGCCCATGATAGCATAGAAGAAATGCCCAGAACTTACTCTGCTGCAATCGCTCCGCCATGGCCTCGAGCTCATTGTTTGCATGAGCGGTCTCTGACTCGTCCCTGTCACCACCGCCCTCGCCCTGCTGTTGCGCTTCTTGCTCCTGCTGTTGCTGCTGCATCTGCTCTCTCTTCCTCCTGTTCTCCTGGAAGAATGACCCATACCCCATGAAGCTAAGGTACTTGTCCCAGGGGTAGAACTCTTTGAAAGAACGGAAGTCATCCACTAGGTCCTGCGCAGCCGCCATCCACTCCGCCTCGGCATCCTTGTTCCCGCTCGCCATCTGCTCGCGCAGATCCAACACCCGCTGGTATTTCTCCTTGAAGTTGTTGGTGACGCTCTCCTCGTATTTTTCCCGCTGCGCCTTGTTCGCCATGCGTCGGACGTACACACGTCTTGCCCGTTTTGGCCTGGCGGCCCTGTCGCGGAGAACCTTCTGTCGGACTCGTTTCTGCCTCGTCTTTGCAGCCGCCTGGTCGCCCCCGTCTTCTTCTCCATTGTTCCGAGCTTCTCTCCTCTGGTCGCGCTCAAGTTGGAGAGCCTCGTTGACCAGAAGGAAAGCCTCCTCTTGCTCCTGGTTCGTCTCGTACATCTGGGCAAGCTCGTAACGCGCCTCAATATTGTCATCGTCAATCTCTATTGCGGCGATGAAGCATTCCTCAGCTGTGGCCTGGTCCTCCATTTCCAGATGGCATTTTCCTTGTTGGACAAGAATTTCTGCGTCAGGCTCTCCTGTCAATCTTCGGTATAGGTCGTAGAATTCCAGAGCGGTTGTTATCCTGCGGGCCTCAAAGAGTTCATTTGCCAGATCTTTGATGACGAAAGGGGTGTCGATAAAGAAGTTGTAAATGTCTGCGTCCTGTGAGTTCAGCCACTGCATGTGGCGAGTAGCCTCCTCTTCCTGCTGAAGCTTGAGCCGGAAAATGGCCAACTTGGCTCGAAGATCGAGTGGCAGCGCCGGACCGTACATTCCGTACGAGTACTTGTCAGGATCATACTCGGCCACCTCCTTACGGCGGTCATCCTCCTGGTCCCATTCCCGATCATCCTCGTACTTGTCCCAGAACTCCTCGACGGCCCTTCCAATCAGCATTCGCGCCAGTGACCGCAGAGCCAGTGCGGCCTCGTTGTACTTCTCCAGAAATGCACACATCTCGACAAAGATGATGACATCGGACCACTCAAAGTTTCCCCTCAGAGGCTGTCCGCCGGAACGAATCCACTTGATCACGTTCTCGTAGAACCCCCTGGCCTGCTCGACATACCTCTTCGCATTCCTTGCATCAAACGCCGCCTCCGCCATATTGCGTAACAAGATCATGTCGTACGGCCTCCTCTTCAACACTTTAGAGTACTCCGCGGCGGCGACATTCGAGTTCCCCGCCTCCAGCGCACAGTTTGCCTTGCCGACGCGGGCCTTAAGGCTCTTGGGGTTGGCCTTGATAGCGGCAGAGAAACACAGCTGCGCAATGCTGAGGTTGGTCTCACGCTGACCCGGTGTGACGTCGTCCAGCGCGTAGTTCGCGCAGTTCAGCCATCCGTCAAAGTCCCTGGGCCGCAGATGCGCCGCGAAGCATTTCGCCATAATGGCGTCGGCCATGGCCCCCGTCTCCTCGTAGATGGACGACAACATGACCCAGGCGTCCCAGGTCTCGGCGTTGACCCGGATGATCTCCAGGGTGATCTCGAGCGCGTCCTCGAAGCGCCCCTGGCCCCACGCCTCGGATGCCTTGGAAAGCTGCACCATGATGTCTGCAGACGGGGCGGCAATGTTGCTGCCTTTTGGGATGGCGGCGCGGCGCTTGGATCCCGGCGCAATGTCTAACCTGGGCCGTTTGAGCTTTCGCTTGCGAGGCAGACCCGAGCCCATAGCTAGCCGTGGGTCGAGGACATCTTCATCCTCGTCCGAAGAATCGGCAGCCATGGAAGCCTTGAATGCTGCGACGTCGGCATCGAGCTTGGCAATGTCGGCTTTGAGGCGGAAGTCGTCAGAGTCGGCGTCGGATACCTCAAGCTCCTCGTCTTGTTCCTGATGTCCCACCACATCTATGTCATCGTCCTCGTCTAAGTAGCTACCAAGGTGTTAGCCATGCCATGTGAACATGCGGGAGACATGAAATGAGTGACAATTTGAGACTTACTCATCAGCTGCAAGGGAGGCTTGCGGGAGTGGCTGGATGGAGAGCACATTGTTGATATTCGAGATTTCGGGCTCCTTGGGTGGCGGCGCCAATAGCTCTCGGAAGTCCGCCTCCATCTTGTGCCAATTTACTGATATTATTGACACGAAGTGAGCTCAGTCCAGAGGACGCGATGTCGTTTGCGATGAGTTGGCCGCATCAGACTGTTGAAGGCTGAGCTTCTTATGAGAGTGTACGGTGCAAGTGAAAGTTGCCCCACCAATCTCGAAGTACTTTGGGCGCGTCCATGCGTGGGCGGTACTTGGGTACTGGGGTGCAGCTTGCAGGGATGCCCACGGGTTTGTCGAGGCACCACAGGGTACGCAGAGAGCGATTAAGCTTGAGGTTCTTCCATCACAGGATTTGCCAGAGGAGGTCGTGTAGTCAGAAAGAATGCGCCTTGCCGTTAAATACGACGTTGGTCGGTCAGAGCCCACCCCCACTGATGCGCTCTCTTCAAAAACTACGTAGACTACGTCTTGAACGCAACGTCTTTGATACTACCACAGAAAGCCAATTCAAATTGCCGCCAGTCGAATCTGGCAGTGTCTGTCTCCGATCAGAGTTCAGACGTCCCATCCTATCTTACAGTTTGCACCTCCCCTGCCCAGCCCGTAGCGGCTCACGCTGGAAGGAGCACGCACATGCCTACACACATAGATGTCTACTGAGCTCAGTCTCAATTCTTTCAGACCGGCAGTTTCAGTTTTGCTCATGCTCCAAGGAATCGTATTGTCTTTCCGTGTCTCCCAAACCAGACTATGAAGGCATCTCATCTTTACTTCAGAGATAGCACTGACACTTTCTCGCCCGCCCAATGCTCGTCAGCACAGGCTACCTGGTTTTCCTGTCCTTCCAAGAGATTCTCGTTTCTGATGTGGTTCTTCATCTCATAGGCCACCTCCTCGTCCCCTGCCCTTCCCAAATTGCTTTGTGCCTCAAACTGTTTGTGGAGTATGTGCCGTAGACTCTCGCTGGATATGCCAGAGTGTGTGTATCCAGGTGTCGACTGAGTCAAAATCGTACTGATGAAGAATGCTGCCGCCGACTTTCCCGTCCATAGAGACCTCTATGCGGGAAAAAAAATAACGCACGTATCTCTGTCCGCATAAGTGAGGTCAACTCACGTCCTGACGAAATTCAAGTGCAGCGTTTCGACCAGTCGAGACAGGTATTAAGATTTTATGGAAGCTTGCCCGTAACCTTGGCTTCTGTGCATGCTGTCAGTTTCCACTCAAATTAGTCAGGAAGACCATCTCGACGTACCCTTGACTTGTTCGAACACCTTGAGCATCTTCCTCCTCGCACCAAGAGCATTGACACCGCGAGCCTCGAGCTGTGCATCGTCCAGCTCAACAAGCTCGGTCCACTTCAGGTCCTTCAAGTTATCAGTATACTTGTGCAGACGGAGGCTGCGCAGCCAAGCTGGAATGTCTTGCAGCAGGGTCGGATCGGTCGGGTCCTCAGGAGGCTTGCTAGTCCCCCTGCGACCACGCGGAGAACGGCCCCGGTTCATATCAGAATGGTCGGACAGGTAGCCCTCGTGGTGTCCTCCCATTCCCATCCCCCCAATGTTCAAGGAGCCCATGCCGTTGTTGAGCAGAGGAGATGCACTGCTGTACGGGTTTAGGAAACCATTGGCTTGAGGAGATGCGAAATTGCCCATTGGCTGAAACCCGCCTTGCATCGCAATGCCGGGAGAGTTGGGCCGCGACCTGTCGCCGCCAGCCAGCTGCTGCTGGTGCTGCTGAATGGCCATCATTTGCTCCGGCGTCAGGACTTGTCCGCGCTCATTGCTCATAACAATGTTCAATTGGCCAGGCACGCCCATCCCCGGTGGGAGAGGCGAAAGCGGGGCACCTGGCGCATCATTGGATCGAGCTCGGCGGTACTTCCGTACGTCGTCGAGCGCAAAGCGGTTGTTGACCGTAGAGAGCGCAGCGAGCTTCATCGCCGTAGCATTGGCCACCATGTCCGCCTGGTTGTTGCCCTGCTGCTGTGGGTTGAAGTTGGCAACCATGGGAGTATTCACCATGGAGGCCCAGTTTCCACCACCGGCACCGTACGGCGAAAGTAGAGGGAGATCGTTGACCGATTTGTCGCCACCTGTAGTGATAGTCTGGCTCTTGATTTGCTGGTTGCCTGAGATCTGTGGTCGAGGAGAACGAAGTCCAGCAGACGGAGGAGGCTGGACGAACTGACCCATAGGCGTCTGCCCAGTGGATGACTTCGGCCTCTGGTCCTGGCCCCATGGAGACGGGCTCTGACCATTAGGGTCATCAGGCGCCGAGATTGTGGGTGCGACAAGAGAGCTTCGGTCAACAGTGCTGTTTCGATTCGAGGGAGGGGCAGTGCCTGTCGATTGCGTGTATTTGGCCTTCTCGGTGGCAATAGCAGCGGCGGCATCAGGGAACATCGCATTGATAGTGCTTGAATCGAGGCCAGACTGGCGTTTGTTTGTGGAGGGCGCACGGGCGAGAGAAGCAGGTCTGTTTGATTCGACGCTCAGCTTGCCCATGGCATCGCTCAGGCGGCTGGACAGAGGGTCTGGTTCTCATGGTGTTAGCTGCATCTCTGCTGCCCAAAACTGGTGAGCTCTTACCTTTGTCAAAGTTGGCAGGTGACAAAACCCCTGACATCGGGTGCCCCTTGCCCATCTGCTGCAGGACCTGGATGAAGAATCGAATCTGCACCTGGGTGGTCTGCTGCAGCAGGGCATACAGAGCGGCAGTTCGCTCGGCCTCGCTCAGAACCCGGAACCATTGTTCAATAGCACTGAGCTCATCCTTAAAGTCCTGGTCCAGGGTTGCGGCTGCCATCTCCTCCAAGGTGGTCTCGTACTGATCGATGTCGGCGATCCACTGCTGAGCGAGCTTGTCCTGAGGGTCGAGCTCGCCCTGGCCCTGGCCCTGGCCATGTTGCGGCTGGCCGTAGAAGTCGGAGCTGGGACGGATCTGCTTGGACTGGGGCGTGCCGGTGAGGGAGGCCATGTCGGCAGAAGCGCGGAGCTGGTGCCCGGCGCCGATGGCCCTCGAGGAAGGCGGTCGGAGGGAAGAGGCGTTTCCAGCCTCGGGGGTGCTGTTGCGGTTGCTCATGATGTTGGACATTGTGAGCTAACCAATCAACAAAGGCGAAGTCGAGTCGATGATGGTAGCCGAGACAGGTGCTCGATGGAGCGGAGATCGGAAAGTGAAGGATGGGTACGTGGTTGTATTAAAAGTGAAGTCCTGGCCTGCCGGTCTGCGAGTGGACAGGGCCGTGTCGCATGGGACCTGAAACAAGACTGGAAGGCTGTTCGAGGAATCGGACGGAGGAGGTGTCGGGGGCAACGAGTGGCCCGTGACTAGCGATGCAGCGTTTCGTAGATTTTTCGACTTGACAGTCTCCCCTAAAACCGTGCGGCTATGCTCAAACGGGATGGGGGGTTGGGGGGGGGGGTTGGAGGGAGAGCCCTCTTCTTTGCGAATAGATATTACGATGGGTGGGGCTTTCGGCTTGGGCTCTAGGCGTGGGCTTAGGCTCGAAGTCGGCTCTTGTCGTTTGCAGGATTAAAGGCGGCGGCCGAGGAAAGTGATCTCACGAATGGGAAGACAAAGAGATGCGGACTTTTCGTAGGCTCCTGCAGTGACCGGCTGACCTCAAAGGAGATGTCGAAAAAGAGGAGCTTGAAGTCAAGTCGAAAGGCGACCGAGCACTGTTGAAGTGAAGTGGGCAGGAATGGAAAATAAGGGGTTCGGGTGGTCTAGTATGAAATACTCGGAGCACTGCAGGATTGTCGTGTCAGCGAATCGGCTAGCCTGGATTGCCCTATGGGTCTGGTGCTGCTACTGCTGCTGCTCAAAGAGGCGAGCCTTCTGGGAATGGATTGGGGGCGTGTGCTGTGGATCCCGCGCCAAGGTGGGCCTGAAATGCGGCGGCGACGACGACGACAGGGCTGGGCAGGGCCAGGCTCAGGGTCGAGATGGGCTGAGCGCAAGATAAACCTCGGAAGCACTGCAGCTCTAGCTTGGGTCACATGCAGCAGAGGGTGATGGGCGAGGTAGCTGCCGGGGGATTTATATTGACAAATGCCCCAAGGTTTGTCGATGAAAGGATGAAGGCAGGGGCGGGAAGGGAGTTGAGATGAATTTTGAGCTGCTAGAGAGATCGACGGCAAGGTAAGATTTGCGATTCGAGATCACACGCCACGGTAGCTCGCCGACGGGACAGTATCGAGTGGGGAGAAAAGGAGATGTGGCACCCAGAAACCGTTTGGAGAAGAGCTGTCTCCACCAGTCGACTCCCAAAACGAGAAACTGGAAGCCGAAGAAGCCTTTCTGGCGGCCGGGGGGGGGGGTTGATGTCTGTGTGCAGCAGGCCACGATGGAGGAGGCGAGGGTAGGAATGAGGAATGGAGGGGGGGGGTCAGCCTACTTACTCACAGACGCGATGGAAAGTCCATCAAGTAACAACCCAGGAAGAGTCTAAAAAGCAACTCGACAAGTTCAAGAGGGGGGTTTCTTTCGGTTTGCTGGCATCACTCGCTGGCCGTGGTAGGCCGATCGCAAGAGGTGACAGGTGGTGATACAGATGCTGATGATGATAATAATAATAACGGACTACGAAGATCAGTTCCACATCTAGTTGCTGGTGAGGCGACGGCTACGTCCATGGGGTTGAAGAGCTGTACCTGCCTCGTACCTATCACAGTCCACCATAGAGGGCCTGGTGGGTGCTGGGGCCCACTAGCGCCGACTGGGCGGGCAGTGTGAGACCCGGCTGGCCCAGCACGCCTGGGTACCTGGCTGGGCAGGTGGGCAGGTGGGCAAGCTGCCTGGCACGTCCTGGCTAACCTTAGAAACACCCCAAGATCCTACCACGCTGATGGCCGAAGGCACGCTGACTGGCCGCCCCTCGCTTGCAGAACCTGGGGATTGATTGATTGATTGATTGATTGATTGATTCAGGAACGCCATCCTCCACACAGGTTTCGGCAGCTTCCCTTTCCTGCTGCCCTCTGCGAGTCATTGTGCAGTTTGGCAGTGGAGGCTAGTCTCAACCTGCAATAGAGACAGATAGACACTCTACCTTAGGTAGCACTATGGCCAGATATGTGTCTGTCTATACCCATGGCTGACTGCCCCCATTCTGCCTAGGTATGTAGCTCCCCATCTCCTGACCAGCAAACCAGCAGCCAGTATTCCAGCAGGCCCTCTCCGGCGCATTCCCGGCTGAGGACACCGTTCGTTTTGCTATCCCGAGCTTACGCAGGTCCAAAATCTGCTCAGCTCCTGAAATCTCACTCGGGATCCATCAGAGGAGAGGCACACGAGCTCCGTCGGTGCCATGCCATGCAGCCGAGCCCCGCAAATTCTACTGCGAACTTACACTACGGGCCCCTTTCGAACCACGGCTTGTTGAGCCGCCCACACACACACCCACACACGGTCACTCACTCACTCACCCAGGCAGGCTAAAGATAGCACAGGATATTCCGGAGACGATCGCCCTTTGCGGGCTGTTCCTGACTCTTGCCGTCATGCTCCCCCAACGAGGCCACGGGTCACCAGACATCCCGGGACAGCCGGACGGACAAATAGAAAAATTCGAAATCTTGTGAGGTCTGCCTGTGTGTGGTCTAGATCGTGAGCACGATTCGGGGGAAACCTTCTTTTGTTCGCTTCTCGGATCTAACACCGATGAGTTCTTGGCATCCAAGGTGACGAGTAGTTGTTTAGAAGCCCAGGTTTCACACACTGCTCTACGCTGCGTTGCAGCGCTAGATGAAGCTCGCCTGTCACACAGTGTCATGCCACCACCTTGCAGCCTGATGGATGCACGCGGTAGATCCAAGAAACAGTGAATGTGTTTAGCTATCTGAAATTGAAGTGTTTGTGTTCGACTTTAGTTTCGAATCAATTGTCTCGATACACCCTACGCGAGACACTTTAGGGCCAGCTCTTCGGCCTTGTCTCCTCCTGCCTGAGTGTCCTCAGACACAAGTCTGAAATCAATCAGACAGGGGAATACATCATCATCTAGACTTGGAGATGTAGCCAGTCTTTCATGGGCCCAAGCCGCTTGAGAAGCGAAGGTACACAGGCCTTTGGTAATAGACAGGCTAGAGATCGATCTTGGCACGATAAAATCCTTCAGTCATTTTGAACATGGAGAAGAAGTTCAATGCTGTACACACTAATGCCTTTTGTTGGAGGGTATCATTATCCGGGGGAGGGGGGGTCGGGTGACGGGGAATTGTGGTCAGCGACCATCGTCTCCATCCGAAGCCGCAGGCCTGAGAGGTTGCTCGTCAAGCCGACGACCAGGACTTGGATGGAGGAGCATGTCACTCGAGAGACCGAGCACAAATGGCCTGGACGCAATGCGCAGGTTTGTTGTTGATGCCTTCGAATTTGGAGGAATCACGGCCGTGGTGGCATCCTAGCCGTGATGCTCAAAGCTGGGTGATATAAGCACAAGAGACGCCCCTGTAGTTTGTTCCCGACCGTCGTGATGGTATGATGCCTTTTCGCAAGCCAAATCCCTCGTCATCGCATCTAGTTTTGGTTTCGCTTAGGCTCGTTGCGTCCCTTAAACCGTCTCACGCTTGCCCTCCGCCTTCTCCTTCTGTTGTGGTTGTCAGCATCGCACTCGGCCTCCCACCACGGCCGCGGTGGATCAATCAAGCGCAGAGCTTGGGGATGCTCACCAGAGCCCGCATGGTACCGTGCAGGGCATATCTGTGGTTTCGTCGGAACTTGGGGTCGGTTCCGTTCAGGGAGGGGTAACGGTTGGTCTTGGGCTTCTTGATACTGTTGGCCGATTCTCCATCAGTACGATTGCTTCATAATCATTGTACGTTCTTGTTTAAATGTCTTTCGGTCGCCTTCATCTCGAGATGGAACGTGATGTGGGCAGGTTTGCGATGCATCGCTGCTGCGTTCGAACGTACCCGTTACGGTGAGCCTTCTTGCTCTGGTTGTGCTGGGACGAGTTCTTCGACTCTGTTCGCGAAAATGCGTCAGTAATCTAACGATCAAGAAAACACATCGTTCAGGGACGAGCGATCACACGTACTGGCCATTGTGACTGATTTGCCGCGATTTGGAGGTTCGTCGGTTGGTCAATGGTGGTGATGTGGATGGGTCAATTTCGGCGCAGGTTGCAGAGTTTTGGAAGTTTGTGTGTGTCTGTGGCCCCCCGGTGAAAATCGGGGCCATCCGTTAGAATGACCGTTTCGTTGTGTCAGATGCACGGGCCATAAAACCGTGACGGACTTGAATTCTCCCACTGATTTGCACATCAATTCACTAGACAGTGAAAATATTCAAACATTTCATTTGCTCATTTATGTACGAGAAAAGATCAGAACAAATGCTGTCTACCTAGCCACGCAGACTCCTGCGTCGCTTTCTAGCCCGCCCTCCAACTAATAATATATGCCGTACCAACTTGCAGTTCCGAAACCCACCGGTACTATAACGGAGTGCACGCCCCAAGAGACGGTCGTCACTTCGCTGTTGGAAAATCGCTAGTACGATTTTCTCCTCTGGAAAAGGGAGTCTTTCTAAAGTCACGCCAAACGGTTGGATTCCGGTCATGTCAAGAGACCCCCGAAAACAGAATGCTCATGCTATAGAGAGATCTTTTCGCAACTCTTTATTTGGTTGTGATCGGGGCAGTAGCATTCCTCGCAGCGACCAGCTGTGCAGTCTTCGCCAGTTGCTGTGACCGCAGCTTCTGCAGGTAGCGAACGAAGAGGATGAACATGATCTCGACACTGAGTGAGGCACGAGTAGTGTCAGTCAGCACAGCGATTCATCGTCTCCAGGGCTTGATTTTTTGGGAATCCACTTACCGTTCTTTTGTCATCATCAGAATTCCCTGCACCAGAACCCCTTTCAGGATCTGAGGACCAATGCCCTTGAACAATCCCAAAGGACCCTCATTGTTGACAATAAACTGCATCACCTCGCCGAAACTCTTGAACGGCTTACCCTTCCTCGACGGTGGGGGATTCGACTGAAGGCCGACCTTGGCGACAATGAGCGGCTGCGTGGCAACGGTCGCTAATGCTTTTGACAAGGCTCCCAGGACTGTGGCACTCTCGATTAGCACCCAAAGGTCGATAGAAATGTACCATATCGACAATCAGTTTGGCCAAGAAAAGGACTCACCAAAGGCCTGCCACGCGCTCAAGGGCTTGCCGCCAGGGAACAGAAGCGGCTTTAACCTCTCGTAGGCGCCATACGTGATGGATGGGTTGACCACCAGCACCAGACTGGCCTTGAGTCCCCTCCACAGCCCAGTCACGCCGTCCGGGCCATCGATGACCTCCTTGGCGGTCTCGAGCATGCCTTTCCTCTCCGACTTGCTCTGTGTCTGCTGCCGCGTGGTGACCACAGCCACGGGGATGGTGAACAGCTGAGCCAGCGCGCCGGCGACGGCACCCAGCGCCAGCTCGACAGCGGTGGAAGGCGGGGTCGAGAGCTTTGCGCCCTTGAAGTACAGCGTCCGCACGGTGCTGTACCAGTAGAAGTAGGCAAAGTTGGTGGACGCGACGCCGAGGAGCGAGCCGCTCATCCCGGCGTATAGGCCGGCGATGCCTTCCTCGTCGAACATCTTGCTGAGCGCATCCCAGGTGGAAGTGTAGTGGGGTGCGACAGAGGTCGTCGGGTCGGGAGTGTCGCCAGGCTTGCGTACTTCTTGGACTTGCAGTCTTGTCTTGACTCTGCGATGAGAAGACGTTAGGGCTGTGTTCAATATGTCGACAAGGGGATCAGGTCCAGAGAACGTACATGTCCAGCGGGTAGACCAGGGCGTTGGCAAGCACCGCGCCGGTGGCGCCTGCTGTAGCCTTACCCCACGGCCCAATTGGGGCTGCTTTGGACTGAATCGCCATTATTTAACTGGTATTGTCTAAGTACTGGACCTGGTTTCAAGCCAGAAGTGCCTGGACAAGTTGAGGCGGTCGTGTCGAAGAACCGAGGCGCAAAACGTAATCGGCGGTCTCGAGCACGCCGAACACCGGCGGCCGTCGTGGGGCTTGTAGAGAAACGAGATGTGGAGTGCTATCAATTCATGGGAACAATAGTAATAATATAGCGTGAATATATGGCACTATGATACCCACAGAATCTGCTGCGACGGATCTAGATACAAAGCACTGCAAGGGGACAATAGATGGAGCCCCGGCGTGGTTGTCAAAGACAAGAAGGGCGTTATCGAGACGGAGCACAGCAGGTTGATAACCGTGAACCTCGGTCTTCGGGCTGGCTCCCATGTGGAGCCGACCTGCCGCTCCCCGTTTGTTCTGGGGCCCGGCACCGCGGTAAATTGTGTGCCAGGTGACGTCGGCCCACGTCTGAGAGGTTCCAGTCACTGCGTAACACGTTTATATGTCCATCCGATCTCTGCAGCATGTAGTACTGCTAAGAGCTGATCTGACCTGGGTCAAAGTGAGGCTGAAGAGTGAGAATCATTAATGAACAGAGCGATTGCAACCAGGTCAACGGTGAACTGATGAACGGACTTTCACATTCTTTTCCGCGCACAGTTCCGTCCCCGAGAAGAGGGTTCAACCCTTGGCCAAGAGACACAACTGGGGTAGGGCCAAGTCGATGCCCAAGAGCCAGTCTAAAGATAGAAGAGGTCTGTTTCCAAGGGCATTCATCGCTCTTGGCAAGATTTCATCAGTACTGAAATAGACTCTGCCAACTCCTCAATATCGATATCCAAAGCCTGTCTTTGACTGGCCAGCTCTGCTCGGGGTGAGCTGTCATCTGTTGTAGCATCTCGCATATTCCCAGACCAGTTCAGTTCGCGGAGTTCGCGGCCGGTTAGACCATCGACTTGGGATTATGTCCTGCGGGCTGTGCAAGCTTGACTCTTGAAACGTCCACCCTCCCATTCTCGCACTACCACGCTTGGATATCAAGATATGCATCTCTCGGCTGACTCGATTTGAATATGATGTCCGCCTCTTGAAACCGCGGCCTTGGCCCTGCTGCTTCTCCTTGGACTCGCTTGCCCAACCTCATTATCTGAGGGATCCACCCGTCCTGCGCCTCGCGAATGCACCTCGTTCCTGCAGCGGATCAGAAAGCCTAAGGTATCGAGCATGTTGCGATGTTCAGTGAGGTCACCACAATTGCCTCGTTGCCAAGCAATTCCTTGACCCCCGTCACCTCGAGCCTCCTTTCGCCAGCGTGGTCATGAATGGAGGCTTTGTTACTCCGTGCCGTATGAATTCCCGCTCTTGACCGAGCACCTCGCTGTCTGCGTTTCAATCGTGTGTTATCGCCATGGAGGCCCAGGCCCGAGTGAGTATCTTGACGAGCCCTCTCGGACAACAGCACACCGAGGCTGACCACCCGGCAATAGGAATATGAGGCCAAGATCAGTCGCACGTCTGGCCAGGAGGCCTTCAAGAATGCAATACAGGCTGCCGAACTGTACATGAAGGCGGTCAAGGAAGCCTCCACGCCTGCTGAGAAGTCCCGCCTGAAGGGCAAGTGCCGCGACCTCATCGCACAAGCCGAGACGCTCAAGACGTCGGGCCCCACTGCCGCGCCGCCCAAGGCCCCGAAGCCCAGGGGCCCTCGCCAAAGCCGTGAGCTCCCAACGGCTGAGAAGACCATCCTGTGGCGGTCCTCCAAGTTGCATGGCAGTGTCTTCCCGCCTTGGGAGGCCGACCCTGATCCGGCCGTCTTTCGGAGCAAGAAGCTGGACGAACCGCTTTTCACGTGAGATTCCCTCCCTCTTTGCCCCCCCCCCCCGAATCCAAGACATCTGAATCGCTCTACTAACATTCCAACAAGTGACAACTCGGAGTTCTCGTTCTCCAAGAAGCAGAATGAGATCTTCGACGGCTGGAAGCGGCCCGCCGAGATCTTCAACGACTCCGGCCCGGAGCTGTTTGAGAACATCATGGTTGCCAAGACGAACAGCGACCTGGTGCAGGACATCACAACAGACTGCTCTGTGGTCGCGAGTCTATGTGCCGTCATGCGCCACCTGAATCCCAACAAGAAAGATTCGGTAAGCCTATCTTTGGACCCTGTCAAGCTCATCCAACGGTGCTCGACTAACGCTGTCCAAGCTTTTACCAACGTTACTATACCCTTTCGACTACGGCAAGGGCAGACCTATAGCATCGCAGAATGGAAAGTATATGTTCCGCTTGAACTTCAACGGATGTTTCCGCCAGGTGGTCGTTGATGATCGTTTGCCGACCTCCAAGACGTCTCGAACATTCTTTGTCGTCGATCGGAGGAACCCAGAGCTTATATGGCCAGCTCTCATGGAGAAGGCTTACTTAAAAATACGTGGTGGTTACGATTTCCCAGGCAGCAATTCCGGGACAGACCTTTGGGTGCTCACCGGATGGATACCAGAGCAAATCTTTCTACAGAGGTAATACGGACCAACATTACTAGATACTAATGCAGTTGCTAATGCGAGTCTATACAGCGACGACATTGAATTAGATCAGACGTGGAAGCGCATCAAAAATGCATTTGAGTACGGCGATGTGGTAGTCACTCTAGGCACCGGGCGTCTCTCGCGCCAGGAGGAAGAGACGCTTGGGCTGGCCGGCGAGCACGACTACGCCGTGATGGACCTTAAAGTCCAGAACACAGGCGAGCGCCGGATGCTTCTAAAGAACCCATGGTGCGACGGGCTCGTCTGGAAAGGCTTCGGTTCCACCACCACGGTTGACGCCGAAGTATACCCGCCCCCATCACCAACTCTGTCGCGCCCAGCGCAGCGCTCCAACTCCGACGTCACATCCCCATCACCTTATGCCGAGTTGACAGGGACATTCTGGATATCCCTCGAGGACGTCGTCCAGAATTTCGAGTCCCTCTACCTGAACTGGAACCCAAGCCTGTTCACCGACCGCCAGGACCATCACTTCACATGGACACTTCCCAGTCGTGCCATGCAGCGCTCGTTCGCTCACAACCCACAATACTCCTTCACCCCCCCAACATCCGGCGTAGTCTGGATCCTGCTCTCACGGCACTTCCAGGACGGCGAGCTTCCCATCGCGCGCAGCCGCCACACAAGACAACCAAACGCCCACTCGTACAGCCTCGGCTTTATGTCCATCTACCTCTTCGACAACGCAGACGGCCACTGCGTGCAGCTCCCCGACAGGCCGGCGCAGCAGTCCCCCTTCGTCGACAGCCCGCAGACCCTTCTACGCTTCGAGGCCCAGGCCGACACGGCCTACACGGTCGTAGTCGCGCAGGAGGGCCTGCCGCTGCCCAAGTACCCGTCCACGCTGTCCTTCTTCAGCCGCTCCCCCCTCACCATCAACCCGGCCACGCCGCCGCTGAAACACTACACGGAGCTCGAGTCGGCGTGGACGCGGCGCACGGCGGGCGGCAACGCGCGGACCGTGTCCTTCTTCCACAACCCGCAGTTCGCGCTCGTGGTGCCGCAGCCGACGCCCATCTCGCTGCACCTGGCGACGGACGCCGACGACGTGCCCGTGCACGTGGACCTGGTGTGGTCGCAGGGCGGGCGGCGCGTGACGGCGCTCACGGTGCGCGACATCGTGTGCTCGTCAGGCGAGTACCGGCGCGGGTGCGCGCTGGCCGAGATCCGGCGGCCCCAGACCATCGACGCGGGGACGTACACCGTCGTCGCCTCCACCTTCGAGCCGGGCCAGCTCGCCTCCTTCGCCCTGCGCGTCGGCTCCGACGTCCCCGTCCAGCTGCGGCCCGTGCTGTCCGACGCCGCCGGCCGCCTGCGCTCCGAGCTCGACCCCGTCGTCTTCCGCGAGGGCGAGAGCGAGCGCCAGCGCGCCCGCGTCACCGTCTCCCGCCTGACGCGCGCCAGCGTCGTCGCGCGGTCCGGCACCCTCGACGGCGGCGCCTCGTCCTCGTCCTCCTTCGGCAGCCTGCCGTTCTCGCTCGGCGGGTCGTCGAGCCTAGGGATCTTCAACAACAGCGCCAAGGCCGCGGCAGCACAGCGTGACCACCAGCAGCAGCAGGCGCCGCCCGCGTCGTCCGGCACCGCGAGCCCGATCAGCATCCCGTGCTCGGTGCGCGTGTCGTTCGAGTACGGGACGGGCCCGCACGCGCGGGCGGCGGCGGTGACGGCGGACGGCGAGTTCGCGGATGCGAGCATGGGCCTGCGCACGGGCGACGTCGACCTGGACCCGGACGCCGCGCGCCGCGCCGGCGGCCTGTGGCTTGTCGTCGAGCAGATGGGCGTGCATCGCGAGGGCCAGGGCATACAGGTCGACGTGCTCAGCGACGGGAGCATCGGCGTTGGGCCATGGGAGAGCGTGGACGATTGATTGATTTTTGCTTTCGTTTCGCCGGTCGGTCGGCTGATTGGTCGTGAAGTGCGTTTTTACATATACTGGCATGGATGGGAGTCTGTCTTCTCCTCTTCTTTCAGGGGTTTGTCTTCACATTGTGCCCTGGTGCCATCGAATTATCCCGCTACAGATAACGTTCTTTACGTGTCCACTGAAAGTAGAAACATAAAAATCTGTACCAGCCTTCGCTTACCGGAGCCCCATTGATTTCTTGCTGAACTGCAATACAGCTCATGATTTTTTGGCAATTTGCCAGACGACGCGAGAGGTTCCGTCACACATGCCCCTCTGCCCGCATAGACTTTCGTTAAGCAGTCAAATCCCCAACCAGCATCACGCGATAGTAGTAGGGGCATGTTACATCGTGTGCTTGCAAGGTATAGCGGTCAAGGCATTCAGCTAGCTAAAATGTCGTCTGCTGTACACTGTGCAATCCATCTTCGCCGAGAGGAGCTCTTGTGACCCACCCTATTCTCGTCGCTTCGAAACCAAAAATCGCTTGGGGAAACAAAGTTCACCAAAATCCTGCCCGCTCCAGGGGAACCATAACCTTGATACCATGCGGGCATTGTATCTCCACTTGCGAAAGAGTTGTCCGTCCTTCCCATTTTCTGAGCCAAATCTTCAAAGCAGCCAACGCCAGGAGCTGTCCGACAGCAATCGAATGGGTCATGCCTGATTTGAAGATTACCCCCGGGGTTGGGCGGCCACTTCTTGCCGAAATTCCATAGAGACATAGGGAAAAGAGGTGTCAAAAAAGTATGTACAGCGAGCGAGAAGTAGATGTTGTCGAGCTGTCGATTCACGAAGCTGCGTTGGGGAGGGGTATCGTCAAAAAGTCGAATATGTACAGGAGAAGTTAGAAGTGAACATGAAGTATTTATGACAGGCCGGCTTTCGTATTCGATATTGTTCAAAGCGGTCCGCCTCGTCGCCTGCGACCACGGCTTGGGCCATCTGGTCTCTGAGACAGAACATCGCGTAGTTCCGGATCATCCTTGTCTTTGTCCACATGGTGAACTCGGACATGTCTACGATTTGTGAGCAAAACTGGTCGAATCTGTAAACTTTTTGGGCCTCACAAACCTCTGCAAGTTATCCGGTCGCGGATATTTGTGTTCCCGATCTGGGCAAAACGGGCAGACATATCCAGGAGATTCATGGACTAGCCCATGACGAATCATTTCGTTCTTCCGCTTGAAACCCTTGCCGCCTTCCGATCGAGGGCAGCCCTTCACCGGGCAATAATGTGGCCGGGCTTGAGAGTGAACATTTGCGTGTGAATTCAAAAGGTATTGAGTCTGGAAAGGAGGGGCTTTGCATCCCTCAAATTTGCAGACATATTGGCCAATATCTTGAGGATTTGAGAAGGCCATACCGTCCAGGCTCATCCGATCCGCAACCGAATGCGTAGATGTCGCAGGCGTGGAAGCTGAGTGGTCGGTACTTGGCGTGCTACCGCTATTGTAATCAAGACTAGGTCGATGCGTCATGCCGGTTGGAGGGAAAGGATAGAATGGACTGGGTGGCAACAAGACTGAATGCGGCGAGCGAGGGTCGCGGGCATAAATATCGTGTGGTGAGATGGGTGGAGATGCATGGCTTATGGAAGGCAATCGAGGCATACCAGAACCGGGTATGGCAGGCGGAGACTGCTGAAAGGATGCAGGCGAGAGCGCCTCTGGCCCCAGATGATCTCTGATGGACGGAAGCGCAATCCCGCCGTTGGACTCCGACCTTGGCGAAGCATTCTGGATCGGCGGGAGGTCGCCGAGGCCAGGGCCCGCTAGACTACCCGTGGGCGATGTGAAGGTTCCGGTTCGAGGTGAATAGTAGTCGGTAGGACTGTATGGTGCTGGGATGACAGGCTGTGGCCTCTCTTCTCTCCGGATGGCTGTTTCAGGCCGAGGGATGGAGGGAGGAGGTGATGAATCTGAAGGCCGCGATGCCTCTGTATCCGTGTCTCCGACGGTGGTCGATGTCCGCCCATCCTCACTAGGAGACTTGTGGTCCCCCAAGGCAAGAGCCGCCAAAGCACCTCCAGCTAACGTCTGCAGGTCAGAAGGAGAGCCTGGCAGGACATCGCCTTTCCGATTTCCACGTCCTTGTGCCTGCTGTTCGACACCGTTCACTCCTGGGTCATCGCGATCGGCCATGATCTCTGACTCGTCCATCGAACTATCAGTGTCGGGGCTACTGGAGACTTCCTCCGAATCGCTCGGCAACGCCTCTTGACCAGCCAGGGTAGCGATGTCCGGATGCCTTCCATTGTCCATGATGCTTATCAGAACGGCATCGCCTTGACTGGGCCGTACCTTTGGTCGACGCTTAGTTTTCCTGCTACCAGGACTGGGAGGTGGACTGACTTGAACCAGTGGGATGTCTGGTGGAGGACTTAGGCTTGGTCGGAAGGTTACCTTTTTCGGAGCCAGCAAAGGACTATTCCGAGGCACCACTTCTTCGGGGTCGTACACTTCGTGGGCAGAAGCCGAAGCAGCGGTGGTAGTCATTGCTTCAGGTGTGCTCGCAGCTTTGCGTACGTCTGTGGTCAACTCGCCATGAGCGTAGGAGGCTGGGTCGTAGAGACAAGGTTGATGGAACGTCCGTCGGCGCACGGCTCCACCGATGATGCCGTCCCTGTGGGCGCCAACAATATTCTCGCCCTGCAAAAGACCAGCTGCTCACTCAGGAGCCAAGCCAACACTGCTTCCCTAGCTCTTGAATCTTTTCTGTGTGTGTATGCCAGTATGCGTGCGCGCGCGCGTGCTTCGCACTCTCTGTATCTCCTCGCTTCCCTTGACACCTTTGCGCCTGTTGGTACGAAATCGGCGAGGCGGGAGCTAGAACAATGGGCGAAGACGCCTTTGTTGCGCGGTGGTCGTGGTCATCCAAGGAAGGGGTGGTGTTGTGGCCCAGGCAGCGGTAGCCCGTGAGGGTGAAGCGAGAAGGTTGGGGAGTGGAGGTGTCCAGGACGGTGTAAACGAAGTAGCCCGCAGAGCCCCAACAGCCTAGGAATGCGGCGAAACAGAGCCTCTTAATGATATGGGGAAATGCTTGGCGCGTGACTGGGACCCCAAGTCCAGTCCCAAAAGCGACAGGCTGAGCGGGGCAAACAAACTGCTGGGAACAAAAACCGGGGGAACACGCCGGGCGGCAAGGATGAAGGGGGGAGGAAGAGAGGGAGGCGATGGGTGCTGTCCACGGGTCCCCGGTGAGGGGGTTTCGACCTGGGGGTTGGGAGGGATGGCCGCCTTTTGCTGTCACTCCAGACCCGAGCCGACTGCGAACTGGCGCTGTTACTGAGAGTGACACTGACACCGACTGGCAACCGACCAAGGCACCAGCGCCGTTCTGTCGCGGGGCCGGTGCTGGTAGAAAGCTAGTCACAGCCCGGTCTGATCCAACACAACCCAGCCAGCGCCAACTTAGCCGTACTCTTGTGGACGGCGCTTCAGCCCGAGCTTTTGTGGTCTCTGAATGCGATGCGATGCGAGACGAGACGATGCGATGCGCGATAGTGCGCTACGTCAGGATGGCTGATGGCTTTTGGCGTAGGGACACAATGTCTGCTGGTGGCAGACTGCAGAGTAGCTTTGTAGACAGAGCCTGGTCGAGAGAGTCACGACGTCGGATCGGGACAGTTGATCAGATCAGTGGCGCTCGGGAGGTGGAGGGAGACGGCAGGGCGAGACGAGGCTCTGGGTGGATCTCGTGGACCTGGACTTCGAGTGTCGCGAGCGGGCGGGCGAGTGAAATGCAACGCAATGCAATGCAGTCTGGGTCCGTCGTGCGTTTCTCCGTTCCCGGGCTGGAGTCCTCGAGGTCGGTTTGGCTGGCTCGCGATCGTCGTCAAAGCTGGCAGCTAGAGTAACGTGGGAAAACAAGGCGGAGCAGGCGACAGGGAGCAGGCTGTTCGCCGCTGGTGTTAGCCACCAGCCGAGCCGGGTCAGGCAGGTCAGGTCTGGTCAAGGTCTGGTCGACAAGACAAGACAAGACAAGCAATAAGATTGGACGGGACAAGGGAGGTGGGACGGGGGTGGGCGGGTGAGGTGGTGTTGGTCAGGTATAGATTGGGGGGTGTCAGGGAAGACGAGGATCGCAGTTTTAGTTCTTTAGGGTACGGGTGGTCTTCCGGGTGCAGTGCGCAGTGCGCAGTGCGAGGTGCGAGGAGCAAGGTGCGAGTGCGCGCGGCGTGCACCCAGGCAGCGAGCGCACAAATACTGTGTGTGGTAAGGAAGGAATCTAGAATCGAGTCGGTCTGGCTGTCTGGGCGTGGCCCAAACTTTGAGGCTGAGAAGCCGTGGAGAAATCCAAAAGCAAAAAGCAGAGTCAGAGCTTCCTAGTGGCACACGTCACCGATGCCGCCGCCGCCGTCACTGTCACTACAGTACCTTTTTGGAGCCTACAACGGGCCGTGGTGATTGATTGACTGGTTGACTGACTGACTGACTGACTGACTGATTCGACTGATTGGTGCATGCCATGTGTCACGTCATGGGGCAAAAAGGAAGTTGAGGATGAAGCTGGTGAGATTGGAAAGGGAGAGGATTTGGGCTGATTCTGGGGTCATTTCGCATCGCAGCTGATGATGGGACGGACGGGACGGGCCAGGCTGAAGCTGTCCGTCTGCCTGTCTGTCGACTCATTCACTCATTCCCTCGTTCACTGCTGGGCTGGTGGTGGTGCTCCAGTACACATACGGTACGGAGTAAATGTGGGCTACCTGACAGTTCAACGCACACCCACAACACACATGCACACACATGCACAGGCAGAACCTTGGGATTCCTTCAGAGGTGTCTTACTGTGTAGCTAGGTAGGGCAAGGCACACGAAGCCGGAACCAGATAATTCAGGCACGAAGACAGAAGAGAGGAAAGAAAGGCAGGCAGAGTAGAGTGGCTGACGCCTCGGGCTCAGGGGGGTCGCACCGTTTCCCCCAAGCTGTGCTATGTACTGTGGTGCATGTGTTGCGTGTTGAGCCGCGACTGAAGCTGTGCGTGCTCTGCTCTGCCATACTGTAGGTTCGTTCCATTCCCCTGGAGAAACCTTGAGATGCGGGCATTGTGGGTGCGAGGAGCCCTCGGGAGGGAGGGATGGAAATCAAAAGTGGGTAATAGGGCCTGCCAGCAGCGTCAAGACTCGACCTGCTGAGTCGTTGCCCAAAATTCTAATGGCAAGCGGGATTGCAAAAATGGATTGCGACGACAAACAACATGCTCATGGGGTGGGGAAACAAAGGAAGCTCTCGGAACACTTGACGTCTGCCCGCCTCAGCCCCAATTAAGCCTCATCGCTCGAATAACACTTGCGTATTATGCATTTCCCGCCTCCCCTTCCTTTCCTCGGGTATATTATCACCACCGTTGGTAAGCCGCTCCTATTTTAGTACTTCATGCACACCGACGACGAACAACCCTCTTTGAAACTGGCCTAGGCGAGGGAAACAGAACAAATTGTCTTGGACTCCCCTTCACACGGACCATGTATATATCATATATATATAGCAGAGTGCCGCTGCTTACCAGCAGACCTGAACCCAATCAAAACTCGGACGGGACTGTCAAACGAAACGATCGCCAGGACGTCTCGGACCCTGCTCCCCCCCGGTGCAACGCTGAGAACCAGTTCCTAGAAATGTCTGACTGTACCTGTACCCGATCACGGGGAAGCCCGTTACGCGAGCCACTTGGGGCGGGGGAGACCCCCGTCACCACATTAAGCCGCATGAAGAGCCAACCACTCAGACCACCTCAAGCCTGCCAGCTACCAACGACATGACTTGGAAGAGCCCGCGCAGCGTTGCAGTGGTGCTGTTCAGCTCATGTGCTACCGGCCCATCCTCGCGAGGGTCGCCTCCTTCGTCACCTGCACGACCTGAACTGACCTCCAGACCTAAAATGAGAGCCCATCCAGTGCCGTCCAATGCCGCAGAGGCAGATGCAGATGCAGATGTGAGGTCTGCGTACACACAACACAACAGTAAGTCCACCACCAGATCAGGTGCGTAGTAGATGCAACGATGAAGACTCGAAGCTTGAAGAGGCCTCTCCATTCGGTTGTTCGTGAGCCCACGAAGTACAATCTTCAGCCAGGAGGAGCTCATGTCCTACGTGACGTGTGCATTTTGGCAGCCATATCAGCTATACTGTACATGCAGGCAGGCCGTGTCCGGAATCGACAGCCAGCATACAGCAATCAGCAATAAGCAAGCAGCAACCAGTTGTTCGGCGACAACTCACGGCTCGTGGATGCCCAACGCCTGCTTTGTTGGTACCTAGACTCCAAGTGTGGCCCTTATGGCTCCAGTCCTGCCTTGCAACTTCGTTTCGTGTCGATCGGTGAGATTTGGTCGGATTCTTCGGGACGTCAAACCCATAGGTTGTCGTCTGTCGAATCGGTGAACTCATCAGTCGTGGCCGTGGGAACGGCGCCAGATTGCCCAATCTTGCGCTGGCGATTCGCAGCGGATCGATCCTTCGGCGGCCTCCAAGCAAAACTTAATCCCCTCTCTCTTGAGACAGAGCAACCTTGGAAGAGGCCCACGGGATATCCCATACCATACCATACCATACCATACCATAGCGTCCCATCCACCCAAATAATATCTCATCTCATACGCTTTGCCAGGATGGACACCGAGCAGGGACCGAACATCCCATCTCGCCGTTCCCGCTAGCGCCGATGGAGGAGGAGGGCTGGCTTCCTCTTACGTTTAACTTGGGCAATACATGGCCCCAAGGCTCAATTTCACTTCGGCGCCGGTAACGGTTGCTTACTGTGAATTGTGAATAGCCGACGCGTGGGTACAGTAACGTAACGGTGCCCAGACCGTCTGGACCGTTTGCCTGGTCAGAGCCTCCAGACCCCATCTCCAAGTGGGGAAAGACACGCCTGCCATTGGGCACAGGGCGGCCCTAGCCCCCACCTCTTGCGCGACCTTCTCCCCACGCTTTCCCCAGTCCAGTCCAGTCGCACGGCGTCTCCTCCTCACTCGACTTCCACTCACAATGGCAGCCACTCCAGCGGGAGATGACCATCATGCCCGACAATCATGGTTCTAATTTGCCCAGATTTGCTAATGAGAAAATTAAGGGAGGAAGGACCTTGGAAGTCACGGCATTTGATTCCACCGTTCCATTCCACTCTCGTCCGCCCCCCCCTCTCTTTCGTCTCGGCGACTATAACACCACGAATTATCTATCATGCCTGCGGAACTGAGACCATTGAGGGAATAACTGAGATGACCCTCCCACTCACCGGCCTGCTTGGGCCCCCAGGCAGATCAGGCTGGTCCTGGGGCGGCCTATCTGCATCCAGCTTCTCGACGTCCTTCCCGAGCACGCTTGTCGCTTTTCGTCGCGTGCGTCCGCTCATCGCATGACTCCATGTGGGACTGATGGAGACGTCGCGTGGCCTATCTCGAGTGCGGAGAAGGCCTGGCTTGTTGAGGCTAAAGCTTGAACGACCAACGACCGACACTTTGGTGCCACGGCTCTGATGGTACATGTACATTGTCTGTACTGTAAACAGAAACAGGACCCGAGGATGGTGGCAGCATCTCACACACAGCACCACATCTGCCAACGAAACACACGCAAGCTCGATGGCGGCATGCCTTCCCACCTGATAGTTAAAGAGTTAAGGGGTTGCCGGAGATGAAAACGCTGTTAAATAAGATGGTGGCTGAGCTCGACCATATCGTTGCTAATGTCTCGAACACGTACATGTGTCTTGACGGGAGTAGCGCCGCCAACGTGGTACACATTCGCTCAGCCTCAAAAATGGCCCGGCCCAATAGATTTTGGCCACTCGCAAATCACCCAAGATTTCGGCGAACATGCCCGGGTGCAGCGGTAATGCTACAGACACACTGAATTTCGAACACGAGCATCAGCGCTATGATGAACCCGCAAGCTTTCTCGCTACTGGGCCCATTTGCCGATGGGCCGACAAGATTTTCACTCTGCTCTATGCTTCTTCGCGCCCGGCGACGACAGGGCCACTGTACCGTGTAGACCACCGTGCCCATCTCAGGTCTCGGTGATTCTCGACTTATCGAATATTCAAGGCCGATCACAAGCTGACGTCAATCGGCACGGGTCGTGGAGGATCATTCTGGCTTTCCCGCCTTGACGATCAGCACCCGGTGTGCTGATGCTGCTGCAGAAGGAGAACACGCACTAGCATGCACGCACCCGCCTATGAAAATTGAGGCTCTGAGCATGGCGGCTGGTTAGCTCGCTGCTAGCACTGCCAAACAAGACAATCTCATTTTGTGAGCTGCCGATTTTGGCACCACCTCGGCTCAGGCTGTGCAACCGACCATGGCTTGCTACATTATCTTCGACTTTCGTACTGACCAGACCTCTGGGTGGGGTCAGAGATCAACAGTCTAGTACTCCCAATACTAAGCGGCTTTGATACCAGCTACCAGGGACAGTGACGGAGGGGACGCATTTTGCCCCCTCAGACCATTACCGAATGGCTTGTCATTCGCTCAAGGCAGTCGCTGTCAACCCGTCGCCCGTGGGATGAACGAGAACTGCACCACGTGAGCGTCTGACTTGCATTTGTCGCCGATGCAACCAGGTAAGAAAGCTCAGCTAGCTGCGTGGGGATCACAGCGGTGTGCAATGCAGTTATATGGCACCTGGGCAAATCTAGGCACCCAATGCCGCTGCAGTTAATCCTACCCGTCGAGGATGTTCACAGGTTGGGGAGAAACCGGACCTAGGGCGGCCTCGTCATCTGCAGTCATGCAGGTGGTACCAGGCAAGGCCTTCAGCCGCCCAGTGGCGGGGTGATGGCCCCAAGGACCGTCGACGGCCTTTGTGCTTTTCATCGAGCATCCGCAGGAACTGTTTTGGTCGACTGCTGTGCACCTTTGGGGTCTCCGCCGCTGCTTCCTCTCCGAGATGCGGCCTGCCTCACATCCATGTCCAAGCTGGATATGATGCCATGGATTGCTGCTTATCTCAGGCTTTCAAGTGACTTGTCACCCACAGATGCCACCAACCTCGCGTCTTAGAGCTTTACCTGGGCCCGACGATGTATGTGTGGGACACGAGTGAAGTGAGTTGTCAGAAATATTACAAAGCCCCCAACATGAAATAGGGGAGTATCATGATACTCATATCCTGACACGCCAAAGGGGTTAGTTGGCCACGATCTCTTCAAGTGAAGATCTTCCAGTGGTCGGGTCAAGGACTGTATATGCTCTATGAATTTCGCGACTGTTCTCCTTCTATTCCGACAAGTCAACAGCGCTAGGAAGCTCGTGGTGCTCGCTTATTGCTTCCGTTGTAGCCACCGTCGGCCGTCTGAAGTGCGCCGTCCGGTGCTGGGCCTGGAATAGTCAGCAATACCTCCTCGAAGATGTCCACGTATATTCAGTCCTACGCAGGTCGTGTATCTACGCCGCTTCAATGTGCTTGATTCAGCATCCGATGCTGTCTGCCCCCATATCTGAAGCCCCACGCGGATGAGTTGGCCGACTTTCGACCTAGTGTTCTATGAAGGGTCCAGTGAGACACAGCCGAGGATGGAAAGGGTGCAGAGACTTGTGAACTTATTTGCACGACATCTGAGAGCAATAACTGGTGTCCTCAGGCGGAAAGTTCTATGTCAGGGCTAAGACGAGGCGATCGAGTCAACGCGGGGTTCCTAAGGCGAAGCTCCATGGTTGATGTGTCTGTTCTCACTCAGAGGGCATGTACCATGTGTTTCTCTCTAGCCTCGCGGCTCGTTAAAACTCCTTCGCTACTCCCTTCGCGCCGTGGCTCAGTGCTTGGCTGCCATACAGAAATCCACCAGTATCGAGCAGTCGCTCGTGAACCTTAGCTCTTAATTGCGTCGTCGTGCTGGGATTCTCGAGGCATGTGACAATTCAAGCCTGTCATACCTGGGAATAGACCACGAGACGAGCATTCAATACTTCTGGGAACCTGCGTCATCTTGTGTGCCTCCCACATGGGCCATGAGTGCCTTGAGCTCCTTGAACAGGGCCTGGAGGTAGTAACTCACAAGCACTCCCCGCTGACAGTGCCTTTCCTAGGCAAAGATGAAATGTGAGCCCGAGTAAATCCGGCGGCCGCGTCTAAAGGCGGTGGCACCATGCCGCGAAATGCGCAGTGCGGAGGCCATCGTTGTCGGCTCTTCAGGTATTGGCTTGGAATTTTGGAGGCTTGTCCTCGATTCCGCTGCAGTGACGGCATGTTGGCTTCGGCATGAGCTTCACGTAACTTGAGTATGCGATGAGGCTAATGATCCATAGTTTCAATTCACAGTGGTGACCAGTACGATGGACTCACAATAGCCAATTCAGTCCGACTGGACTGTCACTTTTTGGGCCATGCGCGATGTACCAGCACCCCCTTGGCCTCCTGGCAAGACTGCAGAGCACGTTTCTTGCCTACTTTCGTCTGAGATTCGATAGGTGACGAGCTAAGGAGAGATATGGCAGAGCTTCCACATAAGTGAGTTTCATAACATGCGCACTGCAGCGAGGTACGAGATTCTCTATCGCCATGATCACTAGCGGAGGACCGCATCCATCATTGACTGGGGATGGTCAAGGCCGCTATCCATGGGTTTCCCTGGAATTCAATCGATGATGAGCCCGGGCTCAGCGATCAGTTCATGTCACGAGTATACGATGATGAAACTTTCTTTCTCCTGCGAATACTGATCATGAGGTGGAGTTGAACATGTTTCGACAGCTCAATATCGATCGAAATGTACGTCGACAGGTAAAAGCATAATCCTGGACACGCTGAGTGCATGGCACCAAAGCTGAAATATTTTATCGCTAGAATTTATAGCGGATTAATCTATAGTCGAATGTATGCTGGGGGGAGACCCTGCGGGCTATGTCCTTTCCGGCGAACCAATCCAGACATTCACCATGCTTTCGACTAGTCAGACCCTTAAACATCCTGAGCGACCTAGGCAACGAACGCGCGACGAGAGCGCCGAGACTTGGACGCCACCAGACTCGATGCCGCAGGGCATACAAACTCAGCGTTTGCAACCTGCTCAGGGAAGTGTCCGCTCGTGGGCGGGATGATCGTGCAGTCAGGCGCGCGACAGCCCTCATCGAAGCCGCAATCCGTCGCCTCCAGCGCCTGCTTCGCGAGACCGGCGTCAATGTTGATCGCGTTTGCCGGGTCCTTGAGATCATTAGGCCAGCCGGCGCCGAGCCCGAGGGTGAAGTTGCGAGCCGCGTCGCAGCGCAGGCTCTGGGCATCCGTCATGTGCTCCACGCGGGTGGCGTTGGTCTGCGTGTTGATGACGAGCCGCTCGCGGGCGTCGGCGCCGGGGCCGGACCAGGCGTTCCACTCCGGGGCGCCGCTGCTGCGGTCGGTGTTGGGGTCCAGGTTGCGGACGAAGCTGGTCCAGTAGTCGCGCGCCTGCTTGAGCGCCGCGTTCCTGCTCCCGTCGACGTAGCTCGTGGGCGCGGACATGTCTGTGCTGTTGACGCCGTAGAAGGCGTAGTTGTTCACGACGTGCCAGGCTCCCAGGCCCTTGGCCTCGTTCTCGGCATCACGGACGGCGTATTTGTAGTTGTACGTCGGGGTTCCCTTGGCTGCCAAGGCGTTCTGCATGAACTTGATTCTGGGAATTGTTAGAATGATGCTCCGAAGCCCGGACGATCAGGTTGTGAAAATCCCCAAGAAGGACAAGGGGGCCACGTCAAACAAAGTTATACGTACGGACAGTGAGTACCGAGGTCAGCGATAGCATTGGCTCCCTGGCGGTACAGGCTTCCCGAGTCTGGGAACTTGGGAGCCGGCTGGTACGCATAGAGGTCGTTGAGGATTGCAAGTGAAGAATTGGTCAAAGTGGGGACCTGTCCAGTGAAGTAGCTGTCGAACGCCTCAGTCGTGTTGGCGGAGCTGTCGAAGCTGTATAGTGTGCCTTCGTTGGCGCATGCTCCCATGATGGTCGGGACGTCTGCAACATCGCCAGCCTCATACATCTCCACGAGGCGGTCGCTGAAGAGGTCGTTGTCAAGGTTGGGGCCGAACCAGCAACTGCTGCTGTAGAGGTCCTCCAGGGCTGTTTCGCGGAGGCATGCCAGGCTATTGTCAGTGCCATTGCAGCCAGTCTGCGCCGTCAAGCAGTCATATTCCTTCTGTCCCTGTTCGACCTTTCGCATGGTGGCCCAGCCGCCTGACTCGACGATTCCACCGTGGAAGAGGGTGCCACCCAACGCTCCCTTGTTGGCAGCCAGCAGCAAAGCGACGGCACTTCCTCCGGCGCTGACGCCATCGATGGTTACGCGGCTTGGGTCACCACCGAACTTTGAGATGTGTTCTTGGATCCATTCCAAGCATTTGATCATGTCCTTGATTCCGGCGTTGGGGCTACCATCCGCGACAGCCTCCTCGCTGAAGAGGAAGCCGGTCATGCCAACACGATAATTCTGCGATTGAAAGTTAGGGCAAAGTGCAACGACACCTAGATGGTATGCCTAGACGAGTAGGCTTCGGATGCAGCTTACAAATTGCACGGAGACGATCTCAGCATCTGTGACCACATCGCTGGCGTTGTAATTCGAGTTGGAGTTGGAGCTGAAGCCACCGCCCTGGATGAACACATGGACCGGCTTGAGGTCAGTGGTGCTGGTTGGGGCCGTGACACTGAGGAACAGGCAGTCCTCGTCCACAACGAACCGATCAGACTGCCCACTGAGTGTGTAATCGGTCGATTGCTGGGGCGGGCAGATGGCACCGAATTTGGTGGCATCCTGGACGCCGTCAAAAGGCTCGGGGTCCTGAGGATCCCGGAAACGGTTCTGGCCTGTTGGGGGAGCGGCAAAGCGAACGCCGTACCATTTACGAGTACCGGCGTCTTCGAATCCCCGATACTTGCCATATCCGACATCGACAGTCAGAGGATCAGTCGCATTAGGCAAAGAGCCATTTGATGACTGAGCCTCGGCCACCGCTAGCAGGGCAGCCAAGGTGATGAGCGACCGCATAGCGACAAGTGGAGTTTATATGTACGATAGAAGTATAAAGAGTGGAAAGGCAACGCAGTTGCCGCGAACGTAAAAAGAGTGGAGGCAGACAAGTCTGTGAAGGAAAGAATGGGGCCCGTAGAAAGCAGATGCGAAAGCGAAAGAAAAGTCAAAAAGCTGCCGCTTGCTTGATATAAAATATTTATACACAGACTCTGTCACCGTCGTCGCATGCGCTCCCTACCACGGGCGGACCGGACCTTGAGCCTCCTCGCCAAGCCCTCCGAAATGAGCAAGGCCAAAACTAATTGACTGCCATTGCACAGAGAGTCATGCAACCCTGATTACATACTCGTCATTGCCTCCTTGCAAATGGTTCAGACCGCCAAACGATGGGAAAATAACATCTGATCTTGGGGGCTCTAGTTTATTTTACTGACAGGTCAAGTCTGTGTTGTTGCATGCAACATTGGGCGGCAGATCGTTATGATCATTGTGATATGAGACCTATAGCCAGATGGGTCGAAATCGATCGACAAGAGGGCCCTACCTAGTACCTTTAGGGGCTTTGTTTCAAAACTAAACCTTATAACGGAGCAAAAGATGTTCGGACGGACTGACTCCAAAGTCCGTGCAAAATAAACAAAGCTCCACATTGTTTCTTCGGTTAAGCAGGAGGACGTTTCAATCGTAAACCTTAATACGGCCAGCCGCATTTCTACCAGTTGGCTCATTAAGCCATAAAAAAGGCCGAGATCCATTTAGCTTCATCGCCTCGAAAAGCTTTGTAGGCGAGTCTCGAACAATCTTCTCCTGGGCTGGGGGCGGTTCCGACGAACCGATTGTAGTATAGAGGAAGTAAGACTATATATAGGCGCAATGCTGAAAAGGGGTGAAGTTTATCAACTTAGCCTCAGACACCTAGTTGCCCTAATCATGCTTAAAGGAGAATCAGAATTGCTCGTACGCGTGCCCTCTCAAATTTTTGCATTGCTAGCAAAGCTAGTAGGAAGTGTCGCCATTCCTGACTGCACAACTTTGAAACATAAGCAGGAGTGGCGGCAGAGAGCAAGTAAGTATTGCTGCAGTTGGCTTGGGATCTCTCACTTTCCTTTGGTACAGATGGAAACCTTCCGTCGCCAATATCTTCACTGAGCCCTACTCCGTGAGACTAACTCTAGGTAGACTCACAGTGATGGGAACTATATTTCCACGGAAACGATGTCTGAAAGCTTCCGGGGTAGCTTAGCATATTTCTCCCGATTTTTTTGTTCAGCCTGATGATAATGCCTCCAAATTCGGCCGGGTGGGCATGTCTTGATACTGCTTTGTTCGGGCGGGTTTGGCGGAAGAAATCTCAACAATTATGCGAGACGTCGAAACCCCACTCTCAGAGCGATAAAGACACAAACAAAATCTTCAAGCGGACTGAGAGACTGATTGACTAAGTTGCGGCGGATCATCATGGGTGCAACCTAGAGCGTCTCCTGTTATCAAACGGTGATACGCGGCGGCAATTGATTTCCGTTCCTAAAGACAGTCTGTTGTTCGAGCAAAGCGGAGGGCCATTACGCTGGTCGACAGAGAATCATATGTGAGATCGCCTGAGTCAATGACTACGTACACACAAAATTCCTATACTTCAGACTGTTCATAGACTCCTCGGCTGTGTCTCCGGCAACAGGAAAGCCTTCGCAGAATATTCCAACCACGTAATACCAGATGAATATCGCGCGAAGATAGGTGTCATGTTCCAAGCCACGCGTTCCTTATCGGGACTCTAAGCCCTCTTCTGCAGCTCATCTACATCACAGTCGCCATCGGGCAACTCGGTCTATCTCCCTTGCTGTCTCTGACAGAGGCCGCAGTCGCACTCAAATCCCCAAGTTGTCATCAGCGCTTCCTGTCTCGCCTTATAGCTGCTTCTCTCGTCGACGTAGCTGTGGAGAAGCTCCTCTCCAGCAGCGATGGGCCGTTTGGCGCGGATGAGCATCATATCCCCGATGAATTCCTTCTCTGTGTTCGGCATGCAGGAGTGATTAATGCGCGCAGCACGAACCCAGAGCCCTGTACTCATACTTATCCCACCGACCTCAGCTCCAGGTTTGACAGGGTTTCGGGCGGACGAGCCGAGGGCGAAGGCGTTCCGGGACACAATGTCATGGATACGGAACACGTCGACCACCGGGCTCTTGTCGTCTGGATGCACCTTTTGAGGATGGCAATCTTTATTCCCTCGGTAATCCCCATACATTTCCAAAACCCGCTCGATATTCGACGGCGTTCCGCGGAGCTTCTCCACTACCGCCTTGACCAAACCGACGGGTGACACCCTAATCCGGTCATCACGCACATCGTACGTGACTGCTGTCGCGGATGCCTTCCCGTCTCCCCACGCCACGCAGAAAGCTTTCTCGCAGAGCAGCAATTCTCCAGGTCGTACATCACAAGCCGCGAACAACCCGCAGCCTCGGCCGGGACTGTCTCCCACAATAGTCCTATTCACGAAACTTGCAGCGTCAATTTCGCGCGATCGAGAGAAGGCAGCAGCAGCTTTCATCTTCGCCCAGTCGTACGCCCCAGTATCTCGCTCGCGGATGCGCTGGTCGGCCTTGCGAATCACCGCATCACTCGCCTCAGGCGTGAGCTGTAGGCGTTTCGAGAAGAACTCCCTCGCTTCTTCGTACTCGCCGAGATTATACGCTGCGCAACCTGCCCGGTAATAGGCTTTGCTGTCCAGGGCTTGGGATTCCGTATCTGTTGCGGATGCCCCAGTGAGGGAGAACAAGGCATCACTTTTTGCGGCGTCGAGGTTGCTGAGGAGAAGGTTGGTGTGTGCTCGGTTGCGGTGGAGATCACGGATGATTGCCTCTAGCTGGGCATTATTGTGGAAGTCATTGACATGGTGTTGGGTGAGTTGTAGGCCGCGGGTGTAATAGGTATAGGCAAGGGGTGAATCTCGCGCCATGAGTGCGGCGTTTCCTCGCTCTTTGCAGCGCCGTGCTTCTTGCGCTGCTGTTTCTGTATCCTCGAAGCCGTCTTCGACCTTGCGTACAGAAGATAATTCCTCGTCATTGAAACACTCCAAATCTGAAGGATGATCCACCCTCACCGTCGCTTCCCCCTGCTCAGTGACCGTAAAATACGGCTCCCTCACCACCACCACTTTCCCTCCAGAGCACTCAAGCACATCCTTGCCATGCTGATGCGTGTGCAAGCACACCTCCAACCTCTCTACATCTCCATCCCCTTCCACATCCTGGACCAGAGTCCACGACCGCGCCGCGAGCTGCACGACTGCACTCAAGCCCTTACCTCTGACTCCAGTCGCCCTCTTCAGTATGAGCTTGCAACCGCGATGGTGCGTTTCCATACGCAAGTCGGCGAGTTTCATGGGATGTAAATCCGAAGTCGGAATGGTGCAGGCCGGGTAGGGCTGGCCAACTGTAAGGATGGGTAGGGTCTCACCCCGGCCCGGATTTTGAGAGGAGCCAGCCATATCTGCCAGTAGGGAGGCAGCCGTTGCTTCACGTAGGGATGATGGGGCATCGCGAGGCTGACGGAGTGTGCCTTTAAGTTGGGAGGCATTTTGGAGAGTGGATGTGACGGTGGCATGGATGCGGCTGATCTCTTGGGGAGTGAAGTAGACAGTGCTTGTGCTGTTGGGGTGGTTGGTCATTCTGAATTTTTGATGAAGCAGCCAATATTGAGATGTGTTAGATGTGTTTCCCTTTTACGATTATCGGTTTCGCACTGTTTGATACATTTGCATGACGGATATCAATCGGGACGAAAAGCGTCCTGGAGCGATCGCTGGGAGCGGAACTCATGTTCGCCATGCTGCCCGAGGCGAAGTTCACATTTTATCAATTATATCCTGATCTTTGCAATATACAAGGAGGTAATTCCAACGTGCACTCACTTACTACGAAGTCGAGTAATTACTATAGCACTAACAATCAGCACTAGCCTGCCTCTCAATCCTTTGTCAATTCCTATCAGCGTAATCATTGTGATCTACGTAGGCGGCTGGTCAGCAATTTCCATTTCTAGCACGCCGACGGAAGTCAGGCCGGTTGACGTGTTCATCTCAGTTCCATGAAGCTCGGGTAATGTGTCGGTGAGACTATTACGGCTAACTAGTCTGTTTCATTCAGCTTCTTCAAGATTTTCGTGGCCGAACGCCCGAGTTTAGCAATTGGTCGGACTCCTTCAACGGTATGTGCTTTCCGAGCTGCCCACTAGATCTTGTTTCACTTATCGCAGGCAGCCGCATACTAGGCATATTATCATACTAGGTCAATTGGCCATTCAAAGTATTCATTTCACATGACCATTCCGTACTTCAGATCATCAATTATCTGCTCTTTATATGCACATCTTTAATCTTTACTTTAGTGCAGCGACGGCCTTCTTAATCTTGAAACCATCTCAGATCAAAAAAGAGATAACAATCCAATTCATAGATAGTGAGATGCTGAATACATCTAGCATCTCGGCGGAGCTCACCACCAATATCTATGCATACCAAAACTGAGCCCCTATGTCTACTCGTCTTGGGAATATACACCGTCGACCTGGGCATTAGAAATCAAAATCATCTCGCCCTGATTACTGCGCACTCATGATGCAGAATGCACATCTCTCAGGATACCACTGTGTATAGTGCCACCGCTCCCCTATCTCTAACATGGCTGCGCATACACCAGAGATCCCTCGTCAAAGTTTCCGCGACGACCACCGGAACTCGGCCAGTTTAGAGTTGAAAGACCCATCTGAGATTGGAATTGAGACGACCCTGAGACCTTGACCCCTATCTCGAAGTTGGTGCGGGCGCGTCGAGTTGTGCTGCAGATTTCGTGCCTCTCACTAAGCCTGGTAAGGCGCCAAGTAGCAGTTATGGATATGATGGACCGTGACCACCCGAGGCTGTCAATGCCACTGTCGGATTGGACGGAAACGGACAGTCTGCAGGGCAAATAAGAGACATAGGCTAGAAGACCGGTCATACTTGAGAAGAGGGGAAAGTTATGATTCACCTTCAAGTCTTCTTCCCTCAGTCAAGATAGTGATCCAGGATAAGGCTCGAGTGGGCGCTCTCGTAAAATTTGTGGCGACTGGAGAATGTGAATATTTAAGTCCATAATACAGACAGGTTTTAGTGTGAGACAAATTAATCCCTATTTCGATGTCATTCCGATTAGAGTGGATGTGATGATAAGCGCGGCCTGCTTTCGCCGGCGTGCAGAGCGGAGTGTTCTGTTTCCTTCATGAAGAATACGAGACCCTATCTGGCGCAATACTACATTATCGAGGTGACATGCAGTCGGCCAGGGGCACAAGTCTCGGCAATGTCACCTAAGTAGAATCGGGCCATGCATTCCGATCAAGACATCCACGGAATCACGCGAATCCCATACCCATGTATTTCAGCAACTGCTCCTGTGGGAAACAGCGGTCGTATATGCACAATTGTAGTTGACACTGGTTGATCGACGTTCAACAGAGATCACCTGTGCATGTAAACTTGGACAGTTTGGGACACGAGAAATCACAAATGTCGCTCCTTTGCGCTGTTGCATACCGAAAGTCCGGCTTTCTAGGTTTATGACAGAGATAGTCTCATTGCTTATTTCTTTCCATCGTCCAGTCCCCGCTCGAGTGCAGCGGGTCAGTGTTCCCAAGAAGGAAGCTCGTTTGGACTGCGATGGCGATATCGCCAGGAGGCTTCTTGGCTTCACCCGTATCCGCAATGCAACGCTGTATTGGAGAGTCGCAACCTGGGATCTTGCAGAGAGATCCACCGCCATGGCCGAATATAGAAAGATAGATGGATTGCTTAAAATGACGACCATCCGGCACGTTTACTTGTGAACAGTGTGATTTCCTCACGCGACGCAGTATCTTGGCAGATTTGCTTGTTCCAAGATGCACCTGCTCAGCATCGCCGGTCTCCTCTATGTGCTTCCCTCCTTGGGAAGCGCACAGCCTTTTGCTGCTCGCCAGGCCCCTGAAGAGACCAACGTGACGACCACCGTTCCCCGGAGCTACATCATCGAATATGCTTCGGTGAGTGCATCTACCTCAAGCTCCCCTGCCCGACAAACTCCTGAATGCTCACGCCTCTTCTCAGGGTTCGACTAAGGCTCGGCGCGATGTCGCATTAGCTGCCGACATCAAGGTCGTCAAGGACTTTGAGACCGATGTATTCTCGGGTGCAAGCATCGAGACCGACAACCATAACGTTGATAGCCTGCTGAACCTTGCCGGTGTTGTTCGTGCTTGGCCTAACAAGCGCGTAACTCTCTCGCCTGTCGAGGGTCTCACGTCCATCGGAGACGCCGCCGCTGGCAACTATACGACACATAATGCTACGGGCGTCAGCAAACTTCACGACAGGGGCATCTTTGGTCAAGGAGTCAAGGTCGGCGTTGTTGATTCTGGGACGTGGTATAAACACCCCGCGGTATGAGTTCCCACTCGAATGCAAAAGAATAATTTCGTGGTCCTAATTACTCATAGCTGGGCGGAGGATTCGGCCCTGGGTCTAAGGTGGCCGGCGGTTACGACTTGGTCGGTAACGGGTGTAAGTTAAGACAGCTCATGGCGATGTCAAGAGTGTGATTGACGTTATATAGTATTTCCGAGTGAGCCCAAGGTTCCTGATGACGACCCAGAAGATCAACTTGGACACGGTACAAATCCCCCAAAATCCAAGGACAAATAAGAAAACACTGACAATTTTGCAGGCACCCACGTTGCTGGAATTATTGCTGGGAAGAATGACTTGTGGGCCTGAATTTTACAATGATCCTTCTTGATCGATCATGCCACTGACTTTTGATACTTCACAGCTGGACTGGAGTGGCGCCTGAAGCGGAGCTTTATTCATATAAGGTCTTCGCCCAAATCGTGAGTTCTACGGCCAAATATCGTAGCGACATATGAGGTCGCTAATATCCGGCAGGATGGTACAGATGAGGCAACCCTGATTGAAGCGTTCCTGAGGGCCTATACTGATGGTGTAGGTGATAAGTAATTACCGAATGGTTCCCAAGTATGTGACTGATCCGTCAACTAGGTTGATATCATCACTGCCAGCATTGGTAGTCCAGGAGGTTGGTCGACAGGCGCGTGGGCCGAGGTTGCTTCTCGCCTTGTCGACGAGGGAGTGGTCGTCACGATTGCAAATGGCAATTCGGGCGCTGCTGGTGCTTTCTTTGGGAGCACAGGATCCTCAGGCACAAACGTCCTTGCCGTCGCTTCAGTCGAGACTGAGACATATCCTGCGTCGCCCTTTGAGCTTACCTCTACTCTTGATGGCGAGAGCGAAACAGTCAAGGTGCGTTCCCCCAAACATTTATCGAGTAGCGGCGTTCTGAGACTTTGTAGGCTGGATATCTACCATCGACTTACTACTTCTCATCCAACGTGACTGACTGGCCTGTGGTGCCCCTGAACTTCAACACTACGGACCCTGCCGACGGTTGTCAGCCCTATCCCAATGGCACGCGAAGACTAGAAGGAGTGATTCCCTTGGTCCGGAGAGGTACTTGCACATTTGCCACCAAGCAACAGAACCTGGTTGCTCTTGGCGCTGAGTACATCCTCTTTTACAACAACGAAAGTCCTCTGATTACACCCGGGACAACTGAAGATGTTGGACTGATTGGACTCATCACCGCCGATGCCGGTGCGGCTATCATTGACATTGTCAAAGCTGGAGGAAATGTCACTGCAGACTTCTCCATCAACCCCGAGCAAGTCGTTGGTCTGGAGTACCCTGCTGGTGGCCGTCCCAATACATTCACCTCTTGGGGAGCCTCAAATGATCTACAGATCAAGCCCGACATCGCCGCTCCCGGTGGCCAGGTAGGGATAAGCTGTACCCATCACGTTATCCTTTTGCTAATTTAGATACAGATATTCAGCACTTACCTTGACAATACATACGCTCTGCTTTCTGGTACATCAATGGCGACCCCTTACGTTGCCGGTGTTGCGGCTTTGTATATCAGCGTTCATGGAGGCCGATCTGTACATGGTAGGTCTACTACAACTAAACTTCGTTCCATTAGACATAGTTCTTTATCCAGGTACTCATGTTTCTGCAGGAAAGGGATTTGCCAGGACTTTGCATCAACGCATTATCGCTAGCGGGACCTCCCTGCCCTGGTCGGACGGGACTGCAACCGACTACGGGTTCGCCGCTCCAGTTGCCCAAGTCGGTAATGGGTTGATCAATGCCTTCAAAATTGTCAACTATACAACGGATATCTCCTTCGAGAAAATTGCTCTCAACGATACTCACTACTTTAGCGGCGATCACGACGTCACCGTCACTAACAACGGAGGCAAGGACGTAAGCTATACATTCTCGTACGAGGCAGCCGCCGGGGTTGAGGTTCTAGGCTGGTACTCCTTCGTGGCGCCATACGCCGGTGAGAAGAGGCTCAAGAGCTTCTCAGAGCTCAGACCCACGAGCTTACCGATTGAGGTGTCTGTGCCGACCGAGCTCACGCTTGGTCCAGGAGAGAGCAAGACTGTGACGTGAGCATCAAACACATAGAACTCGATGTTGAGCGGGTGACTGACTTTTACAGCGTGAGCTTCCCCAATCCTGATGGCCTGGGCTGGAACTCGTCTGCCCTTCCCGTCTACAGCGGGAAAGTCATCGTTTCTGGCGATAATGGAGAGCAAGTTTCGGTTCCCTATCTGGGTGAGTATTCATTGACTGGCATGTGAGTTCTCTGTCTGTACATGCGGTCTAATCATAAGGAACAGGTCTTGCCGCGGATTTGAATGCTGAGATCGACCCCATTTACCGGCCTACGTACCCTTTCACAACACAAAGAGACTAGTAAGTCAAGTATGCAGAGATTCCCAGACTCCAATTTCTAACGAAGTACAGTGTCTACTCATTCAACCTGAACAAATCGAGTCCAGACTTCCCAATCATCTACTCCAAGCTCATCTGGGGCAGCAAGGAGGTCCGGTGGGACGTATGTTGCCCTCAGGATGCCACGTGTAGCAAAGTGCCACCAAACTGACGAATCCCCCAGATCTACGAGCCAGGCTGGACCGAGGAGCAATGGGAATACCCTCCAGTGCCGGGCGAGAACGGCTACGTTGGACCGGCCACCAGCCACGTCCTAGCTGGCAGCGTGAGCAACTTCGACCCCGACCTCTATGATCCCGATGACACCTTCACCTACCCCGAGGTGGATCTTTTCCGCAACGCTCAGACACAGAACTCGTACCATGAGTTCTGGTGGTTCGGCAAGCTGGGCAACGGAAGCCAGATCGAGCTTGGAAACTACACGTGAGTCAGCCTTTCCTACTTGCTGGAGGAGGCCCCATTCATTTGGTATTCTGACAAGCTCTTCTATTACAGTATGCGCTTCGCCACGCTTCGACCCTTTGGGGACCCCAGCGTTTCCGACGGGTGGAACATCTTCCAAACCCCCCAGATACAGGTTACTGGCAAGTACCCAAGACGAGCATGAGCGATTTGATGGCTCGAGCCGTGTTCTATTCTGCATGTGATCACTTGCCCTTGTGCAAGATAGAGACTTTTTATGAGGTTGGCTGTGGTATCATATTCAACCTTCTTGTACCCTTGAATATCTTCATAGAAATATCATCTCATTCTTCAAAAATATTGAAGGCTTCCATTACGCAAGAGCCACCAGCGGAGCAATTCCGTACCCTCATAGCTTGTGATGTCGAAAGCATGGCAGGACCCTAGTTGCCTCGAGAACAGACTTGCAGCCATATCTGCAGTCGAACGCAAAGGACGAGCAGCCTATCTAGCGACTCCAATGCTTGCTTCAATTTCTAGGTTCCAGATAGGTAAGTGCATTTACATACTTCGTCCAAAGAAATGTTTCGTTACAGAATAGCTGAGGCGACTTCCCAGCGCGAAGACCGAGTAGAAGGAGGCACAGAAGCATTTATCGAACATTTACTGCCCTAAAGACGTTGCAAATGTATATTTGGATTTATCGGCTTTCCCCACAGACGCAGAAATCTAGTTTGTAGGAGAGGGTGGTTTTCAGAACATAAGTATATTAAGTAAGATTAAAATTAAAGGTACAAATTTAATAGAGTCTGTTCATGCAAGAAGAGACCACAGGGATGCTCACATTCTGCAAAAGCGAATTTGCAGACGACCGACATTTTCACGTAAGTGATGCGAGCTGGCGACCTCACTTTTGTCTCAAAACATGCAAGAACGCTGCCCCAATAACATCGCGCACGACCTCAATCTTGACCAAGTTCCGGTAAGCTGTCTCGAGCTCGCTTCGAGCTCCCCGACGTCTCAGGCATTTCTTCTATGTTCAAATGAGCATAATTATTCACGAGATTCGTGAGCACGTAAGAATCGACATCCTCGTCCTTTCCGACGATGCTGACTGGCCAGTGGCTTCGCACGGTCTGCATCATGGCCTGTCTCCCAGCCGTCTTGCCGTCATCAATATTCATCGTCTCATGCAGCAGAGTAACTTCTTGAGGGCGCATTCGCCCCCGGACGACCCGATACACCGCCTCCGCCAGATAATAGTTGTGGCGCTGACTGTACAACCCCTTGGCAATTAGAATAAGAGTGGATCGTAAGTCTTTGAGCTTGGGCTCAGGCGTTTGGTCGTTAATGGCGTCGATACACTTGAATCCGGCAAGCACGAGCGGTACGACGAGAAACGAATCCATAGCATCATATCCGTGGCGCAAATAGTATAGTCGGACGAGGGTAAGGAGACATTTACTGGCATCGCTGACGATCTGCCGCAGAGAGTCTTCTTGATTCTGATCTGTTTTTAAGTCGAGTAATGGTTCATAAATGGCAAGGATAAGATTGTGGTAGTACATGCTGTCATCATGGATTCTTTTTAGCAAAAGTAAGACGATGAATCATGTGGACATTAAGGCTTCGTGCTCTACCATGATCTTTGGATGAGAGAATGCTCACTGCAGTTGCAAGTGCCCAGGAAGTACAATCGCCTTTGGCAGAAGCGGCCCTGGTAAGCCGTCATGCCAGCTTCTCAACCGCGAGCAAAGTTCGCCGGCCTTGTCTAGCGTCATTTTTGGGCCTTTTGTGTACGCAATATGGCAGGCCTCATTCATGATAACCCGAAACTCAGATCTCGCTTTGAATATTTGACCAAAGTATGACGGCGACAGGTTCTGGTTTGCTGGGTAATTGACCCAAATTTCACCATACCATTCTGCGTCTTCCGATGGATCTGGTAGTGGCTGGTCGGGAGGTTTCCTGAGCAGAGGAGGATACATAAAGGAGAAGCCGCAAAGCCTAGAATGTTCAGCTGCTGATCAAGCTCTGAGGTTGAAGTGCTTACGTTTCCCAATTGTACAACGCCCATGCAGCGTAGGCCCTGCCGTTCCGTGTTCTGTCGCTTTGTCCGTCTCCATCTATGGTGCCGTCGAAGAGCTGAAGTTTGTGAGCCAGGGCAAGGGCTTGAACTCGATACGCCTGGCCAATCTCGTCCAGGCCACAGAGGTTGTGTATAACATTGAAGACTATGCCAGCTTGTATTGTTGTAATGCGTGCCTTGGTAGCTTCCAGCTCCCAGATGCGCTTGGCCTCGGCAAGGAAGCGATACATCAGCGTGTTCGGATTCCAATACTCGGCGCGGTTCTCGAACCGTGAGTAGCAGCACTAGTACCGAGTCAGACAGGCCTCTTCAGGAATTGTGAAAATACTGTACACAAGAATATGCCAGTGTGACGTTGACGAGCAGTGATGAACAGAAGTCCTCTCGTCGTGCAGCCATGTCTTCTAAGAAGTAGTCTTTCTGGAATACCGCAGCGTGGTGAAATTCGCAACGGAAGAACACCCCGAGAAGATCTCGCATGAGCATATCATCATCGCAAATAGTGGTCCACAATGATGGTCTCGCGTCAGAGAGTCGAGGTTCAATAACTTGTGCTGCATGAAATGGCTTCAGGTAGAGACTTCTATACTCAGGGGATTTCAAATTGGTTATTCCGCCAGTTTTGGTGTGCCCTGAAGGCTTCGGGCACTGAGATGAGGAGTATAGTGATGCGGCCTCGTATATCAACGAGTCTAGGTACGGATTGTCTATGACAATGTCTCCGGGCATTTCCAATTGATAGGGGAATTCGTATCGAAATCGAGTCTCAGGAGAAACAGACAGCTGAAGCAGGAGGTCCCCAGCCTTGACTTGGTTGAGAATTGCTGAGATGCTAGAGCCGGATCTGAGCTTTTGTAGGACAAACTGAGCCTCTTGGTCCGGCAGGTTTTTCAGAAGCTCAATTAGCTCCTCATGATCCTTTGATCGATCCTGCAGATAATAGTAACTCCGTCTGAGGGCTTGTGACGACATCTCTCCTGGTTGGGTAACGTATTGGCACGTAATGTGCCGCAGGGCACAGCGACGACATGCCGGCCTGTCGCCAGAGCACTGGCAGGATATTTAGTCTCGATAGATAGGCTCTAGACTCTTCTGAAGAACACCTCAAGTACCTTTGCCTTTTTCATACGACATTGTTGGCAAGCTACTGCCGTCGCGGTGGCCTGACTTGGTCGAAGGCCTTTCAATTTGGGCACTGGCTGGCGGATGGTCGGTGCCGGCAGGAGAGGGCGCATGCGCCTTGCTTGACTACCTCCAGACTGCTCAGACATTGTTTCTCATCCATAGACTAAGTACTCCTTCTCGATCTCCAATATTGGCACACAGAATGAGGTAGACTTGAGGGGTTAAAGATCGGCTTACACACCAGTAATCACACAGCTCACAGCTCACAGCTCCTGGCTTATGTAACAGAGACGTCACATTCCCGTAATCGAATACCGCATTCGCTTGGATGCAACTAATTGAGCAGCCATCTCTGATTGGCTCAGATCCACAACGTTCTTGGACCGAGGCGGGCAACGGTCCCGAGGTTCGGACTTACGCCCGAAAAGCTGTCGTCCAGTGCGGGACGGTGCTGTACAGTCACGATCAGTCTCATCAAGGCTCTAAAATAGCTATAGCTGCTATTTTCCTTGTCTGAAAGCTCGCCGATACCCCTGGCTAAAAGCGCGCTCCTGTAGAGAGATGGCACAGAAGACCATGAAAGCCGTCGTCTTCGACGGGCCGCACAAGGTGTCGGTACAGGACCGGCCGGTCCCCAAACGTAAGTCCAACCTGAACGGCTCTGGACGGGCGGCCCCCGGAGCGTTCTTGAGGTAGAATACATGCTCGCTGTAAGACTTTCGCAATTTCTTTCCACTCTGCTAACGAAGCATTGTCCAGTGCAACATGGCGGGGACATCATTGTCAAAGTCCAAGCAGCTGCTCTGTGTGGCTCGTATGTCATCCCTCCAACACCCGACGGGCTCGAGGGTTACTTTAGGACTGGTGATGCTAACATTCATGAAGTGAGCTCCATACTTTCCGTGGGCACGCGGAATCCGACACGGGCTTCATTATGGGCCACGAGTTCACTGGGGTCGTGGTCGAGGTTGGTTCAGATGTAAAGACCGTCAAGGAAGGGGACAAGATCGTGTCTCCTTTCACTACCACTTGGTAAGCTCTATCTACGCATTCAAGAGCCGTCACAAACAAGACTGGTCGAAAACTTCAGACGCCGGCTGACAATCCCCACAATGATGCAGTGGAAAATGCTTCTATTGCGAGAATGGCTACTCCTCCCGTTGCGTGGACTGTCTCCTTTTTGGCTGTCCAAAGCTGTAAGCCTGGAACCAGTCCCACGCCCTCGATACGTGGCGCTAAAAAGGGGAGTTCCCCAGACTGACGAGTTGAACCAGAGACGGTGCGCAGGCAGAGTATGTTCGGGTGCCTCACGCCGACGGCACTGTGGTGAAAGCACCTCCCGAGATCCAGGACCAATCGCTTGTGCTGATGGCAGACATCTTCCCCACGGGCTACTTCGGCGCCAAGAACGCCTTCAGCCGGCTGACGCCCAGCGAGATCGCCAACGGGACGGTCGTGGTAGTCGGGTGCGGGCCCGTCGGGCTGTGCGCCATCATCGCCGCACTTGAGTACAAGCCCAAGCACCTCTTTGCTGTGGACAGCGTGGACAGCCGCCTGGAGGAGGCGAGAAAGCTGGGTGCAGAGCCGCTGAACTTTGTGAAGGACAAGGAGGGCATGTTTGAGAAGGTGAAGAGTGTCACAGAGGGCCGGGGTGCGGATGCGGTGATAGAGGTTGTTGGACTGAGCCCAGCGCTGAGGACAGCCTTTGACCTCGTGAGGCCCTGGGGCGTCATTTCAAGTATCGGCGTGCACAATGCCGAGGTAAGTGTCCAGTCGAGCCTGGAGGAAGACCTGTAGGGTGATTTGCTGACCAGCCTGACAGATCCCCTTCTCTGGTAACGACGGTTACAAGTGAGTCGGCCTATCAGCGTGGTCCTGCCTTCCCTACGCTAACTTCCGAACAGCAAAAACGTCCGACTTCAAATGGGGCGATGCTCGGTGAGGTCGTTGTTCCCCGAATCCCTTGCTTTGCTGGCGAAGAGCCAGGACAAATTGAGGTGAGATGACCACGTCTACCCTGTAGCAAGCAGTCTCATTTGAAAGTCCCCTGACTGACTGGTACCGCAGCTTCATGTTCGACAAGATCATGCCCCTGTCGGAGGCGGTGGAAGGATACGATCTGTTCGACAAGATGAAGGTTCAGAAAGTCATTTTCAAGCCGTGAGTCTTGAGCAACGAGAACTTGCGTGTTGCCTTAGGACACAAGGTAGCCGTTCTCTCGGCCGTCAGGTTTTTAGGCCTCAGGGTTCCCATGGATGCGATGGAATAGGGCGAGTCCCAGAATGCAACCAGTTGGCCCTAATTCTGTCTCGGCTTGACGATGCCATCGTGCATCATGTAGTAGACCACGGTAGAGTCGTCGTGGACCGTAGCAAGAAGCACCCGCTTCCCGCGCTTGGAGCCCCTCCACTTCTTCCAGTCGGGCGTGCTGTCACCTTCGGCTTCGATCAGCCTGGCGGCAGGCGGCAGGGCGTCAAGGGAGTCAAAGACGGCGGCGAAGGCGGCCAGCGTGGGCTTCTCCGAGATATGGATGGGCATGACCCACTCGTAGTCGGGCTCCTGCGGCACGCTCTCGCCCAGGGCCTTCTCGGCCTTGATGATGTCGATCTGCTCGTCTGGGTGAATGTACATGCGGCGAGTAGGCAGGCCCGAGAGCAGAGGTCGTGGCTGTGAGGGCTCGGCGTGCGACGTGACGTGCTTCCAGTCTTGCTGGTTCTCCAGGTTGTTGCGGACGACCTTGGCCAGGCCCTCGAGATGAGGGGGGAATTGCATTTTGACAGGACGCGTTTGCGTCTCGTTGCTAAGAATTGTGTGTATGGCTGAGTCCTGGGTATTGAAGAGAATTGTCTATGAGCGTATGTGTTGTGAGTAGTGAGCAGTAAGCCTGAGATTCAGTGAGCTTGTTAGTGGCAGTGAAATATTCGACCACACACGGGTCCCTTGATGGTCAGTCATGGCGGCCCATCCAGCCAGGGTCTAACCCTGAGATTGTTCACAGGGCAATGGGAACATTCATCTCCTTATTTTGGACAATATTTTGAGAGTGAGGACCTGGCTTATCTGGTTATTACCGGAGGTCGGCCTGCTGAATACTGATGCAGTGGCTGTGCGTAGAGGGATTCTACGTGAAGGTGCCCGAGCATACATAGTAGTCTAGTTATCAGCGGCAGCCATTGACAGACTGCGGAATACGGCAACTGCGTATAGGGAACGGGAGCGAATACGACAACGACAAAGTCAAATGCAATACGGAGGACGTATTTTGCTGAACGGGCAGACGGGCTGAAGGGCAGCTCCACCGATGCGCGCGAGCCACTTTTCCAGACCCGCATGAAATCTAGACCATTGCTGTCAAATCTACAGAAGTCCCTGAAACGATCTCAGTGCTTACATCTACCGGTTTCACATGCCACTATACAGTCAGACAGTATGCCCTGCCGGAATGAGTGCCAGTGAGTGGTGTCTCGCATTGTGCTGTATAGTCTGTGTTATTTCGCAGTGACATAGATGACATCACCCTGCCTGCGACTGGAGAAGCTGGCCATGATGATGAGCACAAGCTGTTACAAGCACAGCTCAGCACAGCACAGCACAGCACAGCACAGCAGCATTGTCACAACCGGCGGCCAGGGCCTCGACCAATGCTGCCCGGTACTGCCAATGCCCATGACGCTTACCCATCCTTGTAGACGCGGCTTGGGGGCCCCGGGAGCGCTTCTAAGTGGGTGGCTGCATCACTGCAACCCCCGGCCAAGGCATTGGGGGATGCTAGCTGAAGGTATGACCCGCCCCTGCCTCTTGCGCCACACTCATCACCCAAGTCTCCTCCTGCTCCCCCAACATCCTTGTTTGCCTGTGTGTTTGATTGTACCCGTACCAAATATTCCTTTGGACCTCATTGTTTCTCCTTCCTCACCACTTCAGGACTTGAACTTAATTCCTTTTCCCATCCTTTCCCTCCTTATCTCCTATTCTCCCATCATAATCTTGCTCCAGACAGCAGCCACGTTGGGCTTCCAGAACTAATTAATCATCGACCCAACCTCGCTTTACTCTTGCTCTTATCCTCGCCTTGTTATTCCATTCATCAACACTCAACACTATCACATATGCCGCTCTAGACAGTCAGCACCATTCTAAATCGGGTATTAACACGGTGACGGCTAGCATCATGGCCGAATCCGACGGGCCAAACCAGGCCACCACCCCAGGAGCCGATTCCCCTTCTCCGACGGACCCTCAACGCTCCCGACGTCCCTCCGTCACCTCGAGGATATCATACAAGGTCCGCAGCCTATCCAAAGACTTTGAGGAGTCCAACCCACCTGGCGGATTCATGGCAGCCACCAGCGAGTTTGCCTCCTCAGCCGTCGCCGGTGCAGAGACTCCCAGGAGAAACAGTGCCACCAACAGCGCCCAGTCCCTCCCCCGGCGGCGCACCACCATGTCCGACCAGTCGGTCGACCCAGTGCCCCGCGAAAGTGCAGAGTTCAATACCGCGACGGGACTTCGAGATGGCAAGACGACATCAAAACCCGACATGCTAGAGGCATCGGCCACAGCAGCAGCCACCTCAGGCTCGATTGAGAAGGACCACTCAAGAGCCACGTCTGACGAGGCGACGATCGCCGCGAAGAGCGAGCAGGAGGCACACGAGGCCGAGGACAAAGCGGGCGCCACGGAGCCCTTCGACAACGGCTACCACTTCCCACCGTCGTACCCCAAGCGCGAGGCGTTCAAACACGGCACGATGGCCTTCCTGCGCTACTCGGTGACGCCCGTGGGGTTCTGCGTCGTGCTGTACGGGCTCAACGTCGTCGCGTGGGGCGGCATGCTGTTCCTCCTGCTCTGCAACGCCTCGCCTGCCATGTGCTACCCAGACTGCAACGACATCAACTCGCCGCGCCGCAAGTGGGTCGAGTACGACTCGCAGGTCCTTACCGCGCTCTTCAGCCTGACGGGCTTCGGCCTCGCCCCCTGGCGCTTCCGCGACCTCTACTACCTCATGAAGTTCCGCCTGCGGGGCCAAAGGGACGGCCTGCGCCGCCTGGCCGGCATCCACCGCGACTGGTTCCGCATGCCCGAGTCGCAGAACCTGCCCCTCGACGTCGGCCCTGCGAACGTGGAGGAGCAGATCCGGGCGGGCGCCGTGTCGGAGGCCGTCGTCCCTGTCCCCGTGAACAAGATCTCGGAGGCGCCCCTGACCGGCGTGCGCGCGCCGGCGACAAAGGTCTGGAAGATGGACTTCATGATCTGGATGATGGTGTGGAACACGCTGTTCCAGTGCGTCCTGTCCGGCGTCATGTGGGGCATGAACCGCTTCGACCGGCCCAGCTGGTCCACGGGGCTGTTCGTGGCGCTGGGGTGCATCGTCGCCGCCGTGGGCGGCATCGTGATGTTTATCGAGGGCAAGAAAGTGAAGTCCATCGAGGGCGTCCCCCTGACCGACCGCGACAGGGCGAGGCTGGAGAGGGACCAGGAGCTGGGCATCAAGCACTACAACAACATCAAGGACAAGCCGCTTAAAAAGGAGAAGAGCAAGGGCGAAGATACCAAGGAGAAGGCGAGCTCCTGAGACGAGAAGAAAATGTGTGTTTTCAGCGTTGAATTCGCTATATACATCGGATAGGGCTTTGGCGTTACATTCGCTGTATACATGGGACATGCTTTTGGCATGCGGTTACGAATAAAACATGAGCTACGCGAACAGCGTTATACGACTTGTAATCGCCTTCAAACAGTACATATTACGGCGGTGGCCGAACCTGAGATACGCAGCACATAATATATCGCCCTACGCAAAAGGTACTATGGTCAAGATTGTATTCACATTTTGGTATTGAGCGTGACCTTGTTTTGTGAATAGTGAAGTCCATTTGGTACTAATGGTGTGCGTTGCTACGGACATCGAGCCTGTGAGACCTGAGCTAGGGGCCTATCGAAACGACAAATCTATAGTCACGAGATTAGTGCAATGTGTCAAGAACATGGGGTCAAGCGCTTTAAAACAGAGCGTGGAAAGGATTAACGATTTATGAGAGATGTCCATGGAGATAATAGTAGGCTTGAATAAGTTTAGATCTTTGTTACTATTTCCCTGCAGAGTAGAACCTCAAAACGCCGAGCAAACCTCCTATACCTAGTTCCATCCCAAATGCCCATAACGCCAGCCATCGTATGCAATCTGTAGACCCACATCACAGAGACAGAGCCCCTAATTCACCCATTCGTCTCCTATAATCCCATCTGTCTATCCGTAGCAATCTCCTCTACTCAGATGTGCTCTACGGGCTCCTCTGGGAGCAGCTCCTCCACTTCTTCTTTGGGCCGGAGGAACTCAAAGGGTGGCTGGACGATGCCGTTGAATAGGAAGGTGAAGTAGACGAGGAGGGCAAAACCGACAACCTGCAGCCACTTGAATGACTCCCAGCCAAGGCCGAGCGAGACGACCCAGATAAAGAGCGTCCTGCAGGTGTCGATGGTCGAGCGCGAGGTGGCGCTGACGCTCCGCGTAACGGAGAGGCCGAAGAAGTTGAAGCCGCTGTTTGTTTCACGTAATTAGCAATTCGCTCATTTCTTCAATTTGACGTGGTTGTGACAAGTGAAAAGCAGCTCTTACCCGATGCTGATCATGATGAGGAAACTCGACAGCAGCACCTGCGGATTTCCCGTCCACTGCTTCCAGCCCTCTACCATGTCGAAGGGCCCGTACTTGCCATGCTCGGTGCGACCGATGACAAAGTGCAGCACGATCATGCCTATCAGTGTGACGCTGAAGCCGAAGATGCCCTCCCAGCCGACGACGCGGATGGGGTCGATGGTGGACCGCTCGAGCAGGTACTCCTCGAGTACGAACTGCGTGGCGGTGAAGATCTGCGCGCCGGCGATCATGAGCACGCCGACGATGGCGAGGAGCGCGTCGGCGCCGACCTCGTCCGCGTGCGCGCCGCCGTCCCCGCCGCTCTTCTTCTGCTGGTCCGGCCAGATGGCGCCCGCGAGCCCCACGACCGCCACGCCCGTCACCACCCCGACAAGCGAGAGCCACTGGAAGAGATGCAGGTGCCGCTTGAGGAACAGCACGCTGAACAGCCCGACAAAGAGCACGAGCGCGCCACGGGTCATCTGGTAGATGGACGCGGCCACCAGCAGCAGGCCCGCGTTCATGAGCGTCGTGCCCAGGATGTCGCAGATGGCCGGCAGCGAGAGCAGCAGCACCCGGAAGCCGCTGAGCGTTGCGTCGCTGGCGGTGGGCTTGGGCGGCCTCCTGGAGCCTCCGTTGGTGTTGGCGTCGGCGCCGTTGGGGTTCAGGGGCTCGGTGGAGCGGATGCTGGCGGCGTCGGCGTCGGCGTCGGCTTCCGCCTCGGAGGTGTTGACGGCCTCGTAGCCCGCGGCGGACGACTCCTTGGTGACGTAGCGCCTCCAGAGCGCCATGAGGCCGACGACAAGCCAGCAGCCCATCTCGCCGACGAACATCTGGGCGGTCTGGATGACGGGTTGTTCGAAGTGTGCGCGCTTCTTGGGGTCGGGATCATCGCAATTGCGGACGCACTGGTTGTCCTGTTGTGTGTGACTCTGGGTCAGCTCTTTGCCCTGCTCTCTTCTTGGACTGCGCGGGCGACAATGTCGTAGACACTGCTGCCATTAGATGATGGGATGCACGCACCTGATACTTGGTGAGGAGGGTGTTGCACACGCCAGTGAGCAGCATCATCCCCACGAGGAAGGGAATCACGGCCTTGGTGGCCATTTTGGGAGGGTCGCCTTGGAGCTGTGCCGCTGGTTAGAGTGCGATGTTGTGAGAATAGAAGTTGTCGTTGTGTGTTCGGGGAGTTGGATGGTCGTCAGCCGAGATGGTCCCGAGGTGATCCTCTGACGTTCGCAGCGTTCCTTATCGGGCGCAAGCGAGATATGGCTGAAACCCGACAGCGTTGAATGAGCAGAAGCAATAGTAATGATTGTCAAAGAAGCAAAGCCTTTTCCGAATGTTACACGAAAAGAAAAGAAAGCAAAAATGAGAGGTAATAAAAAACAATTCAATCTCTATTCAGGACCCGATCTCATAAGGTCCTCTGTGCAGCTCAGTCTTTGTGTCAAAGGTGGGTGGCTGGACTGTGTAAGTCCGTCTTGATGGGGAAGTACAGCGGACGAAACGGCCGTCTTGATAAGGAGCGGCGGGCGGGTTATCTAAGTCGTGCCTGGGGAAGCGCCCGGCCGCTGTCCTCGTGCCGCTTTGGCCTGAGTGGCACTTGGACAGCAGGCGGCTGACTCGCCCAATACGACCGAATATCGGTCAGCTGAGGATCTAGAAAATACATTCGCTGTCATTATAGGCTTTCACGGCTCTTGAAAGCTTGTGGGGGAAAGCTTGTGAAAGAGAAATCAATGCAAGTCCGTTTTGCTGTAGGTTCGATGCACCAGGGCTGCTAGAACGACTCCAGCACAAGGACAAAGCACAGAACAGTTGACAATTGGCAAGATGATAATAACTACTACTGCTGCTTAAACAAAGCCCAACAGCTGGTCCCGTAAACAGGGTCAAAAAATCGATTGCTCTGGTCCCATCCAAACCTGTTCGCCTTCCGTACCCATCCTGATGCCTGGTTGATTGCCCCGTAGAACGCCAAATCCCCATTCTATGCAAATGCACATGCCCCCCCCCCCCCGGCCTGCTACAGCGAGCCAAGCCGTTCCCTCATCGTAGTCATCTCGTCAAGCGACATGTTAAGCCTGTATATTCCCATATGTTCGCCAACAAGGGCATTCCAGATCTTACCAGGCACCTAGCTGACGATGCACAGCAACTCGGCCTCCAGGATGAACTTGCCCTCCTTGTACTTCTCGCTTGACTCGTACGCCTTATCGTACTTCCAGCCGACGCAGGTGTTGCAGCCACGGCAGTGGATGTCCCGCACGACGTGGCGGCCCGTAGTCATGTTACGCTCGTTGGGCTCGGAGTTGTCGACATTGACGACGTTGTTGAAGAGGTAGGCCTTACCGTGTTGGCCGCGGAAGTTCTGTCAGGAAGAGGCTGATCAGTTGTCGTCTTTCTTATGCACCTCGGCTCTGCGGAAGTGTACTGTATGCGTGTAATGGGATGGAGGTGGAGGGGCAGGTGATCACGGCTAGTGTGCTAGGTGGGCGGGGGATCAAGATCGCAGCAGAGGAGAGACATACCCGGCTAAGGATGTCATCGTGGTCGGCAAGGTGGGCTTTGCAGTTGTGGCAGCCGTAGATCTTGTTGCCGTTGAGGTAAGTGTTGTATCTGAGACCCATGGCTCTTGCGGATCGTGTGCACAGTCGCACGATGCGTCAACGAGAGATGTAGTGTGGGCTGGTGGTGTGCGAGCAGTGTGCTCGTCTCTACTCGCCCGGCAGTCCAGAAACGATGCGCTGGGTTCACAGAGTTGACAGTCAGACTGGCGGAGATCGAGTCGCCAAACAGAAGGAGCAGACAAGCAGAGTTGGGCGGTCACAGATGGTCGACGATGTGGTGGGCCTGTTCGTGGCTCCAAGTTCAGGATGGCCGAGGTCCTGCAGGCTGGGCTTACCTTCTTCCTTCTTCGCTGGGTAGGGGAGAGTGAACAGAGGCAGTCAGTTGATACTTGATAGCAAAGTCGGGAAAGCAGTTTATGACAGGCGGAAGGAAGGCAAGATGGGCATGGGCCTCACAAGGCTCCAGCACTAACTACAGTAGACTGACTACCGGCTACTTGTAGTGTGTAGACTGGATGATGCATTGTAGAAGTGACGATTGGTCCCGACGCCCGAGAACGGGCAGGTGAGCAGTGAGCCAACCGTGGGGCCGCTGACCTCATAATTGGGGGAGCGACAGGGGCCCTGCGGACCACGGGTCTGGACGAACTGCATGGGAGACAGGCTGCTGCTGATCCCTTGTCACTCATTTACACCCCAGCAGCCCCAATTTACAGAGTACATCATCCCTCGACATCATCCGTCAAGCTCACCTTCGGTCTAAACCACTTCTACCGATTTACCTGCATTGTACAGTATTCTTATTCCCTTTTCTTCAAAAAAGCGATTTTTATGTGCCTGCCGTTTCACTCTCTTCTCAGTCACACATTGACTCATTGCTCTTTAGTATGTGCATCGTCGTCGTGGGCATTTCCTTCCTCAGGCCGGACTGTACACGATATTGCGCCAATCTCCAACTTCATGATTTCCTTTGGCTATAGTGTGCAATTTGCTTGGAATTAGAGCAGTCTCGGTTTCGAACTTTATCTTTAGCTGGCAATTCTGTTTCAGCAGACCACCAGTCTAGCCGCCATGACGATGTCTGGAATCATGCAATGACAACGACCCATCGTCTTCATGTCTGTGCAGCACCGTAATTCAGAGCGCTCTTGCAAGATTGGTGTACGATATTTCTACGTCTATCTGAAGCTCTCTCTCTCCCATGTGTTCTCGGCATCTAGACCTGGCGCATCTGTGTCCGTCCACAGGGCAACTGATTCAATTAGATCGAGCACGATCTCACTTCACTGGGCATCGAGTTCCAGCAAGCCACGTATTATGTGTCCATCCCACCCTGAATACGGGCTCCATGGCTTCAGTGAATCAGGATGACCTAGCTCAAGCTCATCTAGAGACTGATGCCCGCTACTTGTCTCGCCATCTGCATACTACGTACACTGTGGAGTTGTCTAGTCTGCGCTAATGTAGATCCCGAACGGGAGGTACTGCTAGCCTTCTCGTTCGAACGAATAGCTGGCACGGGACGAGAATACTGAAAAAGAGCCGAACAAGTTGAGAAGCTGGCGAGTGACTTCTCGCCTATTATGAAGTCAAAACTTTGTTGCCTGCGTATCTGGGACATCAACCGACAACTCTCCCAACCACACATTCAACCTTCCTGCACCGTGAATGGATTTTCGCGCTCCTGTTTGAAGAATTCATGAGTCAGGTTCTCGGCACCACTTTGAACGATAAATATCTGCCACCACGGAGCTCGCAGTCCAGTTACGCAGCAGTAGGCGCCACACATTCATTCGCTCGGCCGAATATTGAAGATGACGGCGTGCCGCTTGTATCGTAGGCCAGTTTTCCTCGTTGACATTCAGCAAGTTCTCTCAGAGGCATTCACTACGCCTCGGGCATTCAGTGACATTGCTGCATGACATACACACAATAAGGAGTCATTCTACTTGACACTAACTAGAGAAACAAATGTAGACTTGAAGTGTACAACTCTATGCTGTTTCATGGTAATTATTTGGTGGGAACGACGGATCATCAAATCTCTGTTGCGTACATGCTCGTCAATGCCTTGATCTCCAGCAGTCCAACATATCATGTTCCAATATGCACCCACCGAGGCCGAAGATCGTAGTCAGTGTGGAGTCTCTCTTTATCTCTATTATCATATATACTGGTCAAAGTCTGCCTGCTATTGACTAATCTAGGACTTTAGAACGTCAATAATTCGGAAAATGGTGAGAATTGGCATTGATGCCGATGTCGTGGGATGTCGGGACTTAGCCCCACCATGACAACCTTAATGCGGCTGCTCCCGAAACTCATTGCACATCAATAAACGACAAGAATCCGATACGTTGAATAATTACGGGAGGGGGGGCATCACCTCTTGGTGTAGATGGTCGCGATGTTATCGCTTTGCTGAAAATCATACATTGAGATCTCCAAGCCCAAGATTGATTGGCTCACATCTTCGAGCTGGCAAAATCTGAGTGAGAATTACCGAGCTTGACCATCCTCAACGAACAGGCTATCATCAGTGCAGAGACTCGTACGACCCCATCGCCGTCAACGCCTCGGAGGAATTAATCGGTATCTTGTGCCAAATATCTTCCCATATGGGCTTGTCACTTGTCTCACCGTGTGAGAATGTGACCAGAGCAATTTCGAAATAAGAGATTCTGCCTGTACAGGCGGCTAGGAGGCATTTGGAAAGAGGCGGTAGATAGAGAAAATACAAACAAAAGGGCGCTTTTACGAGAGATTCATAGGGATATGCATGCTGCAGAGTCTTCAATATTCCCAGCGACAACTGCAAGCAAGCACTACATCGTCTGCTGGATGCTGGTTGCGAGAGGAGCGATGTTTGATGCAAAAGCCCAGTCCTGCGAGGGACTATCAGGCAGACATGAGGAGTTTACTCCTAGATTGTGGCCATGGTGCCATGCAGGCATGTATCGTGTTTGCCCTGGGATAATCCGGTTCGAAGATCGTGACAGGGTGCGGTGCCATCCTCTGCTGGTTCGAAGTGATGTGATGAGACAATCAATGAGCTTGTATACGCCTAAAATCGCCCCAGGATTTCATTAGACTTGAAGGTGGGAGAAGTCTGAGTTGGTCTGAAACTACACTGACTTCTTCAACGATTTCTGACCGAGTGTAGGAAGCACTCGTCTTGTCATAGTGCGTATTTTCTTTCTTTCATTTTTGATTTAGCTTCGTGTTGCGTCCCTTTCAAGAGCTAGGTGCAACTCTGCGCTCCAATCCAGATTTCAAAATGTGAAATATGAAAGTGAAACTAGAAGTGGAAAGATGGCGTGTTTTTCGGATACATAAATTGAATTGAGTGAATCGAGATTCATCAAATCGAACAGAAGAAAGAGGCATACTTGCAGACAGAGACAATGGTTGTAGAACAGAGGATGTGTGCTGTGCTGAGGAGGCGCACTCTCAAGACATCGGGTAAGATGTAGAGCATGCATGTCTTCCACCCGCATGAAAACCGCAGCTTACGGATATCTCAATGTCTCAACGAATTTGTGGCAAGGCTGCCAGTCACGGTGGTCACAGCAGGTATGCCTCCGTCTCAGCTCGTGTCAAAGCAGCCACAGCTCACGCCCAGACGGCCTGCATATATGAGCCAGATTGAGTTGGGGGCTTTAGAGAGCTGATCCTAGCTGGCGTTCATGTCAATCTTGACCTCGAAGCTCACCGACACCAGTTGACAGCGGCACAGGGCAGCAGGGCTATGAGCTACCCCCCACCCTGTTCCCCACACCGCCTCAGTTTGATTGGGCCGAGTCAGTGTTCGGGGGATCCTACCGCAGCGCATGGCCTGCAGCCCTGCCGCCCGTACCTGGACTATTTCAGCACCCGCAGCCTCGGCCTTGACGTCGCCAACTTTTCTCCTCACCTGCAACAATCGAGCCATTTTCTCCCAACAGAGCGCGTACAACTCCCGGGCTGGTCCTGATATGCATAATCACACCAAACAGCAGCCATCCCTATTCAAACCTCGACCCGAGTCCTGCCATCTATAGGGCCCTGCTAGTCAGCCCCGTCCCCAATGCCGTCGGACAGCGAGACAGCCACCGCCAAGGAGGAGGTGCCGCCTGCGGCAGCGGCACCTCAGTCCGACGCGCATTCAGAGGAAGGAGAGGCCAGTGAGGTCGAAAGCCCCGAGGCCGACATCCACAACAAGAGCGACTCGGCCCAGACACCACGAGAATCGCAACCAGCTCCAGAACACGACGACGCACCGCCATTACCAGACGAGCCACTTCCAGGATCTACAGACCAGCAAGCACACGACGCACAAGATGACGGAGGCGCGCCCCCTCTACCCAACGAGGCACCTCCTGAGCAGGTAGACGACGGCTGGGATGCGATGTGGGACGCCTCGAGACAGGCGTGGTACTTCTACAACAGATTCACAGGCACGTCACAATGGGACAACCCAAGAGTCCAGACCGAGACAGCCTCCACCGAACCGTCATCCTCCGGCGCCGCCGCGCCAGCACCAATATCACAGCCCTCCTCCATAGCAGGCGGCTACAACCCTGCGATCCACGGGTCCTGGGACCCGAACGCACCCTACGCACAAGCCTACAAGCAAGCCGACGCGGTGGACGACGACACCACAACGCAGTACACGGCAGGCGAGACGGCGCTGGAGGGGTCGGCAGCAGACCCGTACGCGCAGGCGGCGGCGTTCAACAGCCGGACGGGCCGGTTCCAGGCGGCGGACCTGAACCCGGACAACTTCTCGGACGCGGCCAAGTCGCAGCGGCAGATGAACGCGTACTTCGACGTGGACCGCGCGGCCAACTCGCACGACGGGCGCAGCCTCAAGGCCGAGAGGAGGGGCAAGCAGCCCACCAAGAAGGAGCTGGCGCAGTGGAAGGAGAAGAGGAAGGCCAAGAAGGAGGAGAAGAGGCGGGCATGGCTGAGGGACTGAGGCACACGCACACACATCCCCCGTGAGGGGGCTTGAGATTTACGGTGCACATTTACGCGGGCATGTTGGCGTTGGGAGCGCCCAGGACGGCCTGAAGAAGGCCGGCCTGCGGATCGCACGCATAGACGGGCCATCAACGGTTTGGCGACGGTGGTGTTGATGGAATATCCGAGTTGGCTTGACACACTCCACCGGAACAGTTCCATGACCACTTTGGGCTAGGTTTGGCGAGAGATAGCCAGACTTTGTATACCCTGATTCTTGATGCTGAAAGCGCATTTTCTTTTATGATGACATAATGCACCACGCTGATGACACTATCCTCTTGGAGTGCTCGAAAATAGTGATATCCCCTTTCCAGTGTCCAGGGAATCTCACTGTTGGAGGCATGTTGAAATATTATCCAGAGGACTGATGCACCCGAGTCACGCCCGGTGAGTACAAGATTTTTCAAATCTCGAAGTCTACGTAAGACGCTCTTGAACTAGAGTATGAGGTTATCAGTGGTCATCTTCATATTATGTTTTCTTTATTTGCAACGACTCTTTCAATCAGATCTGTTGCCTTCTCAACGAGCTTACTTCTAAGCTAATCCTCGTCTCCATCATCCGAATCGTCGTCCAGGGCTGCATTCAGGTGCACGCTACCGTCACTGTCACTATCACTCTCATCATCCTCGCCCTGGTCAACATCCATCTTGACCTTGACGTCAGCAGGACCACCGAAGACCTCGGGTGCCTTCCCCATATCAATGCGTTTCGCGGGAGGCTCGTCCAATTCCTCACTCTTGCGTTTCAGCGTGGACGATAGCATGACTGTCTGCTTGGACCCGCCCGGGACAGACTCGGATAACAGCGTGGTCGTCTCAGTCGTGGTGACGACTGATGTGGCTGCCTTCGCGCCCAGATCGAAGCCAGCCGGGGGCCCGTCGGCAGCGTCGGCCATCTCCTCGTCCTCCGCCTTGCCACCAGTCCACCCGTTGCCCCAGCCCTTCTTCCCGCCTGCTGCGGTGTCTTCCGCATCCTCCTGGTCACCAGGCTCTCCCTGCAGTTGCGCAAGGATCGCCTCGTCATCTCCAGCATCGGCGAGTGAGGGCCCAGGTGCAGTGCGTAGGTTTGACCTCAGGACCTCCACAGCTTGATCGCGCGGGAAGTCTCTCGCCAAGAACGGGAACACACTTGCCAGTGCCTTGCCTGTGTGTGTCCTGTACGGGTTCAAAATGCTAGAGATCATGGCGTCCTTGTTGTGTGACAAGACTGCGGTGCGGTCAATCAGTGCCCGCAGGGTTTGTTTCAGGTGCTGCTGGGGGAGATGGGATAGCAGAGTCTCGAGCAGCGCAGACGCTGCCTCGATGTGAGTTGCGGACAGGTCGGAGGCGGCGCTGCTTGCCTTATCTTGTGTGCTGAGATAGGCATCGGCGTTGGAGGATGCCTTTGCCGACGATGGCTTGTTGTTGCTGCCCTGTTTCTGGGCGTCGGTCCCTCCAGATGGACTGGATACGGCGTGGCCTGACGCCACTAATAGGTCCCGACAGCAGCCTTGGATGATACGATCAAGAGAGTTGACACTAAACTTAGGCATGGTAGGACCGTGTATGAGCAACAATTCTCTGAGGAGGACGTAGCCTCGCTCTCGCGCAAGTGAGATACGCTGATTTGCGTCGATGAGTCGCACAGCCTGGAGAAGAAGATCCGCAGCAACGGAAACGGAACCATTCTCTAGCCTTCGTATGAGTGCTGTCAGGAGATCCATGGTGGCAACATGGACATCTGGAAGAACGCTCCACAACTCCTCCTTCTCTTCTCTTCCAGCGGCGGAGTTGAGTTGCGTTTCATCTTGCCCTCGTGCCCCTTTCTTAGGGGCAAGCACCATAGATATTCGTGCTGTCAAGTCGACGAACGAGGAGACTGGGATTGCTACGGGAGTCTTGGTAGGACACCTTAATGACTCCGTAATAGTCTCCAAGAGCCCTACCAACCGTTCCGCTCCACTAGTGACACCTGTCCACGAGGGGAGGTCATCAGCGGAATCACCACCACCTTGCGGTTCCTCATCATAATCGACAGATTTCCGGGTGTAGCCGCTATTAGACTCCCACGACTCCTGAACAGCACGGAATACCTGATCTGCGGTGGCATGACTGCTGTTGAGGAAAGCTGCGATGGTCTTGATCCACTCATCTGCATTCCCGTCCTTGGGAGTGGTGTAATGCTGCAGAATCAGAAGCCGCCGGGATGCTGTTCGTAGTTCTTGGGAGACGGCCAGCTTATCTGACGCAGCAGGAGCCAAGTATGCTCTGAATGCAGCCTTGATCTGGGCGCTAAAGGGGCGCAGAGTCGTCGGATAGAGAGGAATAATGGCAGCTAGAGCGTTTGCTATGGTCTCCACCAGTCGCGCTGGCGGTGCACCGGCTTTAGAAGATGTTGGAGATTTGACAATCTGCAGACAGGCAGTGACGAAATCACGGAGGGTAGGGGTTGCTATCTCCCTGACCAGGGCTTGATATTCATGGAGCAACGTATATATCCTCGTGAGAGTGATCACTGCGATCTCTTTGGACTGGTACGAATCATTTTTCTAGGACGGGGTCAGTGTCCGTGCAGAGTCTTTCTTGGGGGATTCGCACCACGTACCTGCAATATGGACAATAGTCCTCGAACCCATGGCTCTGAAGTTCGGAGGCATTCCCAACCGCCAGTATCGATCACGCCTTTGATTAAGATTGCGGCAGAGAATCGTCCAGGCAGACTTCTGCCGTTGTTCAGCAGGGTTGTGATTTGTGTCCTCAACTTGTGCACGAGGACGGAGGATTCCGAGGATCCTTCCTTGGGCTTCTGGTCTGAAGGCTGCGAGAGCACTGCTTGACAGCGCTGAATTTGTTTTATCAGAGATGGGCAGAGGCGTGGAAGGTCATCAGGATCTGTCGAAGCCAGACGTCGACAGAGGACTTGGAGATCCGGAGGAAGGGACATGGTCACTCCGTTCAGGTTTGGTGTTGCTGCTCGGAGATATAGGAACTTTTTGATATCCAACCGTCAAAGGCTGTCTTCTTCTGCGGCTGCTCACAGCTATCGATGCCTTGGGGGCAGCACTGTGTGGCTAGAGAAGAGGGAAAAAATGGCGTAACAACGTGAATGTGATACAGCCACAGTTGAAAATCAAGTGATGCAATGCGACAGTGACCGTGAGCCTGATACTCAGAATGAGGTCCTCACTTCTCACAAGCTTCACGAAAAAAAATCCAATTTGGGTTAGGAAAAAGCAACAAGCATCCCCGTCAAGGCGTACAGGGGTTATGCAGACAATCTTCGCTGTGGGGCCACTGTTTCTAGGCGGAACCTCGGCAGGCAGGACCCTGCGAAGCTTCCCCTGCAGCTGTCATCTCGTTCCTGTCGAGCTGATCAATTCAATGTGCCGTGTTGCTTGCACTGCGACCTTGTGAAGTTCGTCGTGGGTGCGCTGCGGATGCTGATGCCGAACCCGATGCCGCTGCTGATGGCTGATGAGGCGCATTCCCATTTCACACCACATTTCGACCCCAATCACGGTTTCCATCTTTAGACGTTCCAATTCCACGTAGATCCCACTCTGCGGCTCCAGTGGAGGCCCCCTGCCGCTGCCCCAGCTTCTTTAATTGACCACCATTGCTGCATCGCATCGCACCGCACCGCACCGAACCGCACCACACCGCACCACACCGCACCGTCTCAGCCCCTACCAACCTCGACGCGCTCCTTTTCCAATGACAGTGCCCAGCCCGACCCTCGTCATCAAGCATTACTCTTACTATCCAGCCGCCTAGCGACCATCCGTCCTCCTTTCCGACGTACGACCCATCGAGAACCACCCAATCCTCTGGGCCTGTTGGACGCTCATCATTGAGCCACCATCACAATGGCTCCAAATGCCACCAAGGGGCGAGGCTACCTCGACCAGCTCGACACTGCACGCTGCGAGGGCGACTGGGAGGCTGTTCCAGAGCTTGTACGCAAGGTGCGCAAGCATGCGCCAAACCGCGCCTGTCTCGCCTTGACCGCCGAAATCGAACACGGTATCGTCAAGTCCACAAAGTCCCAGAAACCAACCGCGCGCCCCGATACCGCGGGCTCTGGCAACACTCCGGCCACAGAGATCGAGGTGGCTGGCCAACTGCCCAAGCTCCTGACTCTCATCGACGAAGAACACACATATGCTGAGGACAGGTTCCAGGCCCAGGTCTGCGTTGGATGGCTGCATTGGGTTGTTGGGGAGTACAACCTAGCATTCGTTCGCCTGCCCGAGGGCCTCGAAGAGAATCAGGTCGAGAGCTTGGACAACATCTCAGAATGGACAAGGGTCTGCATGTTGAAGTCCGCTTACCTGCGGGCCAATTGCCTGGCGCGCAACGGGAAAGAGGTCGAAGCCCTCACCGTCTTCGAGTCTGCGATTCCGCCGAGCACCTTTTCTTGGAGCAGCCAGACGGCCAAGAAAGAGCTACGATATTGGTCTGAGCTGTTCCTCACTGAATACTGTATGCTGTTTAATGGGTCTCGCGGCAAAGGGGACGTTTCGCTCGAAGACGATAATTCACTGGCTAGCTTCCGGTCTTGGGGCAGATGGTGGGATGCGTCGAAAGGGCCAACCTTGGCAGGTGGCTACGGTTTCAAAGGCTCAGTGCCCCGACGCCGGATATGGTTCGAGTACTACGAGGCCTTGTCGACAATTCTGCAGGAAGACCTCCCCTACCCTATGAAACACATATTCCCTGCACAAAGCGAGCCATCCGCCAGAGGCCAGCTTCTGGTTGAGTTGAAGCGGGCGGAGACCTCATTTGAAGGTCTCTTGCTCAGCGAAACGACATTCCCAAAGGCCGACGAGGATAGAGAGGAGGTCGAGCTCTTTGTGGAAATGTTCATGCGGAACTGGACGATTCTGACCGGCCGTGGGTGGAGTGAACGGGATCTGGGCCAAGGAGGGAAGGCGGGCCTCAGTGCGTCTACTCTCGAGATGCTGTACCGCGCATCGACGAAAACCTTTCATTCGACTGCAATATTAAGGAACCTGTTCATTGTCCATCTTGCCGTGGCAGAGTTCGACCTGGCCTTGAAGGCATTCGACTCGTATCTCGATATTGTCAAGAAAGGCAAGGCTCGGGTGGAAAAAACAGGGCATCAAGAGAGCACACTCGACGACGATGCGACTATGCTTGATACAATATGTTTATGCATCTCGGTATTAAGTCGCTTCGGCGGTAGAGAGGCAGCCGAGAAAGCAAAGGATCTGGCTTCGGAGCTCGAGCATTGGCTTGGAAAGATTGCGCCACCTCAGTCAGGTGGTGCGATGGCGTCGGTCAGAGAAGACGGGGGCAGGTCTTCGGCTACAGGGGATCGTGTGCCAGCCAAGACCCTGGCTCTGGCATGGCAGTCTATCGGACTGGCCCAGGCACAATGGGCGCGCACGACCTTCGACCCATCGTCTCGAACAGAGGTTCAAAAGAAGGCCATAAAATCTTTGCGTGTTTCCCTGTCGGCAGACTTCGCTACCTCTGCAGATGTCCGAGGTGTGTTTGCGCTTGGATTGCTTCTCGCCGAGCAGCGTGAACTCACTACCGCCATTGAGCTTGTTAAGACAGCCCTCCTGACAAGAGCAGCGGGCGACGAGTTGCTAGTGCTGCATAATGGCCCATTCTGGCGTGAAAGATCGCTTATCCCACTCTGGCATCTCCTGTCGCTGTTGCTCAGTGCCAGGCAGGAATATGTATTGGCAGCTAGGACCTGCGAGTGCGCCTTCGAACAGTTCAGAGATCCTGTTGTGCTTTTTGGGCGTCAAAGTCAATTCAAGAGCGACCACTTGAATGAGGCGGAAAAGGACCTTGACGCGAGCCAAGGTCTCGTTGACGAGATGGATGATTTCGAGAAAGAGAATATCCTCGAGATAAAAATGACACAACTGGCAATCGTCGAGATCACTGAGGGGCCAAGAGTCGCTGTCAACGCCAGCCTGGAGCTGCTGACTTTGTTCTCGCGCTTGTTTGGTAGCGTGCAGTCGAAGCAAAATCTTGAGCCACCAAAAGCGGCAGTCCTGCCAAGGACCTCGGGCACTTTCCGGAGCATCAGGAGCGGCATATTTGGAAATCGCAATAGTCGCGCGGAAAGACGAGACAGCAATGGCACAGTACGAGCAACGGATGAGAACGCGGGATCAACTCAGCCCCGCCCACAAACACAACAGACTATACAAACGATCAGCCGAGCACCAACGATTCAGATCACTCAAGAAAATGGCAGTCCTCGCACACGTAGGAAGTCGACTAGTAACGAGAAGCGGAGCGAGTCTGCTAGGAGGAACTCGCTGCGTAAGAGAGAGAGTCAAGGTGCCAGGCGACGCGCTGCGAGCACCGGGCCGGCTCCGCACGTTGCGACAGTTGTTGATGGAGAGACATTCTACACGCCCATGCCTGGGCCCGAGGGCCTGCAGGCATCCGACTTCTTCACTTTCGCCAACAAGCGCAATCCGCTGTCGAGGCCTTCGTCTGCTAGCCGGGCGAACTCACAGCTGTCCGACTGGTCGGCCCGGCCACCAGGCCCAGACATGACGGGGATCGCACTGGAGGGCATAGAGCCTGTTGGTGCCGTGTTGCCAGTTATACAGTTCGACAAAGACGAGGTGAAAGCACGGAGAAGTGCCATCCTGCTGAAGGTTTGGCTTATGATCGCTGGCTTCTACCGCAGGGCTGAGATGTACGATGACGCCAAGGGTGCAGTAAACGAAGCACAGAAACTAGTCCAAACGATGGAGTCGGAAATGGGCCAGGCCTCTGGAGACAGTGGCAAGAAATCTTCAGGCTCTTCATCGCTTAGAAAGCCCGGTTGGGGCGGTCAGAAGTCGATTGAGGAGTTGTGGGCCGATGTTTGGAGCGAGGTAAGTTGACTTGGCCCAAATGGCGCATAGAAGTAAATACTAACTCGAAGCAGAATGCCCATCTTCAGCTCGGAAAAGGAGATGCCGACGCCGCACGCAAGGACTTCGAAGCGGCTCTGACGCATTTCCCTGATCACCCTGCCGCTATCGTGGGGCTGTCCAATATTTTACTCGATCTATACTGCGAGAAGACTGTGCCACCTCCGGCCTTCCCAAGCCTTGATCTCGTTGGCGGATCGGACGCGATGCCAGGCACGGAGCAGAGCACCGCGGAGCTCGTGTATCCAGAGCGAAATCAAACAGACTCACCCAAGCTTTTCCCCACAGGTCCCTTGGGCCTAGGCGCCTTCAAGACACAGAAGAAGGAGCCATTGAAACACGCCGGCCTGCCGAAGAGCCCTACCTCCCTCCATCACGAGACCCACCTTGAGCCACCGTACAAGGCGGCTTCAATACCGAAAGTGGACAGACTTGCTTCCCGTGACAGAGCCTATGGGCTGTTGTCGAACCTCACGAAGCTGGGCACCGGGTGGAACTATTCTGAGGCGTGGTTTGCGCTGGCGAGGGCGCATGAGGAGAGTGGGCAGCTGGACAAGGCCAAGGATGTGCTGTGGTGGTGCGTCGAGCTGGAGGAGGGATCGGGTGTGAGGCAGTGGGATTGCGTGAATACAGGAGGGTACGTCCTGTGAGGCCTTCAAAGGTCCGAATATGCAGAGACGCTCCCAGTCGACCCTCACGATATATATATATATCGGCTGTCTACAGGGCAGCTGCCCATACAATAGTCTATTTCTTAATGGCAAGCCCAGTGGGGCGAGGTGTCGACAATCTAATTAGAGTTTTGAGACGGTAAATTTCCTGTATCTATGACTTTTGTGTACTGGACAAATTTGCTCGGTTCTTGACTTAATCTACGGTACACTTTTTGCAAATGTATAAGCTGCCTGAAAGGGGTGCAGCAGCTACGGCGTGCACGGACCACGACGCGGTGCGCGTCCGGCTGGCCTCCCTTGTTTTTCCTCCACCACCAACCTAGAGCTCCCCCTTCCCTCCCATTGACATCCATACATGTGTTAACACGGCGCGTGCTGCTTTCCGCCCAGTGACGCAATCTAGCCATCTGAATCGTGTTCATCTATTACACCTACTGAGCATAATTTGTAACGACACGCACAAACAACCAAAGCACCGCAATGCCGCGACCAACACGGTCTCGAGCCGCCGCGTCGCGCAAGGCAGACTCCTCGTCCGACACCGCACCTGCGGCCCCCGCCGTGAGAGACAAGGCGCCGATCCAGTCCGACTCGACAGATAACATCTATGGGGTCAGCGATCGCGAAATCGAGCGCCAAAGGAAGAAGAAGGCCGCCTCGCCGAGGATCTCTGCCACGCCCGCATCCGAGCGGTCTGCCACCACGGCGGGACGGAGCACGCGCAGCCGCGCCACCATGGCCAGCAATGTGATGGATCAAACCGCCCTGCGGAGCTCAAGAAGCCGACGCGATGCCGCGCTGAGCAAGCTCGACGATCTCACTTCCACCACCACCGACGCGCGCGACAGCTCCGACATGGTCGTTAGCCCCGTGGTCGAGGCCGGCCGCAACGCGCAGATGGAGGCGTCGTCGCTGCTGGGCCCACGCGGTCGCGCCGGCGACCTCTCCGGATTGGAGATCAACGACAGCGAGATCTTTGGCCACCTCGACAGCAGCTTCGACATGACAGGGAACAACGACAAGGACGAGAGCGGTAGCACCACCACCACGGGACAGCACACGGGCACTCGTTCGGCCGACACGTCCACCTTCAACGTCAGTGTGTTCAAGCGCCAGCCGCGCCGCCGCCAGTCCAGCATTGTGGGGAAGGACGACGCGCCCATCCGCCCCAGCAGCCGAGGCCCGACGACGCCGGGCCTGAGCTCGACTTTTAATCTGGGCAACTTCAAGAGGCGCGCGCGCCAGCCGAGTATCCTGTTGTCGTCTGCACAGAAGGCATCGATGTCTGCGCAGCGGTCGAGGGCTGCGTCGGAGGCTAGCGAGAATGCCGTCGAGTCTGAGGCCGAGGAGGAATCTTTCCTGCCTGAGGCAGAGGGAACACCTGTGCGGCCGTCGCGGGGAAGAGCCAGTGCTGCGAAGGACGTGGTCGAGTCGGTGGAGGGTGGAACGCGCTCGCGGAAGAGAAAGTCTACGGAAAGCCACGAGGCCGAGGTCGCCAAGAGACGAGCTGTTGAATCAGACGAGGACGCGATCCACCAATCTATCGAGATGGATGACCGGTCGTCGCCACCTACCCTTCTCTCGCGCACTCCAGACTTGGATGACGACAGCGTTCTCGCCCCGCCAGCCAGCAGCAGCTCGTCTGAGGCTGGCAGCCCGATGGTATGGCCCTCGCTGAACATGTTGGGAAAGAAACACCGCGGCCGTGCGGCGCCCCGAGGCACGAAGACGCCGGTCTTGGACGATGACATGTCTGACATCTCCGAACCGCCGTCTTTGACACACTCGCCGAATTTGAAGGCGAGGGACGCAGCACCCAAGGGCAAAAGCAAGACCGCCGCACGAAAGGAGTCACCACAGCTGTCCACTGCTGATCTTGCCGCACTTCTCCCACGCCGACGACGCAAGGTTCGTCGTGATGGCGAGGGGTCAGAGAATGAGGAGACCGGGTCCGATCACGACGTGTACGACACTTCACGCCAAGTCCGGGCTTCGAAGAAGAGGACGGCACGACCAATGACTGGTCCGTCATCGAAAGCAAACCAGACAAACCAAGCAAAGCCCACGGCCGCACCAGCAAAACGGACGACGAGAAGGACATATGGATCACGGAGGTTTGACAAGGAGAACGACGCCGAGGGAGACTCCATCGAAGTCGGCGAGGACGCATCCACACCCCTGGACGACACCATGTTCGACGCTGACGAGACAGCGGCGACGTCTCAGGAGCTGGGCGAGGAGCTAAAGGCCGCGTCCAAGAAGTTCAAGGAGGTGGATAAGTGGGAGCTGGACTATGAGGAGGTTGTCGAATCCTCGTCGCCCCTGCCTGAGGGGCGCTAAATTGGGACGGTTGTCTTCACTTTTGTATCATGCACATGCGAGGTTTGGGATACCCCTTTGCTGGTTCTGTATTGGAGTGGACTGGTGCGGTAATTTGGATGATAGGCAGCGGCGCGGATACATTGGAGCATGGCTTTTTGCTAGAGAGGCCTCTGAAGCCGGAATAAAAACCCACAGTTGCCACCGTGACAGACTTGGTGTCTTTTGTTTAGACTCGTGCATTCGTGGAGCTGGATACTGTCACAGCTCTTTCCGGGCCACACTAGCTCGAGCAACCGTAAGGGTGTGTATAAGGCTTGCTAATTATTAGCTCTGTGGGAGGCAGACTCGGAGACACTCGTGCTATTACATCTGGTCACTTTGTCGACTGACTTAGATGACGCAGTGACCACAGCAGTGCTGTTTCGATGTTGCCGATGCGCCTCTTTCCGGGTTGTCTGAATACTCGAGACCGAGGCGGTGCTGAGTGGTCACATCCCAGTTCCTACCGTCCTGCTAGGTCACTCAAGCCTGCAATATTGCCTCACATGCTGATTGCAAACGCAAGTTGGGTATTGCCCAAGGTCGAGTCCCCTCGCTCGACTGCTGGCCCCATTGGGTTGAGTTATGCTATCTCCCCACCTGGGGCCGGCTTGCCTCTGTGCCTACCCCGCCGGTGGATAGCGACGCTGGTTCCGTGATCACAATAGCAAGTGTCATGCCTGTCCATGGCATCTGCTGAATTCCCAGTCCTCCTGCCGAGATTGACGTCCGCTTGGAAGAGATTCTTGGATCATTCCGAAAGCGAAACACTGTCTATCTTCTGCTCGACGATGGGCAGCAGGTGCGCCACCTGATTTGCGTCCCTAAAGGCAGCGGTGACAGCATCAGGATGGAGCCCTGACATGCGTAGACCCTACAGTAGCAAAATCAAATATCAGTCACAGATGTTTCGGTAGCAAATGAAGAGCACGTAGTAGGAAAGCCCTGCAATTAGATCAACTTACCCTCGTCACATTCTCGTACTTGTCCTCCTTGGCCGTGTACTCACGGATGACCTCGTCCTTTTCAAAGTCCACATAAACACGCGTGTCGCGGACCCGCACGACCACGCCGTCCAGGCGCATGTACAGCCTGCACAGCAGCAGCATGCGCTGCTCCATGACGCGCAGCTTGCAGCTGAAGACGGAGACGCCATTGTCGTCAAGCTCAGACTCGAAGAGCACGACCTCGTCAAAGAAGAGGATGGGGTCGCGCCTCTTGAGAAGCTCCAGCGGGATCTGCCTGCCCTCCGCCGCGGGCTGCAGGCCGCGGCCCGGCGCCGGCCCGTGCAGGCTGGCGGTCTCGGAGCCGCGGTAGGTGGTGCTGTAGCTCCAGTCGTAGGGCTTGACGACCTCACGGATGTCGTGGGCGGACGACTGCTCGCGCGACGAGGACCACTCGCCGGCGTAGGCGACCTGCAGCATGTTGGCGCCCGTCTTGTCGACGGCGTCGAGGGCCGGCTCGGCCGCGAACTCGACCGCCCACCCGGACGGCGCGTGCCGCACCGCCACCAGGTTGTCGCCGAAGATCATCTCCGGGATCGGGATCCCCAGCCGCCGCGACATGTCGTCGATCGGGCCGGACTTGGAGATGGGTAGCTTGCGCGACGAGATCTCGAAGTTGCCCTGCTTGTGCGTCGTCGTCGCCTGCGCCAGCATGGTGGGCGCGGGGAAGGGCTCGTTGGGCGAGCTGATGTGATTCATGGTGAGTGTTCTGTGTGTGCCTGTGTGGCTTGGTGCCTGTGAATTCTGCCCTGTAGACTGCGATGGAGCCTGATGTTATGTTGCTTGGCGAGAGTGAGAGTGAGATGTTGCGCAGGGTGTATGAAACTGCGTCGACCTCTCAAGCTTGGAGTTGTGAGAGCTCCGAGCTATATCGCTACTGCGCACGCCGTATCTTACGTATTCTTAGCCCATAAGCTACGGTCCACCGACTACACACTGCACGTCTTTGGAGTCACTGATTTCTGAAGTAACAAAGGCTTTGATTTCTCGTAAATTGTGTCTTGCAAAGAAAGTACTACAACTCAAATTTTGCAACTTTCCAGTAAGAAAACCATTTTGGTGGTAGATCAGCCGTGAAACTGGCTGTAAAGACCCCATCCCACAAGGCGCATAAAGGGTGAATTGCTTTCCTGGATTCTCCCATAACACACGATACTGACCTATTATTGCAAAGAAAGTGGCCATGACTCCATGCACTCTACCTACCATTCTAGCCAGTCCCTCTCAGCTCACTTTCCACCACAAATTGCTCCATTTGGCGCACCAAAAGCAGGCTTCTGCCGCCTCTAGCTTTCGCGCGGGTAGCTCATCTACTTCGACTCGTCTCAACGAGGCTGATTCTGTCCGAAAATGGCAAGGCTGCAATCTTGTGCATTTGACAAATCCGCGTCCGTCCAGCCTTCGTAATGCGGGATGTGAGTCGGATTTTGAGCGAAGGATATCCAGAACCTCGGCCCAAGTCCCACTGCGCATATAGACGTCCTGAAGAGTCAAACTGATCTCCGGGACGTTGCAGAGTCCCCTCAATTGTTCGAAACTCATCACGCAGCGACTTATAGCCAAGCTTCGCAGGCATGGCCATGTCCTCGAAGCTAGAAGAGCTATGGCACTTTTCCTCTCCTCCATACCAAACTCGTACTCCCCTGAGTCATACTCCACTGGGAAGTCCTCGTCCACATCGTCCACATCGGACCAGTATCCGGGCCCATCTACCATTCTAACGTGATTCAAGTCGAGTTTGGCTCTCTGGAGATTTCGGGCTGCCACAACAGTAGACACGTACCTGTGGAAGTATTCTGGCCTTTGTTCTAATGGCTCTTTGTCTGATAATCGAGTCCCAGACCCTTGGGATCGCTCTATCTCAAACACCCTGAGGTCTGTCACTGCCGCGCGGAGCCCAGAGAAATAGTCGTCGTCGAGGCTTGATTGCAACTCGGATAGAGAAGACATGAGAATCCGTAGCTGAACCAGCGACGTTCCTGCTGCTCGGATCGCAAGCGGCAGGCGATAGAAAGTCGAAAGAGGTGGGGCCCCAAGCCATTCGTGATCTCCCCATCTGGTCTTCCGCACAGTTACACTTTCCACCAGAATGGTATGACCGTTGACCTGGTCAGGGTCTTCTCCCAGAGTCTTTCGTGACCAATCCCTTCGGGGCCAGGGCATGCGATCCAAGTCCGTTATGGAAAGACTGTCCAAGCTGGGCATTCGTCTCGCCGCTGCCTCGATGGCCTGTAGAAATGCGTTGCCTCGTAGTACGCTTTCTTGGTCTTTAAACAGCTGTTGGTACAGCTCATGAGCTACCCTCAATGTAGCCACATCAAGTTTGGTTCCTTCACTTTGTGGGTTCTCTGGGGGTTTGAATTTAGATTTCGCCCACAAGTCTAATATCCGGTCCGCTTCCGCAAACAGTCGCCTTTTGGTATCACCTGGTACGTACGTAGCCCATTCTGGAGTGGTCTCAGGCTTCCCCCTGCAAAAGATACCCATCAGGTTTGCGAAACAAACCTCGGTGAAGGCCACGAAGTCATCAGCCAGCGCCGCGCTATAGAAGCCGACGTGGACGCGGAGAGTGCGTACACCTTTCGAGATGGTTGGATGGCGCGAGATCTCATTGAGATGTGCAAGCGATGGTGAAGACATGTCAATGTCGAGGTATGGGAGCAGTAGATGCGAACTGGCGTTGCAAAAACGACGGCAGGTCAAACGGACCTGCTGGATGTTCAAATTGTCGAATGGATCACGGGAAGTAATTTTGAGCGGAGGTTCCGTCAGATCACCTTTGACGGCCTCAAAAGTTTTGATTAGGACCTCCTCTGGCAATTTAAAAATGTATGGCTCCATGGGCTGAAAGTTGACCTGGGTGTCCAGGATATCCGGTGCTGGCATTGCGAAGCACGTATACTGTCGAGAAACTTGGGAATGGTATCAAGAGCTTAGAAGAGTCGGATATCTTTGGGAAAGACAAAGTCACCTAGCAGAAGCTTTCCATGTAGTTATGATATTACTTGTCGTTCTCAGGACAGCAAAAAAAGGTCGGCCCGCCCTGTGATAGACTCTGATACAGAGCTTCCCAGGCTTGATATGGAACGCAACAGATGTATCATCGCAAAAGCTCCCGTTAAGTACTTATTCTACCAAGTGTCTTCTGTGTGCAAGGGATCAATCTGATGATTGAGAGCAAGACTGGTTCACCGCCCTTATGAACAGCGTGTCAAATCTGTCACCGACCATGATAAGATGCGTTCAATCAACTTGATTGATCTGAGCCCGGGAGGAGATGTGAGACAATACAGTGCATGTGGCTTGCGAGGGGATGATGACCGGTGGAGCACACAGTCCGATGTGCGTGTGGAAAAGTAAGCCGGCACGAATTGATGTATACACATAACGATGATTCTTGACGATGGTGATGCCCTCGCGGTTGCCATCTCAGGAAAGACTGTTCATGTGTAGAAAAGTTATCTCAGAGGTATGCAGGCTTGGAGATGTCAGCAAGCCAGCACCCGCCAGCAAAAGGGAGGATGCCGGCTTTTTTGACAGAACTCAGAGATTCTAGTTTGCCATGCAGGAAAATACAGCCAAGGCGTCGTGAAGTTGAAATAGAATATAAGGGCGGGGTGCATAGCTCCTCACAGGCTGAAATCAGGGCGGTGGTTGGGAGCCGCAGAGGGCCGACGGGGATGCCACCCGTAGCCTCCGCAACCAAGGAAGGGGCCCCGCCATCCACCCTGTTGCTCGGCAACTGGCCCAAATATCAATACGAGCTACCAGGTCCAGCCACCACCAAATCCACCTCCTACACAATTCCGCAGACCATAATCAGTCCATCAGATCCTGTCCTCCGTCTCTGCAATACAGCACCACTAATCCGCCTCCAACCTAGACACTGCAATTGCACACATTCGAATCCAATCTCATATTCGCTCTCAACCTAAAACGTCAAACCACCAGCGAAGTGCAGCAGCGGCGACATCCTCCTCTACAAGATGGCGGCCACCCGAGCGCTGGAGACTGGGCTCCAGCGAATGTCCATCACCGATGAGAACGATCCTGGTGAGGCTGGTCGCATCTACCAAAAGTCAAAGGTGAGCCAAAAAAAAATCCCATTGCCCATGAAAGCCCCGTTTTGAAGAATCGCTGATTGCTCAGACTGTTGCCTCTTCTTCCGCACAGCTCACCCAGTCCATCAGCCGTACAGGCCTCTTCAAGGTCGCTCTTCAGTCTCAGAACACCAATACAGTCACCACTGTTACTCTGCCTTCCCAGGCCGCACAAAGAAAAGGCCAAGCAGCCGCCTCGTCGTCTACCGCCTCAACGCTGCCCCCTTCACCCACCAAGAAAAATGCCCAATCCACCACCGTCACTCTGCCTTCTCAAGCAGTGCAAAGGAAAGCCCAGGTGGCCAACAGCAACCCCCCATCGCCGACCAAGAAGGACAAGTCCAGCTCCGCCAGCACAATTGTCTCTCGTAAATCAGACGAGGCCGAGCCCGAGCAGCAGTCCCAACAGCTGACATTGTTGGACGAGCCGCGGATATTCCACCTCGGCATGTTCGAGATCGGCAAGCCACTAGGTAAGGGGAAATTCGGTCGAGTCTATCTGGTCAAGGAGCGCAGCAGCGGCTTCATCTGCGCCCTCAAGGTCATGTACAAGTCGGAGCTGCAGCAGGGGTCCGGCGTCGAGAAGCAGGTGCGCCGCGAGATCGAGATCCAGAGCAACTTGCGGCACCCAAACATCCTGCGGCTGTATGGGCACTTCCACGACCCTAAGCGCATCTTCCTCATCCTGGAGTACGCCAGCCAGGGCGAGCTCTACAAGCTCCTGCGCAAGGCGAACCGTTTCCCCGAATGGAAGGCCGCCCAGTATGTCGCCCAGATGGCATCTGCGCTGAGGTACCTGCACCGCAAGCATGTCATTCACAGGGACATCAAGCCCGAGAATATTCTCGTCGGCATCCATGATGAGATCAAGATTTCAGATTTCGGCTGGAGCGTCCACGCCCCTACCCACAGGCGAGCTACGCTCTGCGGTACGCTGGATTACCTCCCGCCAGAGATGATCAAGTCCGGGAGCAAGGACAACTGGTACGATGAGAAGGTTGACCTGTGGAGTCTGGGTGTTCTGACCTACGAGTTCCTGGTTGGCGAGGCGCCCTTTGAAGATACTCCTGTGATGACCCAGCGGCGTATTGCCCGAGCGGACATGACTATCCCGTCCTTTGTCAGCCCTGAGGCCAGGGATCTCATCAAAAAGGTACGATCCGCCCCCGTCTTCCTCAACACCTCTCAGTCCACAGCTAACATTCCGTCATAGTTGCTGGTACTGGACCCGGATAAGAGACTGCCTCTTGAGGACGTCCACACGCACCCTTGGATCTTGAAGCACTGCGTCAAGGGAGAGCGGGCCACCAACCGGGAGACGAGTAAATGATCCAAAATTGCATTTGTGGTGACTGAGCGCATCGGTGGCGCGCACAGAGTATCCGAACTTTGGTGGGCCCCTCGCGAGATCGATGCGTAGTGACATGCTTGTTTACATCTGTATGGCGTTAAGGTACTCATGGAAGGGTATGGTTTCGGCAAAGGCATAGGACCTTGGGGGTTTTAGGAGTCTCTCTCTTTGGCATTTAGCGTTTCTCGTTACTCTGGTCTCCGCTGTAAAGTCTTGAGCTCATTTACGATGGGGTCACAGCATACATACACAGATGAGCTCATCATTTCATCGTCTGTAGAAATACATTTTGTTAAGCGTTAAGTGGTATCATGGCATCCCCTCCTGTGTTTCTGTCCCGTGCCTCATCTATACACCTCGTCAAAGGGCCGCGTGTCTGAGAAGCACGAGTCCCAGACCTCGTTGACGACCTTGACGGCCTGCACGTCGTTCTTTACCCATGGCCTCGCAATCATCGATTGTACCGCCCGCGCCCGCACACATTTTTGGAATTGCTCTGTGAGGGTGTAGTTGCCCCGCGTGAAGACTTCCCGCGTCCACCTGCATTCGCCACTCAGCATCGAGGCTCGAATCTGTGTAAAGCACAATGTCAGCCAGCAGTTCTCCATCTACCTATGTCCAACAAACGAGAATCAGTGCTTGACTCACCTCCGTACAAGCCGCCTGCCGCAGGTCCCTCTCCCCGCGGAAGTCGACCTCGAACCTCAGCTGGTCGTAGGCGTGGACCATCTCGTGGGCGAGCGTGTCCTCGAGGTGGCCGCGGTTGCGGACCTCGTTGGCGCAGACGAGGATGCCGTGGGCGGGCTCGAAGCCGCCGCTCTGGCGCTCGACCTGCATGCCGTCGGCGGTCAGGCGGGCCGGGCAGCGGCGGCACAGGACGTTGGAGGGGGTCATGCCCTGGCCGTGGTTGAGCTCGGCGATCTTGTCGTTGAGGAAGCGCACCGTCGGCGAGTAGGCGAACAGCCAGTCGCGGTACTCCTCGCACCGCCGCACGTCGCGCGCCTCGTTCGCCCGGTACCGCGACTCGCGGTAGTGGAAGACCCCTTCGTTCGTCACCTGCCCCGTCAGGATCTTGAAGTAGTTCACCCACCACTGCGTCTTGGGGTCGAAGCCTGTGCGCGCCGGGTCGTTCTCGAGGTAGAGGCTCGGGGCCTGGGGGGTTGCTTTTGCTTGTGAGGAGGTGCTGGTTGTAGATGAGGATGAGAGAGAGGATGATGTCTTCGGGTCTGAGCCTGACGGGCTCGGGGCTGCGGTCGAGGCCATCGTGGTGGTGGATGATTGGAGTGGGAGGTCGCAAGAGGCGAGCACTCGAGGTGGCTAGCCGTAGCTGCTGCAGCTATACTGGCTGCTAGTGCACCCGAGGTCGTTCACAGATGGGGCGTTCACACGGTATTAGATTAAAATGGCCTTCGTGAAGCTGGAATTGGGCAATGTAATCCCGTCGTATATGCACAAGGCGCGTTCTCGAGGTCCTAGTGGACTAGCTGGGCTCCTTCAAGAAATTTAGAGCAGGCATTTGAGCAGGCCCTCTGCGGGCGCAGGCCAAGGAAGCGGTAGAGACGGAACGGACAGGGATTGACAGGGATGACCGCCGTGGCTTCTCCGCGTCCAAAACGGCCGGCGCTGCGGTCCAAATGCGACCGAACAGGCTCTGCCCCACGGGATCCCGCGCCTTCGACCCTTGGCGGCTGCCATCGAAAACCTGGAAAGTCTACTTTGTAGTCAAACCGCTTACCTTACGGCTGCTCAATTGCGCGGTGCCGAACCCACGCTGCTCGGCAATAAACAGCACACGCTATCCGTTGTAATTCGCTCCCCATCCCGAGCCCCCCAGGGTGCTTATGCAGAATCACACCATGGATCCAGGGGACGAGTCGTATTGTAAGTCGAGTGAAAAGGACGAGATCCCCCATGTTGTTTGGCTGTTATTATTCCATGGAGTGTGCTCGTCATTTTCTTTTCTATTCCCTTGGTTCTCCAGGCTGATCAACCGCTGCAGATATGAAGGGACCAAAGTCCCTCGGCATAGTCATCAAACTTGGTGAGAATTTGCCCGGCCTTGCAATAAGATCCCAACTTCTTACACAAGGCTGACTCACAGAAACATACGTGCAGGGACCAGTTCAATTGTAGATGAAAAGACTCACCAGCCTCTTCTCTCCAACCTGTCCCTAATAGTCGAGACTGCCTATAAATTGAGAGCAGATGGCCACCGCGTCGTCATCGTCTCGTCCGGCGCCATTGGCGTCGGCATGAGGCGCATGGAGAGGGAGAAGAGACCAAAACATGTTGCACAGCTCCAGGCCCTGGCTGCCATCGGCCAGTGCCGTCTCATGAACATATGGGACAGCCTCTTCCAGCACCTGAAGCAGCCAGTTGCACAGATTCTCCTCACCCGGAACGACATAGCAGATGTGAGCCCGTTCTTGCTGATGCCACTCATCCATCCCTACATGACGTCGAGTGAGTTGAGCGACTAACTGTGTTCCCAGCGATCAAGGTATTTGAATGCGCAAAACACTTTCAACGAGTTGTTGGACCTGGGCGTCATTCCCATCGTGAATGAGAACGACACCCTGGCAGTCTCAGAAATCAAGTTTGGAGACAACGACACGCTGTCCGCCATCACCGCAGGCATGGTCCACGCCGACCTCCTGTTCCTCATGACCGATGTCGACTGTCTGTACGACAAGAACCCTCGCACACACCCAGACGCCCAGCCCATCGAAGTAGTAGAGGACATAGCATCCATCCATGCCGATACCTCCTCAGCAGGCTCATCCCTAGGGACGGGGGGCATGTCCACCAAACTCGTCGCCGCACGTCTAGCGACCTCGGCTGGCGTGACAACCGTCATCACACGAGCCTCTAACCCTGGCAACATCATCAAGATCGCACAGCACATCCAGGCCATCAAGTCGCCAGGGTCAAACCACTCCCACACGAACGGGGACGACCACCACGCCGAAGACCCCCTGGCACAGTCCAGGGCGTCCCTGCAGAGCATTGAGCTCAACTGGCCCGACGTACCCCTGCACACACGCTTCCTGCCGTCGCCATCGCCCTACCGGGACCGGTCCTTCTGGCTGCTTCACGGGCTGAAGCCCCACGGGGACGTGTACATCGACGCGGGGTGCTACCGGGCGCTGCTGGACAAGGCGGGCCTGCTGCCCGCGGGGATCGTCGACGTGGACGGGCACTTCGGGCAGCACGAGTCGGTACGGCTGCTCGTGGTCGAGCGGGTGGAGGCGGCGGACGGCGGCGAGGGCGGCAGGCTGTGGCGCGGCGAGCCGCTCGACGTCGGCCGCGCCCTCGTCAACTACTCGTCCACGCAGGTCGCCCTCATCAAGGGCCACCAGAGCAAGGAGATTGAGGGCCTGCTGGGCTACGCCGATAGCGGCTATGTTGCGGAGCGCGAGCATATCACCTTTTTCATGAGCAGTAGGCCGCAGACGCCGATTCCCACGTCATAGAGGCGGCAGGACAAATTTCGAGTCATTTAAATTGCATTGGAGACCTGGATGAAAGCTGGGTAGAAGCCATTGATAGAGGCTTGGTTTGAACAAAAGTTTTTGAGGTTCTTGCATGGAGAAAGCCCTACATGTTCAACATCATTGGGTCAAACAAGGCGCATACCCTAATAGATTCTTTCCGTTCTTCGAGTATGAAATGCTTTCGATCTGATGACATGCATGCTGTTCTGTCATACTTTCAACTCATGCCACTGGGTTATGCGGCATCTTGGAGCAACTTCACTGTTTCTGAAGTGCTGGAGCATATGGACTTGAAGTAGGGGACATCATGCTTTCTTAATTTTGGTATCTAGAAGAGGTAGCCAAGCCCGCTCGCAAGGCCCCCGAGGCGAAAGCCCCGAATTTGAGTTGATTTTTGAACTCCAAAACGCCTTCCGACATGCTTATATGTGGGACCCATACTCGAGTGCTGACTGGCGACGCTTCATGTCGAGCCTGCCTTACTCCTTCGTTCCTCAACCCACGACTTGATGGAATGCAAGCATTCATCTCAGGCGGTAGAATATAGAGCCCTGATGTCAACTCCCCACCGCCCACATCCAATACCACACGTATCTCGAAGCGCTCACACACGCTCAGCCCGTCGCGAACAGGTTATCCTCGTCGCGGAGGTACTCGCCGCAGTCGGCCTGGCGGAAGCAGGTGATTCCCGTGGGGTCGAGGCGGCGGGCCTCGGCGGTGGAGCGGGCGGTGACGCCGAAGCCGAGCGGGGTGTCGTTCATGGAGTAGACGATGACGCCCTGGTGCTCGGGGCAGTCCTCGGACCAGCGGCCCACGTGCGCCTTGACGATGTTGCCGCCGTACAGGAACGGCATCTCGCCGTTGGGCTTGACCCAGATCTTGTACCGCGCGTGCTCCGCCAGGATCGGCAGCGACGTGATGTGCAGCCTGAACTTGCCCGACTTGGTGAACTTGCCGAGGCAGATGCCGAGGGAGACGAGCTTGTCGCGTTCTGTGGTTGGGGGTTAAGGGGTGTTAGCCTGTCGGCCCTTTTCTTCTTCTTGTTCTCTTCACCTCTCTCTTGGAGCGAGAGAGAAGGGGGAGGGAATTTGTTGTGGGAGTCAGGCGGCTTACCAATAGACACGGCGAGGTTGGCTATGGACAGGCGCACGTAGTAGACTCTGTCCTTGTGTATCCTGAAGACATAGCGGTCGGCGTTGGGCGAGTCGTCCAGAGGCGCGATGAGGTTCTTGAGGGAGTTGCCGGTGTAGTGCGCCAGCTTCTGGAAAAGCGTCTGCGTCTCTGTTTCTGTCAGGGGCCGCATCTTGACTGTACGGCAGCAGACGAGTGCTGTTCGTTTGGCGTTCGTATGAAGTCAGCCGATGGGAAGAGAGTGCGACTGGCAAAAAGAGAAAAAAGATACAGCCTCGCCGATAAGATAAGACCGACCCACCTTTACCCGCGAGGCGCTGGTATCACAGCATCGAGTGCGATCTCGTCTGCTCCCGTCATGCATGTGCATGTGCCAAGTTGACAACTAACTCATCTTGCCCAGGTTGTTGTTTGAAAATATTCAAGCAAGGGATCAAATTGACGAAGAGGGACATATAATTGATATTGAACGTTGCAAATAATCACAGTGACGTTTACAGTTACAGGTTTGAATCTCGATCGAAGGAGGTACCGTCGCTTCATTCTCTAGACCGCGGCTGCTACCTAAAACACAGAAACCCTCCGCAATAGACAAGTGACTGAATTCCGTATAACTCCAGGGGCACATTACTTCGTGAACTAGCCTACTGGCCAGCCTGGTCCCGGAGGTGCCTTGGAACCCACTTGCCGGGGGCACGCGACGCCGTCAGAGTCTCAGTTGGGGCAGCGTCCCTCCCATTCTCACCCCTGCCAGAGCCCTGGCGAGCTGGAGGCGCGCTTCTCTCAGTCCTCTCAGAGTCACCAGCAGGAGCATCAAAGCCTGACTCACGCTTAGCAGCTTCACGGTCACGCCAGCTGCTTGCAGGCTTGCCACCGCGTCCTGCCAAGTTCAGACGTGGAGGCCCGGAAGACCTCTCATTAGAATCGGTGCGCTCAACTGGAGGAGCACGTTCGGCACGCTCGACCCGTTCGACACGTTCGGCCGGTGCGGCGCGCTCCACCGGTGGGGGTGTAGCGCGTGCGGGAGGCGCGTCCGAAGGAGCCTCACCGCCAGCAGCCTCCTTCGCGGCCTGGCGTTCACGCCAGCTGGGCTTGCCACCTGCACCGGACAGGGCCAGACGTGGTGGGCCAGCCGACGGCCGCTCGGCAGAGTCGGTGCGTTCCAAGGGTGCGGCTGAGCGGACGGGGATGGTTCGGGCTTGTTCCTTTTCCCTTTGGCGCCGCGCAAGAGCTTCCTCCTCGCGACGAGCCTGCAATGCAGCCTTCTCCAGAGCCTCCTGGCGCTCCGAGTCGCGCTGCGCCTTGATCCTCGCCATTTCCTCGCGACGCTGAGCCTCGCGCTGTTCGCGTTCCTCCTTCTCGCGGGCAGCCTTCTCCTCGGCCTCCCGCAAAGCCCGCTCCTTCTCCTCGCGCTCCCGCTTCTCGCGGATCTTCCTGTCCCGGAACTCCTTCTTGCGTGCAGCAACTGCCTTCTCCATCTCCCTGTCTGCCTCACGGCGCTTCTTGTCAAACTCGTCACGACGACGCTCGTACAGGTTCTCCTTGAACTTCTCGTAGAATGGAACGAGACGTTCCACACGGTGCTTAAGCTCCACTGCCTCTGCATGCTTCCGCTTGGCCTCGATGAGGGTCTCCTGCTTGGTCTTCTCATAGGCGGCGACATCCTGGGCTCGCTGTTTCTCGTAGTCCTCGCCCAGCTTCTTAGCCTCTTCCTTACGGAAAGCACGTTCAAGATGGTCGATACGCTTGCCAGTGATGCGCAGCTTCTCATTGACGTCGTTCTTCTCACGCTCGAGCTGGGCGAGCTTGATGGCACGGAGACGACTGCTGTCCAGGTTGGCCAGGTCGTCAGGATCAATGCCAAGCTGTTTGGTTCCGATCTTGAGCTCCTTGATGGTGTTCTCGATCTCGATCTTGTGGATCTCTTCGCGCTCCTTCTGCAGTCTTCTCTGCTCACGCTCCTTGAGCTCCTGCTGCAGTCGCTGCGCCTCAGCCTCCTGCAGCTGTTGCTCACGGAGACGCTTGGCATTGGCGTTCTCCCGCTCGATGCGTGCTCGGATCTCAGAGGCTTGCTCCTTGCGCTTCTGAATGACCTCCTTGCGAGCCAGAATCTCACGGTGCTCCTGCTCAGCGCCTGCCTTGGCCCGATCGAGGGCAGCCTGGCGGGCCTTGGAACGGTCCTCGTTGAACGTGGGGTCGATGTAGTAGCAGGTAGTGTGAAGGGTCTTGAACAACCGAGTCAACTGAGTCCGCACAATCTCTGCGGGGGTACTCTGCAATCTCTGAACAGATCCGACGCCAGTCTCGGCTTCGGCAGATCCGGCACCGCCGGCGCTCGCAGCCTTGGCCGACGAGAAAATGTCCTTGTCGAAGCTCAACACACCGGTTGCATGATCCATGCGAATAGCGAGATCGCCCTTCTTGTTGCCGTTCATGATGAACTTCTCAATTGTGGCACGAGTAACCTGGAAAGGTTCAGGGAACTTTGCGAGACCCTCAACATAAGACAAATCGACAGTCTCATACACTTGAGATAGCTGCTGGAACAACCGCGTCAGGATGACTTGTTGCAGAGGCAGCACGTACTTCTGCATGTCAGGGTCCGCGCCGATCTGAGCCAGGATGGGCGAGATCTTCTCGCAAATAGAGAGGGGGTGGAAATCAACCTCGAGGATGTTGTAGAGGTCGCGGATCTCGGGGCGAACACGACGGATGAGCTGCTTGGCACGGATGTCCTGGAAGAGGACGGCTCGAGTAGGCGCCGAGTTCATGCCCAGCAGATGAGTCAGGCGGGAATTTTTGTTCTTCCTGGCCTCGTCGAAGTCGACCATGGCACCACGGGACCTCGTGGTGCTGATGACAGGGATCGACAGAGCCGACAGCAAGACAAACGAAGCAGCCTTCTGCAGGTCGGCCTCGGTGGCAGCCGGGTTGTCGGACTTCTTGCTCTGGCCAGTCGCGACAGAGGTAGCGGACTGGCGGAGAAGCTGGTAGTAACGGGACCAGGCGGCGGCGTGGAAGAGGTAGTTCTCGCCGACGAGGAAGATACGAGTGAGCTTCTCGTAATAGTTTGCCATCATGATGTTCTTCGGCGGGCGCTTGCTCAAGTTGAGAAGGGTGTGAATGTCCTCCACGCTACGGAAGGCCTCCTGCCACAGCTCCAGCTCGACGGCCACGTTTAGTTGTTGAAAGCGAGTCTCGAGGTGTCGCTGCAGCGTATCAGGGTCGTTCAGGTTGATGGCGTGCATCTGCTGCGAGTACTTGGCAGCGGTCTGGACATGGTTGCGGAGCAGCTCGCACAGGCGGCGGAACTCGGTCTTTCGGGTATACTTCAGACAGAAGTCGAACGCCTGCATGGCAGTGCTCTGGTAGAGGATCTCGAGTCGGGCATTATTTCGGAGGATGTCGAGGACAGTCCGGTAAGCCTCCCAGAGGAACTTGAGCCATGGGGTGACGATGGCGCGGTCGGTGCGGTCCTTGGACTGCTCGCCAGAAACGGTGGCAAGCAAGATGGACTCTGGTGTCTCGGTAGCCTCCAGGTCGTCCACGCCAGCCTCACCAGTGGTAGCCTCGATGCTGGACTGGACCTCGTCGGCCTTGGCCTGGGCTGCGGTGACCTTATCGGCAGCGAGCTCGAGGAACTTCTTCAGGACCAGCTCGATGGTTCCGATGTTGCTATTTTGGGCGATGTTCTTGTACTGGTACATGGCGTCCTTTGTCAGCTTGCCCTTCTTTTGCTCGACGGACAGCTCCACGAGGAGGAGCATGACCGGCTCCAGCGACGCGATGGGGACATTTCGTGATCGCTTCGAGGTGATGTGCTCGTGCAGGAGGGTCAAGGCGGCGGGAGCCTGGCCGACGCCGATGAGCTCGTGGGCGCGCTTGAGGACATTCTCGGGTTTTTGATGCGGCGGGGGCGGCATGCTGGGCAGACTGTGTCTTTGTCGCCTCTCAGGGGTGGGATGTTTGATAATATGGGCGGAGGGAGATTCCCAGGGCGCGAGGGTCAACAGAACTCGCTAGAAGACCGAAAGTCGATGGACTTTGGCTCTGTTGATTCTCGTTGGAAAATCTGCGAGCTGGTCTTGCCTGACGGACGAACAGGTCAGGTCGAGGCAGTCACAGTCAGAGCCGGCCTACTCAAAACTCTGCTGCAGCAAAAAATCTTGGGGAGGGCCGCCAGTGGGTTTCCAGGCTTGGTTGTGCGAAACGCCTAGTCCGAAACAGGCATGGTGCAAGTCACGTGCATCTGGGCATTTGGCTGGATGGATGTGGTCGCCGACAACAAAAAGACAAAGGAATGGATGTTGTGGGGTTTGATCTTGAATGGCAGTACTTTTGAGTCACAGGATCGAGATCACCATGCTGGCAGCAATGTCTATTTGTGAAGTATTCCCTCCGTACGTGATGCTGGTGTTTACGGGAAGGGGACAGACAGACAGACAGAGACGGACTAGCTTGAGGGGGGGCCATGAGCATGGGCATGGGCATACCCCGCCATTCAGCATATGTGAGGTTACAGTACTATCCACACGAGGATGAAGTCCTCGATAGAGAAATACTCTGTTAATGCAATACTTGCTTTTCTTGTCCCTTGCAGCTTCTCCTGAGAAAGTATTGAGCAGTTCCCGCTCGGATGGTCAAAGCTTTTCTCCGACACGACAGACGAGCTTAAGTGTCCGAGGATAAGCTTCACAAGTGGTCAGAGGCTAGACACTTGTTGGTTTGAATTATAGGTTGTGTGTACATGACAGGTGCGGATACCGTAGTCGGACACCTCGCCAAGTTTTGGCTTGATCTTCCCTGTCTCGGTGCTGCATGCTTATCTTTAGTATACAGGACAAGAAGGGTCAGAGTCTGAGTCTGCGTCCGTGGGCTCAACTTGCCGGGTCCCACGATAAAATTGTGCGTGCCGTTCAGTCTTTCCACAATGTTATCAAACGGTGAGACAAATAGGCAAGAGAAGGCTCATTTCCGCGATGGGGTGGGGAGTGGGGAGACAAGCCGAAGAGGGCAATTGGCAATTGGCAGCACAGCCAGGAGGGGGGCCCAGGAGCACTGGAGGGCTGGGCTGGGCTGGGCTGGGTGGTCCAATGATCCAATGATACAGTATCCAATGTTGCAGCAGCGCAGGCGGAAGGGCGACGGAAGGGCCCTTGGCTCCGTCCAGGTCCGTCCTACCGTTGAAACCCTGTCCAGCCGCAATCTCAGCGACCACTTTCCGAGCCAATCGCCGCGCCCCAATCTGGCTTTGATTCGCGTATTCTCCTTTTGCTGCTGCACATCCCCAAGGCAATACCCCGGCTGACTGTCCTTCCTTTCTTTTTATTTCCTTTTTCCCCCCCCTCCCTTTGTGTCGCGTAGAGTCAGTCAGTCCCCTCTCTCCTGCGTGTGTGTGGTCAAGGTCACGGTCACGGTCAGCTCAAGGTTTAAGTCTGTCTGCCTATCAGCCTGTCAAGGGAGGAAGAAAAGAGCTTTGCGTTGCTCGCCCCAATGCTACCTGCTACCTGGTAATAACTGCAGCTCCAGCTCCCCAGCTCCAGTGACAGCAGCCAGTGGCCCCCTGACCACCCACCCATCTGGCCAGGCCAACCCTGATTGCAGTGTCGCAGTGTTGCAGTGCAGTGCTGCTGCCCCAGTGCACCTCACCTCACCTGGATAGTGGATGCGTGCAGGTCCTCACCGCAACCCCCAACGCCAAACCCTCTCGGAAGAACCCCAATTCTCCCAGGCCCTTCAGGTACCCTAGCACCCTTAGGTAGGCACCTCCCCCATACCTGATTGCCACCCGCCCCCGTTCTGCCTTTCTGCACCTCTCCTGTACGGTACTTGTTGACCTGGACCCATGTACTTGTCCGTCCCCCGACGCTGGATCCACCTGCTTACCTGATCGCAGCAGGAGACGGCTTTCCCAGGCGGGCTCTCGTCTTTCCAACCTGCTGCTCGCTGCACTCGCTGTACTGCACAGCTTCATCAAAGCGTGTTGTCGTCGTCCTCCTCCAACTCCTCATTCCCTCCTTTGCACATTCCAATCCAATCCAACCCAACCCAACCCGCCGTCCTCTCCTTTATCGTCCACCAATACCTGGCCGCACTTCTTGCCGAGCCTCAATTGTAAGTCAACCCCTTTTTTCCCCCTTGTGCAGCCCTGAGCCCCAACATCCGATCGATTACCAATTGCCCTACTGTCCTACTGTCCCACCGCTTGTCAAACCTCACCGTCAGAGATTGGTGATCCGGCCAGCCCAGCCTTCCCGTCCGTCCGTCCGACCGATAGCATCAACCAACCCCCTCCCCGTCACCCGCTGCCCGTCAAACAAGCCCCCGCCTCAATCGGCAAGCCCTTGAGCATTGCTAACCCTCACGATGTTTGAGCAGCAGGAGCAAGACAAGGACAAGGATCGACTCCGCCATCACGCAATCCCCCGATCGCCCACTCGACCCGACATCGCCTCCGGTTCCGCCCAGTCTTCCTCTCCGTCCAGACGTCCTTCGCGCAATAGGGCCAATTCGGCATCCACCTCGTCCCACGCACCCAGCATGCCTCAATACACCTCCCGTGATGTCGGCGACCCGACCCAGATCAAGAAGAACAAGCAGAGCATGGCGGACCTCAAGCTGCGCCGCCTGACCGAGCTCAACAACAGACTGCGCGAGGATCTAGAGCGAGAACGTATCCCCGTCAGCCAGGCGAGCAAAAGGTGAGATTGCACAAGGTGCACATGACGACGCAGAATTCACAAGCTGACACATTGCCCGCTGCAGCATCATCGCCTACTGCAACAGCACCAGAGATTACATGGTCGTCAATGTCTGGGGTGTCGTACCAAAGGGCGAGGACCCTTACGCACCACAACAGAGCGGCGGGTGCTGTTTGGTCATGTAATATCTGCGACGACAAATCAATGATGGATGCGATGTTTCCAAGGAATCTCGAAACGATGGGAAAGCCCGAGCGATAAGCGGCAATCTTCGAGATACACGAACGGCGATGGCGACAACCCCGGGGAGGAACTCTTTGCGTTTTGCCTTGTGTTTTATTTGTTTGCTCGGCCGGCGTTGACACGCGGAAAACGGAGATCCCCTGCGAGAACTCCTTGGCCGTCAGGCCACGGGACAGAGAAACGGCTTCGGGGCAAGCACGAATCGAACGACGAAAGGGGAGCAGACTTCGGCCCCAGGGGAAAAACAAAGGGCCAAAACCGATACCCACCCCCCGACCTTTCGCCGCCGATCTTGCCTGGCTGGTGGGATCCGAGGGAGGAGAGCCTTTCACATGGGGCGGTTACGATAATGGTCTTGTTATTTTTTTTTCTTCTTCATCATACAAACCTCTTGCTTATGGGCTTTGTGGATACCGGCAAGGGGGATAATTCTGCATGTTATTAATACTGCGTCACACTATTTCTTCACTTGTACCTCGTCAGTCTAGGCCTCCCCAAAACGTGAATACCACCTCTGTCACAGCGAATTCATCTAGAGATTCTTCATCGTGCGAGACAGGTGTTGCGAGTCATCCTGCAGCACATTGGCAGCAAGACCTCACGTCTGGCATACGGTGAGTATTCCTCAAAGTTGCTTTTCGAGCCAGCTGAGAACCCAAGCCACGGCTGCAACTGCCCAGGATTCTTGGCCTGTATACCATAAACCGCCATGTCCGCACGTCTGGGTCCTCGAGCCGGACAGATAGACACTCACGACGCCTCCAATCTCCGGCCTGGTTGACGAGCCGCACGACAATGGCCATCGGCTCCAGTAGTCTACCTCCTTGTGTCTGTGGTTGTGCGGCCCGAGGACAACCTTGAGGGCTTCCCGAGACATTTGCACACACACACAGGTTCGGGGTAGGACACGAGGTGCGGGCGCCGGGGAGACTTCTGGTTCCTGTCTAACATACCTTTCGGCGTCCCCACCTGGCCCTCGTTGCTTGGTCCCCAGTGTGCAGTGCGGCCTCTCTCGAAGCCTTCCCCAAGTGGTGGGTGGTGGATGTGGGACGCTGTCGGACCCTGGGTGGAGTGGCTTGCTTTATACGTGTGCTGACTGCTCGGACTCTTCCATCTGCCCTGAATTCTCTTATCGCTTCAAATCAGGCCGAACCCTGAGGTGCTTTCAAGGTTATGAATCACTCGCATACCTCTCACATGTGCTTCGGTCTGGGCTCCCATCCAGGTGGTTCTTTGTCACTGGGAATGTCAATCTTATCTCTTCCCGTCGCTATGTGGTCGTGCGCTTGGAGTCGCTAGTTTGCCCTCTTGCTCCGTTTTCATCAGGTTGTCTCACGCAACAGCACGTGGGTTTGGAATTTAGCAGCATTCCGGTGCCCAGGGGCCTGCGTCCACCCTCATTCCCATCTGCACACTGACTTTCGCGAACGGGTTCAGCGTCTTGAAGGGGATGATTCAAGAGAGCAATGGCATAGAGAAGGGGGGGTGTCCATCCCAATGGGATGACTCGACTCCTGGAGAAGGAAGTGTCAGACGAAAGGAGGCAGGATCAAGGCATTGTCCGATGTCTTTTGTCCATTGTGGCTATAGCCGAGGAATACTTGCTGCGCAGAGGCCAATGGATCATCACCGCCGTCCAATGCACGGCCTCGAGCTCCATTGTTCACAATGACGGAAGGAGCCTCGATCGCCCATTCTCCCCGTCCACCTTCAACTCTCAGAGTGATAAGTAGCCTCAGCTCACTCCTAGTCGGGGAGTGACTGCTGGGGTCCTTCCCAAACACGAGTTGCCGAGGTTTCGAGACAACCACATTCCAACGCCGCCAGGCCCATTCGTTGCAGATCGAGGCGTCTGCTCTTCGCGATACATAACCCACTTACACGCCCTGGCGGCCGTCTGCTTCTCCTTTCACACTATAGCAGCACCGCGAAAGCTCACCGGCGGCGAACAAGCCCTTTTGCCCCTTACGTCAGGCACCATGTCGCGGTTCTCAACCTTCCTCGCCGCCATCGTCCTGGCTCTCACCAGCCTCGCAGCCGGCCTCCCCGCAGGATCCATGCTCGCCTCGCATACCGCCTCACACATCGTCCACCGCAGCATTGGTCTTGGTAGGGACACCCTCCGCGAGGACGACCGGATGGAGCGACGCGACTGTAAGCACTTTCTTCCTGTCCACCTTTCCAGAATCCCCGCCCCCTCCCTCTCTCTTAACTCTCGGAAGTATAAAAAAAAGCTCACGCCTCGCGCAACAGTCACATGGACCAACTCCAAGTCGCCCCAGAACCTCTGCGGCGACAGCAGCTTCACGACGAGCGACGACGACGCAGGCCCGTCCGTCTCGGACTGCCAGACGTTCCTCGACTGGGTCTCAGACCGGGAAGGCTTCTGGCTGGTCACAGGTTTCAGCTCGGGCGGTGATTCGTGGGAGGAGTTCGCACGCGTTGAGTCGTGTGCAATTGCGGTCCGTCATGCCGACTCCGCTACTGGAACTATTCCGTAAGTCACAGCTTTGTCACTCTCTCTTCCGCTGTCTGTTCCTCCTCTGCGGATCTCTTGACCCATTTGTGATGTTACATCTTGCTGATCAGAGACTGCGCGCACAGAATCGGCAACCAGGATGTCAGCGATATCATGAAGTCCGTGATATCACAGTACGGTGGTGCTGCTAAACTGCCTTCGGTACACGGCACGATGGATTGCAAGCGGGATCCTTCGTCTGCGAGCGTGGAGTGGAAGGTCTACAAGAGCTGAGAACTGGGCAGAAGATGAGTGTGGGTGATCACAAATAGTATCCCGAGGGAGCGGGAAGTGTAGATACCCTGGCTGCGGATGGAGGCAACGGCTGCGTGGAAGCGTCATTACATATTTGCTTGATTTGCTGCACATATTGATACCCCTCTTTGTTTCCGACAAAGACTACTTTCGGGATTTGGGGCAGATTCAACACCATATTCTTCGGATCTTAAGTACTCACAAGTGTCAATGTGCTGAAGTGACTATTGGATATCGGATGCCATCCGGGAAGAACGTCAATAGCCTGGTTGGTCTTGTGCGATTCACTGGAGGCTAAAGAATCGACCAAGACCGTACAGGCTCTCAAATGTGAGAAAGCCTGCTCTTGAATCTCTCTGTGCGATATTAAAGGATGATGTGTGATCAAGTGCCTTCCGTTGAACTAGGGAGATAATGAGTAGGCCCCTAGAGCCCTCGCTCGGCACTCAACGCCTCGGACGATGGTTTTGCTGCGATGTCCATGCCATCTAGCACAGACACCGTTGACGTTGTCGCGGAGTCAAAACAGAAACCAAAAACGTTGACGGTTAATGAAAGTCGTGTCCCGACCGTCCCGGCCCGAGGTGAAGAGGAACAAACGGTCCGGGGTCGGGCTCCGGTGTGCTGGGTCAGGTCAGGGGGCTCCTCCCACCTTCCCACCTCCACCCCACCAAACGGCCTCGGGAAGTCTGCCCCGGAGGCGACCGGCCGGCTGCAACCCACACCTTTTGCATCATCGGCGATGCCGTGTTGCATTCAGCACACCTCCCCACCGTACAAGCACTGCCTAGGAAAGAGCAGCTATAGCCGAGAGAGCGACCAGTGGACAGGCTCTCCGAAACCACAGAGTCGACGGCCAGCGAAAGGCAATTGTCTTGAATCTATTCGGCCATGGCAGACGGAGTCGAGACCGGCGCTCCTTACCCGCTGCCTCGAGTGACCATCAAGTTCTGCACTCAGTGAGTTCCCTGTCTTTTTAAACGCATCACACAAGACTAAACCCACGACCAGGTGCAAATGGATGCTAAGAGCAGCATACGTACGCCCAGACAGGCTTCCTCTCCCCCCAAGCCTGAAGAGCCCCGATACTAACCCAAACGCAGTACGCCCAGGAGCTGCTCTCAACATTCTCAACCTCCCTGGGCGAGGTTGCCCTCCAGCCCTCCACAGGCGGGACCTTCGTAGTTGAGATCTTCCACGCCCCCTTCCCAGCAACCACCACCACGACGGACCCCTCGCTATCTCTGCCGCCACCAGCAGCAGAAGGAGGCCCCGCGGTCCAGGCCCGCACCCTCTGGGACCGCAAGGTCGACGGCGGCTTCCCCGAGACCAAGGAGCTGAAGCGCCGCGTGAGGGACGTGATCGAGCCGGGCAGAGACCTCGGACACGTCGACAGGAACCACGCGAGGCCGGCCGCCGGGGCTGGGGCTGGGGGTGAGTCCGGAGCCGGCACGGAAACGCAGCAGCAGCAGCAGCAGCAGCAGCAGCAAGAGGAAGGGGAAGCGCAGGGGCACAAGGACAGGCCGTCCAGGGCGGAGCTGGAGGCCGCGGGCCCGGCCGGCGCCGGCTACCCGGGCTCGAGCGAGGCGGCCGCGCAGCTGGTCGGGGCCGCTGTGCAGGGTGGTGGTGGTGGTGGTGGTGGTGACGGCGGGAAGCCGCCGAAGGGCGCGTGTGAGAGCAAGGAAGGGTGCGAGGACTGTGATTGAGCTGATCATATAAGAAAGACGGCCCAGCATGGCCGTAAGGTAGTCAGTCACTTTGTGATTGATAGCCCAGTATCAATGGCCAACCTGGAAGCCCACTTCAAAAATTCAGGGACATGGTGGTAAAAGGGCGTTATTGCCCGCGGGATCTTCTAATTGTGCCTGCCCAGGTCGTCTGAAGTCTACGACATGTCTCCGTTCTCGTCAAAGGCGCCGGGACTTCGGCTTTCGACTCAGCACGAAGCCGGTTGAAGACACCCGTCAGCCAGTTACTCGATCCTGTAGACTGAATCATCTGGAAATGTGCGGAATAGTCATTGTATATCGTATCTCGTCACATTTGTTCCGACGAGGTTAAAGTTTTGGTCGAGGCTCTCCCATTCCCAACCCAGCCACCTCCTCCCTCGGCCTTACCCCAGCAGGCCAGGGAGTGTGGTGTAGCATATTGAAGTGGGCTGCAGAGTGGCAAGACTCCGTCACGAACGATCACAAACAGACGCGGCCAGGTCAAAGCAGCAAGAAACCGCAAACTCAACAGTAACAATACTTAAACATGGCGATTAAGAAAACCCCTTTGCCCCCCTTTTCCCGTCCAGTGGTCCAACCCGACCGACCCGGCACAACCGTACCATCCGCTGTCAATTGCCCGTCCATCAAAACATCCTCTCACATTAAAGGACATCTTGTACTTTCCCCTTATTACCGATCTCGGTGTTCCAAAGAGTCTTGTAGGAGCATCCACACAGGCATCCATCCACGACGTCGACCAGAAAGAAATGACCTTCGCCACCGCTATCCGGCTGTACCATGGGAGGCAGGATCCAGGTTATCGAAGACGCGCTACATTGATATCGTAGGAGAAGGCGGATGCGAATCAGTTGTCTGGTAGGATACTCAAAAGCTGGCAAGAGTGCTAGCGCACTTGATGGTCCAGTGACCACCGTTCAATTTGAGAATGAGCTGTAGAGAAAGACTACCATTATGCATATTCGACATAGTCCGGATCCTCAAATGCTTCAGCCACGGAGACGGTTGGGCAAGTGGGGTCCTCTCCTTCGGAAGTCGGTTGAGTCAGGGCGTGTCCCCTGGGTACCGCGGAATGTTGTGTACACCGAGGCGGGAGTTCGGCACAAGGAGAAAAGCCGGGAAAGAGGGCCTTGTTGTTCTGACACGGCAGTGGCAGCAGAAATCCGCTCGTGATGGGAGTCAGGTATGACTGTTGTCGGGCACTTTATGGATGAAGCAATCATCGTCGTCCGAACCTAAAATTACCAGGTGTTGGCGCGTGAATTCAAACTTAGGTTTTGGACGGTTTCTTGGGAGTGATGGATCTATTGCCTCCGAGGCCGGGGACGTACTTTTGTTTCTTTTCAGCGGGCTTGAGAATCTGCGAGAAAAGCCAAAGATTAGTCACAGGGCTCTTTTTAAATCTGCCATGGCTATCTGGTACGAACCTGGAACGAGCAGAGCAAACTCTCGTCGACGCTCATCATGGCACCAGCATTGTCGAATTCTCCGCAGTAGTTCGGTGCACTAAACAAGGTGACAAGTTGACGTTTGGAGAAGAACTCGTATCCGTCCTCAACCACTTGATGGGCACGACAGATGAGGTCCATGTCATGTTTTTGCAGGAAGCGAGAAACCACATCAGGGCCGAAAGTGAAGCTGACACCTCTGTCATTTTCACTCCAGCCAGTGATGTCTTTGTCGGGATCAGACCATAGGAGGTCGCAAAGGAGACCGCAGTCAGGGATCTGCAAGATTATTGTCAGCGCCCAACACGCTCCGGGAAGAAAAGGCAATATCGCAGGCTGCTCTTGAGTAGAAACTTACGTCAGTTGGACGCATGACACGACGGATCTGCTCCATGGAATTCAAGTCGGGACTCAGACCGCCGTGCATGGTGAAGATCTTCTCATCAATGATAGCTGCAATGGGCAGGCAGTTGAAGCAGTCCGTAAATGTTTTCCACAACTTGATGTTGTACCGACGCTTGCACTCATCGTAGAAGCCATAAATGCGGTTGATCGAGGCGCATTCGTGGTTGCCACGCAAGATGAAGAAGTTCTCCGGGTACTTGATCTTGTAGGCCAAAAGAAGGCAGATGGTCTCGAGAGATTGCTTGCCACGATCGACGTAATCACCGAGAAACAGGTAATTTGCCTCTGGAGGGAAACCGCCATATTCGAAAAGACGGAGGAGGTCATAGTATTGACCGTGGATGTCGCCGCAGATCTGTTGGGGGGAGAAGAGGTGGGGTCAGCACAGCGCCCAGACTCTAAAAAAGACTTGCCGCGACCAGAAAACTGCACGGAGCCTTGCGTACCTTAATAGGAGCCTCGAGCTCAAGCAGGATGGGTTGGGAGATGAAGATCTCGCGGGCCTTAGTGCAAAGGTATCGAATCTCAGCCTCGAGCAGTTGGACCTGCTTGCCCGGGCGACTGCCCCGGACCTCCAGGAGCCGGTCGATTATCGAGTCCAAATCAACGTCATGTTGATCTGCCATGGTGATTGCGGAGAGCCGCCAGTAGGTGGCGGGAGGAGGCAGAGGAGGGAGGAGGAGCGGACGCGCCGGAGGGGATGGTTTGCGCTGGGGCCGGACGAGGTTTCACGCAATCAGGCAGGCTAGTGGATTGATGCACTTCTCGTGGCTGGATTGGAAATGCAGTGTTAGCATTTGCCATCAGGTAGGCATTTTAGCAGTGCACAAGCCAGAACAGCCCAGCTATGCAGGTTTCGTTGTGTCATGGTGGTGAGAGAAGGAGGGGCGAGGAAAGCAATGGAATCGACAATCGGAAGGTGAAGGGGAGGCAACAAGGCTGAGGGGGAACAGAGAAGCCGGGCGGCATGACGGGTTGGGTACGTACTTTGTGGAAGTGATCTCAGCTGTGGTAGGCTTTCAAAAATGAAAGCGTCTGCAGCGGGCGTGTTGTTTCGCAGGCGGTGATGAGGGCCAGATGACTTGATCTGAGGGGGTCGACTGGGCAGGAGTCTTTGTGCTGTCGGACGTCCTGGACAGAGTCGCGTCGAGACAGCTTCAGCTTCAGCTTCAGCAGCGGCGGGGGCGGGAGTGGATCGCCTGTCCGCGGGAGCGATTCGCTGCGAGTGAGTCGCGTGGAAGTTTACCTCTTGGAAGTGCAAAAGGAGACGTGTGCAGTTGATGCGGTTCTTGAACGAACCGTCGTCGCCTCGAGGAGGTGATGATCGCCTGTTTGCCGCAGTTCGAGGGCGGAAAGCACGGGGGTTGAGGGAGGAGACCACGAATGTGGATTTTTTTTCGTCGTCTTTGGTCGCCGGGGATGGGGAATGGGGCTAAGAAGCCAGTCGCCAGAGGTCGTCGCGTTGTTTTTTGGGATGGGAAAACTGGAGATGCAGCTTTTCTTTCGCAGTGATCAAGTGCAGCGTCAAAGAATATGCCTCGATCGGGTTTTGATGTCGCCGTAAGGATGGATTGATTGACAGTTCACTCTTGGTCGCTCTCGGTTTTGGGGGGGAGGGAGAGATGTCGGTCAACAAAAAGTCCCAGGACCCAAGGTCGGATTGGAAATGGCAGATCGGGGACGTCAGGCCAAAACGGGGGGCGCCTTGGAAATTCTCAAAGGGCTGCCCGTCGCTGGGCTGCCCACCTACCACAATACCACAACAGTGCGGGCGGTGTTTCGGAGGCGACGGGGGCGGTTACGACGCTCAGGGCGTGGTGGTACGCTAGGCTCGTTGGCAGAACGGCGGCCCAAGAATGGCAGCAGAGTCAGTGCTGATGGCTAATGACGGGGAGGGGTCCTTCACCTTGGAGCAGCTGGGCGGCGGCGGCAGCAGCAGCAGCAGCAGCACCTGGGGGACCGGTTGCCTGGGGACGCTGGGTAGGGAGGGACGTGCCAGCGTGCCTGGGCAGTGGGTAACGGAGAGCGCTCGCCGTCCTCTGTGTCGCAGTTGCCAGTTGCAGACTATCCCCTCTTTTAGCGCGAAAACGGACCAGTGCCCAATCACAGACCACCGCTTGCACTGCCCGACCAGGCTCCACCCCTTCCCAGGGCTCGAATAAGGTTCGGTGACTTCCTACTCTCCTTACTATGTGTACGTACTGCATTTGTCTTACTGGCCTTACTGGACTCGTCGACCCTCGTACTCGACCTCGACCGTCCCAACAACAGGAGATTGTGCCTCTGGCTCCCGATGAGGAACCCCTCTAGCTACAGAAAGCTCCTCGGCACGCCTGGATGCCTTTGAGACCCTTGTCAGTACAGTAGGTAGTCCGTTTGGCCGGGGGTCCAATTCACAACCCGTCGTCGTCGCACTCGAGCCTCACCTCGCAGTACAAAGACCTGCTTGTTTCCGCGAGCAGCGTTCCCCTCACGCCCTCCAGCTCTTTCTTCTTTTACTTCTGTTTCTTCCATGTCTGCCGTCCTTTGTCCCCTGCCGCCACACTACTGCTCTTCTGGAATGCGTCTGTGCCGCTCTTGAGGGATCAACATTGGGCCACTGGGTCGCTGGGCCTTCACCTCGAGACCCCATCGACTTCTGGTCTGGGCGTGGCAAATACGGAGTCCGCCTACAAAACCCGTGTCCATTATCGATCGTGACTGCAGCAGGACCTCTGATATGTCCCCACTTGCAATGGGATCTAGAAGCCCAACTGCGGATATCTCAACCTCCTAAAATTTCTTGCCGACTCGCGCCACACTACTCGCCTTTCTTTGACCGGAGTCTGGAAGCTCGACGTCGAGACTGTCTCACCGCAAGCAAACCCCAATGAATCTGGGCTTTGACAAAGCACTGCGTCAGGTCGGGAGGCCGCTGACTCCCTCACTTGGACCGAATGCCCCCAAGCCTTTCTACCATAGGCTTTAGCCGGATCAGCAAAACTTGGAAGGAGAGACTCCTGGGAGGTTCTTCTGGGCACCACAACGGACGGCTCCTTAAGGATCAGGTTCCCAAGCCATCAACCAGTTACGAGTGACCAGAGGGGTTCCCCCACGGCCGCTTGCGCGCCGGCCTGCCCACCA